CGCAAAAGCAGGGTCAGGTGCGGTGAGCAACGACGCCAGCGTCGCCCAACATTTCACGTCTCCGGTCGTAGTGAGGCCGTCTAGGTTCTTTCGGTCTCTAGCTGCTAAAGCAACTAGATCCTTATGCGTCAGCCAAATCACCAAAGACGACCCCGTCGCATCCCTTGGCTCCCGGTACTCGATTTCATGGCCAGTCAGGGCACCATTACTCAAATTCAAATGCCAACCCCTGTGCATGTCCGCGATCATGAAGTCAATCGTGAACGACCGATCCCATGCTTTCGGTCCCTCTACCCGCATGGCAAACGTGTCGAACAATTGCTCCAAATCAAGCGCCATCAACAGCTCAGCCGACATGGATAGCTGGGACCCCTGCGGTTTATTCCGGGGTTCCAGCTCGCGCGCCCCCGTCAGGTAGAAGTTACGCCAGACGCCGTTTTCCGCGCCGTAGCCCAGTTTGCGATAGACGGATGCGAGCTCGTTTCTGGCCCGGTCGTTGTTTTGGTCAGCATACACGGCGTGGTTCAGGAGCGTTGCGGCGAAACGAAGGTCACCCTCGTCCGCGAACTCTTTGCCCAGGTCGATCACTTTCTCTATCCCGCCCATGCATTTCACGTAGCGCGTTGCGGATTCCACCGGGGGGTGTTCCCATAGGTGAGCTGGGTTTCCGTCGAACCAGCCCATGTAACGGTTATAGATGGCCTTCACGTTGTGGCTGATTGACCCGTAGTAGCCGCGCGCGCTCCAGGTGTTGTTCAAGGATGGAGGGAGGTGGAATTTTTCGGCTATTTCTATGCCAGTTTGGCCCATGTTGAGAAGACGGAGAGTTTCGTTATGTAGATAGGCGTATAGATCGCGCTGCTTGGTCAGGAAGTCATTGACGTTCACGTTGTCCCATGTAGGCCAGTGATGGCTGGAGAATACGACATCGGCGTCCTTCCCATAGCGAACGATCGCTTCATCGAGGTATTTAGCCCAGACACGGGCGTCGCGTACCAAGGCCCCTCTCAGGGTTTGGATGTTGTGGAGAGTGTGAGTGGCGTTTTCAGCCATGCACAGAGCGTTATACTGCGGGAAATACATGTTCATCTCAGCCGGCGCCTCCGTTCCTGGAGTTAGCTGACATTCAATTTCCAGATCGTCGTCTACGATGATCTCCTCCCCCGTCTGGTTGATGCTAGTCGTGGGTGGAATCAATCCCGATACACCCATTGAAACAGTGAGACCCAGCCCGCAGCCGATTTGGCCGTCCCGCTGTCGTGGGAGAGACTCGCCATACATGTAGACCGCACGACGGCCCATGGCGTTCCCCGAATAGACGTTCTCGCTCACTGCATGTTCCAGAAATCCATGGGGCGCGTACACCTTCAGACCCTCGGCAGCGGCGTCTGCAATGGCTTTAGCTCCGCCGAAGTGGTCTACATGAGAATGCGTGTAGATGAGGGCTTTGATAACCCGATCCGGAAACTGGGCTTGGTACAGGCCCAGGGCCTTCTTGGCGGTTTCGATGCAGGTCAGCGGGTCAATAACAGCCACGCCTTTTGTATTCGGACACTCGATGAAAGTAATGTTAGAGAGGTCTAGTCCGCGGACTTGGTAAATTCCATCCCGAACTTTGAAGAGACCCTGCTTGTGGCAGAGTTGAGACTGTCTCCACAGCGACGGATTTGCGAACTGGGGAGCGTGCTCCTCTGATAAGAAGCCGAAGGAGTCGTTATCCCAGATGGCCCGGGTTGGGTTGGTGTCAGAGTAGACCACGCAGGGCTCTAGACTGGTTATCAGTCCTCGAGAGGCATTTGCGCTGTCCGTAGGGTCCTCAGGTGGATAGGATGTTGAAGACATGATTACAAGCAAATATCACTGGAACTGCAGAATGGTCCTGGAAATGATCGAAGGCCAAAGAAGATCCGTTGTCAATGGTTGTCGATATGAACTGACACACTGGCCGTTCTTTTCTAGCCTAGACCCCTCTTCTACTTGTTCTCCTCGAAATTGGGATCCCTTTTAGAGCGCGCTCGTCAGTGAAATGGCAAAGGTAGGTCCAGGATACCCGACAATCAGCAAATACGCCTCAGAATCCTGCAAGAAAATTAAAAGACAATCTAGACCTTATATACCCCGCGCTGTAAGTCTCGGAGAGTATTCCTTCTAGTCAACCATTCTGTTCGCGAACCAAAGAATGGATCGAGTGGTTTAGTCAGGAGTGACGTAGGGTTGCATTCCGCCCCGACGGAACCAACGATGCTCGTAAGCAGTGACAGTTGTTTATATTTTGGAATTAAGACACAGGAACAACTTATGAATTTATACCTAAGGTTTGTAGACTGTATGCGTTGTAGTTGTATCGTGTTGCACTATTGGAATGGATGTTCACGCAGATTCACATCCCGACCCTGCTCAAGCTGTACAGGATCCTACAGCAAAGCCAGAGGTATCTTCCGGCATATATTCTTCGTCGGAGACTGAGACAATGCTGCTGTAAGGTACCGTAATATAATATGGCCATGGTAGATAGTATAGTCGTCCCTACGGGGTCCCACGGTTCTACTGCGTTCCTAGATAGGGGTATATTCATCTGGTCGGTCAGACTAGGCTCGTTGACAGCAATTGATTCAATGCCCACTTACCCCCGAAGTGACACTAAGTGACTCGCACATACCATTCTAAGTTCATAGTCAAGGGGTGCTTGCATATACCCTATTCCGCAAGCATCCAGTCCTCATAATCATCTTCCTCCTCATCCCCCACCTCAACATCTGGCATATTTACGCCCATACCGGTCAAATACTCAACAACATCTCGCCTCTCAGCACATTCCGCAAGTACAGATGTATCCAGATTCCCAACATCAGCACCAGACTCGACAAGTAGCTTTACCGTCTCCAAACCCCCCTCGACAACAGCAATAGACAGCGGCGTCTCCAGATCGACATCAACTGCCGACACATTTGCCCCATGTTCAAGAAGAGTCCTCGCCGTTTCAGTCTCATCTTCAATCCCTGCAGCAATATGTAACGCCGTCTGTCCGTTCTTTGATTTTGCCTCGACGTCCTCGCCCTGTTCGAGTAGTGCCTTGATAAAGACACGGCCACCCACAATATGGGCAGCAACATGGAGCGGTCCATAACCACGCGGGAAATACTGCCAGCGCTGCTCAGACCTTTCAAGCTCGTCATAGCTGCCATCATCCTGATACGGCCAGGCCCCTGCTGCCTGAAGGTAGGAGTCGATGGAGCCACTTTGTGATGCGAACCGTAGGAAGGCGTCAAGCTCTTCCTGTCGGTGAGGTACTCTGGACGTATAGACTGAAATGATTCGTGCAGCGTATGGCAGGAAAGGATGGGCTTGGAATCGCTGCTTTAGACTCGCTGACGAACTACAGGCTCCGCCCTGGAACTCTTCCTGTGATAGGTAGGACATGGCGGCACGAAGCATCGTCCCTTTAGTTTTGTGCTTGGCAGCTTCTTCACGCAAATGACTTTGCAGAATAGAGGACTGGATTCGCATCACTTTGATACTGGTGCTGAAAGAGACCAAGCCAGCACACATATTTGCGATGTCATCGGAGGTGTAGCGACTGTCCTCTGTTTTATGTATTCCGAGAAAAGGTAGGTAGTCGACAACTTGTGGTATTGTCGGCGTGTAGCCTAGCTCTTCTAGTGTGGACACTAGGTATAGCACCTGAAGGGTATTTTGTCCGTGTTCTGCTTTTGCTAAATGAGCCAATGCTAGCTGGCTAAGCTTCTTGTATTTTGTTGAAGGGGGATCATTAGATAGAACTTGAGCTAGTTCGTCCAATGCCTCTGACATATCTCTTTGCCGAGGTAGCGGTGGAAATCTTCCTTGGTATTAACACCGTGGAGTCAAGATAAGGGCGAGAACACATACACGCCGTCCAACATTTCTATAACATTGAGCATACTTTCACGGACGTCTTTGGGTATTGCAGATGGGTTTTTCTCGGCAGATACATCGTCAATTTCGTGCACCATGAAAGACATGAGATCATCCTCGCTTGCCCTCGTTACTATGGTTGGCAATTCGTAGGCTCGGAGAAGTGAACGGGGTGGCGGGTAACGACTGGTTATGAGAATGTGCAAACGAGAATCCTGGGTATTATTGGCCCCAATATGGACGAGCATTTTCTTCAGTGCATGTTCAGAGGCATTAACACCATCAAAGACCACGAAGATAGAGCCAAAAAGCGACTGAATCAGGTTCCAGAAACCAATACGTTTACCGTCGTCGAGAGAGGGGGGAGAGCGCTCTTCTGCTCGATAGAAGGTTTCAGCAGTAGAGTCGGTCAGTTGGGCAGCGAGCTGTCTGGATAACGAAGGAAATGCAATACCAAAGTCCGCGACGTTATATTGCGGATGGTTGTCATCAAAATAGTATACCGCGACTCCTGAGCGGTTCTCCTCTGAGCGGACATGATCCACAACAAGGGAGCTGATGTATGTCTTTCCAGTTGCAGCTGGCTGGCTGTTAGCACTCTCATATCTGGCAGTATTGTGCCTTTCTTACCCGGTCCGTAAGCCCACAAAAGCTGTGGACCAGAGCCGTTGATCCATTCTTGCGTAAGTCTGTCTCCTAAGAACCAGGTTCCCAAGGTCCCTATTCGTTCGCAGCTCAAGCTGTTTTGCCTCTCTGCCGTGGCGTCCCCCGGGCAGAGCCAACTAACCGTATGGCTGTTATTATTGAACGACATTGTTATGCATGATGTTGAGAAGCTTTGTATCCAGTTTACTCAAATACCAGACGCCGCTCCCCCCACTTTTCTTGGCGTGATAGGCGCCAGTGTCGCTGCCTACATTTCCAAGGAAAGCAAGAGACTAAGCAGCTCTATTAAGAGCACAATGAAATGATTCACAACCAAGCAATGCCAAGGAGCACTTAAATGACCAATTAGAACGCGGCTTGGCATAGATATAGCCTGTCAAAACACCGTCACTTCATCCGCGAACCGGAAGGGCTGGCATCCAAGGGAATCAATGCACAGAATGGCGGCCCCGGCAAAGGTACTCTCGACATTCGAGCTTCTCGAGCTTATCCTACTACAGCTCGACACGCAAACTCTTCTCACAGCTCAGCGAACATGCCGTACCTGGCACAGCATCATTCAAGAATCAGTTGCTATCCAAAAAGCGCTCTTTTTCATCCCGATCCAGCCTTCATCTGCGAGTACAAAAGTACAAAATCCCTTATTGGCAAAGCTGTTTCCGGGTTTCTTCACCTCGGACACATCCTTCTTGGCCAGCATGGATATGCTCCAGCGACCTGAGAAGCTGGAAGCGTATATTCGACCTGAAGCAAGTTGGCGGCGGATGCTCGTCCAGCAGCCGCCTATACCCAGGATTGGATTCCTTGTTTCCTGCTTTGCCTTTACGGAGAGTTATACCTACCATGAGATACCGGTACATATGTATTCCCCAGGTTCTCCTATGATACTCTCCTGATTAACCCGCGCGCAGACCCGGCCAGACGGTCTGCGGATGGAAGAATATTTCGAAATGTTTATATTCGGGCACCATGTAATTTCGCTGGAGTACTATGTCCCAGAAATCATCTGGTGGGGTGATACCTATTCTTCTGGGTGGATTAAGATGAAAGAATCGAGGGGCATGACGGTGGAGACCGACATCGTGATTTCGATCTTTGGTGGCGCGACATGTACGGACTTTGAAGGCGATGGGTTCACCGAAGATGCCGTACTATGCAGTCGGATTCAGGACGTATACCGGAAGCTGAATCTACAGCCTTGCGCACCGTCAGCCGAGAAGAAGCTGAACGAGTGGAGTTACTCGCACTGGTATGATTGACTTTTTTTTTTTTTTTTTTTTTTCTAGGTTGATGTTGTCTTTCTCGGAAAGGAAGTGATATATTGCAGAATTCGGGTGGCGATTCTGAAATTTTACATGTCTGCATTTGTATTTAAGAAACTACTGCAAATGCTATGTAATTTATGTACTGCACATATCTCTCTATGATAGAAAGTTGGCTCTCAAATATATGTATCATAGGCTGTCCTGTGTGAATGAATTTGGTACCGGGGGATCTGGGGATTCCGGAATTAAATCTACAGAGTTAATTTCTGCCTGATTAAGTATTGACCTGCATAACTAATGCTGATCTAGATGTGGTGGAAATCATTCCAGATTGATTTGCTACACTAACCTTAGCGCGTGAGACACCCCGACTATTATGTTTGTCGCTTTACCGTAACTTCGCAATAAGTGGAATCAATCATCAAAAAGAACCGTCCTAAATTGAGAATCGACCAAATACACTAGGGAGCTTCTTACATGTAATATAGTTCACTTCCGTTCCTCGTGAAATATGGAGCTTGTGACGAGAATAAGAAGGAGAACAAATCTTCCTGAGTCATAACCAAATTAGGCCCAACGGTGGCTATTCACGGTGTGCAATCGTTGATCCTGGCCCTAAAGGCTGGATGATCCTTCAACGCTTTCGACACCAACTCGAGCGCCTTGCGATTTTGCCGGACAGCTTTTACGCATAGCTCTAAATCATTTTGAATCGAGGGGCCTGCATGCTGCAGCAATAATGGGTCTATGTCGAGAGCGGGCACAGCATATAAGGGCTCATTCCTGTCGGAAAGGTCTAACTGTGCGAAAGAAGTTTGCTTCGGTGAATTTCATGGCCGCTGTTATCCACGCCGGGCTGGAAAACTTCTCCAGGTCATATTCGAAAGCAAACCAACAGGTGACATTCCTTTTCAGTGTCGCCAACAAGAACTCGGAATTGTCAAGGAATTTATCCGGAAGCCAGTTGATAACAGCTGGGTTAACCGCGAGGGCATCCAGAGCGAGGTCAGACATATTCAAGATGACATCCGCATAGAGTTTGCAGCATTCCAGCCGAAATTTGGGTTGCTTCTTGAGAGTATCGGCTATTCGATCATAATTCACCACACTTTCAAGGCGTGTATTTAAAGAGATAGCGATGAGCTGTCGTGCCCGTAAAACGTGGGGGTCAACCACAACAAGTTAGTCGGTGCTTTTGCACTACTGCAGGTGAGAAATTAGGGCAAGAAGATTGACTAATAGGGTTGCACTGATAGTTAGAATCATTGTCCACTTCTGAGTCATGATTATATCTTGGGGCAGGTGCGCGATCTTGTGCATAGTCTTACACACGCAAGCTCTTTAAAACCAATTCCAGTGGTTGATTGCGGAACTTCCTTTTCCACAGTCTATGACCTCCTAAGATACAGCCTGTGCACGGTTATGTACATGTGTCTAGTAGATTAAGATACGAGTGCCTCTATGCTCTATTGATGTATACCATTCTACACATCATCAGTCGCAATCGTCTATTTTGCGATCTCGACACCTCCAACCTAGTTCAATGGTCAGTAACACTTTCTGCAGGATTCATCGGGGTGACTTACAGCGCCCATGGCCTTCTTGAGGTCACCTACAAAAGAACAAGGGTTAGCAATCATCGATCAATGCTCGCCAAACGATGCAACCATTCGATACTTACCGTAGATGGCAAACTGTCCAGCAGTCAGAGCACCAACCATGACCAGACGAGCGCCAATACCGCTGAAAGAGCCACGGAGACCAAGCTCCTTAGCGATCTTGATCAGTCTGCTGGTCGTGCCCTCGCCGGGGAGGCCCTTGGTCTTGTTGATCTTGGAGAGCATGGTATCGGCGGGCTGCGAGACAATAGCGGCGGCGAAACCGGCAATCAGACCAGAACCAAGGTTGATGGCGGTCTGCATGCCGTCGCTGGTCTTCTCCTTGTCGAAGAAGTTGGCGTAGGCGAACTCGGCGACTTTCTCGTAGACGACGAACTTCGACATGGTGTATGGGACCCTGCCACATGTGAGTCATGAGAGAAATATCCCGCTTCATTGGACGCACTGCTTGAACAGGATGGGCCCAAAGCCGGAGTAGAAACCGGCGAGACCCTCCTGGCGGGCGATCTTGCCGAAGCCAGAGACAAGGCCACTGGCAAAGGTCGGCTCCGAGACCAAGCGGATGCGAGTGGCCTCGAGCGGGCAGAGGGCTATATCGGCGAAGAACTCGGCAAAGGCGGACGAAACACAGTAAACGGCGATACGGTTGTCTCTGGCATTCTCGTAGCCGATCGTGTTGATCGACTGCTGCTTGAAGAACTCGTAGCCACCGAACTTCAGCGCACCTTGCAGGAAGTAACCGGCGAACGTAGGGCCAGCGCCGGTGAGCAGGGCGCCGGCACCTTCATTCTGGATGACCTGGCGGAAGCCACCGATCAGGCCGCGGTTGTAGGTGACAGGGTCGAGCTGGATACGGGTCTTGACTCTGTGCAGATGTACGTGTCAGTCACCCCATTGCGACTTTTCCGTTGCTTGTCGAGCTGATGTCACTTCGATTCCTCGCAAGAGTTGGCGCTACTTACACATCGACGGGGGTGAGGCCACCGTGGGTGACGGAACAGCAGACGGCGCCGGCGAAAGCGAAACGCGAGTAGAGGTTCAAGCCGGTCAGCTTCTGAGGCTCAGATTTGGCCACAGCGGGAGCGGCTGTTGTCGCGCTCATCTTGCCGGTGTGATACGGAACGGAAGTTGAGGGATGGAGTGGAGGATAATACACTAGGATGAAGCAGAAGCTTGTCGGAGAAGAAGCTGAAGGACGTTGCGAAGTGATTTTTCACCCAGCAACGCCCGGGCATGACCGTCCCGAAATAGTCCGGGCGCTGCTGACGCCAAGTCAGCATTCATTTGGGGGTCTGATCGATGATGCGATGTGACAGCAATCATCTTGGGAGGTTTTAATTTAGCATGCTCCATAACCCTAACCCCATTGGGCAGAATTGGGGCTATCCGGCCCGTCGGCATCTCCCGGGTGGATCCTCGTTCATATACTATATAGCATATAGTATATACTACTGGATAGTTCTCCGTAGTCTCTACTATATCTAGTAGGATAGCAGGCCGAGGACATACTTCGACGGCTAATATTTCGTTTCAGAGTGACATTAAAATCCTGTCATAGCAAGATGTCTTATAGGAAAGTCCATTGCCTATCAGTAGTCATACACTCATCACACACACTGCAAGCAACCAAAACTACTTCCAAAGTCTCTCCAACAAAGCTCTATCTCTAACATTCATGCCCCTCCTCTGCGCAGTAGCAGCTGACTGAGACTGTCCACCTTCCTGGCTCAGAATCACCCACTCCGCCACCGTCGCGCCGGCATCCTCCTGCTCAGCACCCAGGGCCTGATTCCCAGCAATCAACAAAGTGGCATACCGCGACGGCTTCACAGTGTCCTTAAGCTGCGCAGTAGTCGTATTTCCAACGGGGATGCGAATCTGGTTCTCCTCCTCGGCCGTGTAAATCGTCGAGGGCTCAATACCCGTCAAAGTAAGAACAACCCTAAACTTCTCGTCGTCCTCATCTTGACCCTGGTCCTGGACGCCAAACGCAAAAACGGAAGCGGGGTTCTCAATAGCCTCCTCGTGGAAGATCACCGAGGCATTGACCGGCGGCGCAGAAGCCCAGTCGAAATGGAACCCGGACACGGCATTCGCCATCTGCGTATCTGACAGCGTAACGGTGATGGAAGAGAGATTCGAGGAAACAGGCTGCCATTTCGTAGATGTAGCGCCGTCGTTAGCGGAGATGGGGAACTGGCCTGCCTTGTACTCGTCCGGAGACGTGATGGGCTGGCATTGGATTTGGTTGCCCTGCATGGTGGGGATTGTGCCGATTTGGCGGTTCGCGACCACCAAGGGAGCTCCTGTGGGCTGGAGGGTGTGGGTTTCGTTTTCTGCGTCACTGCCGACGTGGACAGGGATTGTGGCGTTGCGGAAGCGTTCGTCGGCGGTGGAGAGAGGCGCGGTTTTGGTGTCGCGGCGGATCGTGGTGTGGGTGTAGTTGGACTCGGCGGCGATGGGCCAGCCGCGCCAGTAGAAGGTTCGGTATTTCACGTAGGGGATCTGCGGGGGCAGGTTGGGCGTGATGTGGATTGCTTCGTCCGGGAGGAGACGGAGGCCGAGGTATCCGAATAGCACGACTTGGTTTGCGCCGCCGTGGCCGGTCAGGAATGGGTAGGCTGGGTGGGTGCCGCCGTTGATGCTGGCGTTGTCGAGCATTTGCTCGGAGAGCTGGAAGAATGGGCCTCGCGTGTAGGGGTCGTAGGAGTATTGGTGGTAGGTCCAGGCTGAGCAGCCGGATGGGGAGACGTCGCTAGCTACGATGGAGAAGATCGCCCAGGTCATGGCGGGGCCGTCGGCCGATTGCTTGTTTGCGTACTTTTGATTGTCAGTATTTGTATGCGATCGTGAAGCAGTTGTTTTAGGTGAGCGAGGAACTTACGTAGTCGAGGTCTGAGAGACTCATCTCAGCGGTGTAGTCGCTCTCGTAGGCCAGTGGGTAGGTAACGAGGACGACATCCGCCTGTTTCACCACGGCAGTACCATTCATCGAGGTGTACTCAAGGGTCACGTTGTTCTGGCGCAGCAGCAGAACGTTCTCTGAAATCTCGGTCCATGTGTCGTTGGGCTCCAGGTTAAACTGTTCGCGGAACATATTGGCATTGTCCAGAGTCTGAGCGATGAGAGGCATAGTAAAGCCACCTGCATCGACGTGATTTGCGTACTCGTCCTGAAAGCTGTTAGCAGTGCGACGGGAAGATTGGGGATGGCAAAGGCTACCGGATCGGTCATGTTCGTCAAGGTCCAGCTAGACCCATTTCGCTCAACAAGATTGGAATACAGTGTCGCCACCGAGTCGTAGATCGGGAAATGCTTCTCCTGGAAGTACTCCGTATCGCCGCTAGCGACCCATTGATAGATCATGGAGAGTCCAATGTCACCGTTCAGGTGATACTGGTAGTCAAAGCAGGCACCAGTTGCCGTGCAGTTTCCGACGCGGCCGCTGGTCCAAGGATAGATGGCCGCCGAGGGGTCAAACCGAGTTTGGTTCTTCGAGCTGGCGAAAGCCGTCTTGACATTGTCCTTCGCTTGCTGGTATTTGGCAGCTCGGTAGTTGGTCACGCCCTGTGCAGCTTCCGGGTGCGACGCCACCAGACCTGGTTGCATCCAGACGTCGGCGTCCCAGAAGACTTGACCAGCATAGGAATCGGAGGTGAGTCCACCGACGGAGAAGCTAGTCTCGTTGACAGTCGCGTTAGAGACCGCTGCGATGGCGTTCTGGCTCACGGTATTCTGCAGCAGGTAGTAAATGTTGGTGACAGCGATGACGGCCGAGTCAATGACATGTTGGTCTTCCGGGAGCTTTCCGGTAGCTGGGTCGGTGAAGCGGTCGACCGAGTTCTCGTGCATGATATTCGCCCACTCGGAAGCGTGCGACTCCAGAGAAGTGGTGTAGCCCGCTGTCAGCGCCGCCGCAGCAGCTTCCTTGGCTGTCTGTTTGGGGTTGGCGAAGGCATCAGTCGAGGCTCCGCCGACGAACTTGGTGATGCGGACGGGCTCGTTCGCGGTGAATTTAACCTGCACGGTTTGCGCGACGGAGGACTCGTTGCCGTTCACGTAAGGCTTCCCAGTCACGAGAGTGCGGGTTGAAAGGTCGACGTTGGCGGATCCGGTCAGGTTCGCATAGATATACGCGGTGACGTTGGAGATACCCCAGGGCCGCACAGCCGTAAAGAGCGCACCGTCGTCTTGACCAGATTCGACAAAGTCAGTTCGTACCGCCGAGTACCCGTCGAACACGTTCGCCACGGTCGCATCGGCGTCGACGGACGGAATGATCTCCATATCCACCACGGCTTGCGTGATGTTCAGCTTGTTCGCGAACAGACGATAGGTGATTTGGAAGGAGCCTTTATCCGCAGGCGACCAAGTGTACGACCACGATAAGACACCAGCTTTGAAGTCGTATGTTGATTGGAAATCAGTAATAGTACTATCATCCACCGTGGAGTCCAAATAAACATCATCGCCCAAGTCAAGGATCAGTCCACTCCAGTGAGGAACACCACTGATCGCTGTGTCCCATCCATACTGGGACAGCCAAGGAAAGTTTGTACCGTTCATCTCTGGTTGGGAATCGAAGAAACCGGCGATGGTTGCGAATGACTGTCGTCGTGAAAAGAGCGGCCAGCCGTTGATGACATCGCCGTCTACTTCTTCGTCAAGCTCAAAGAAGGGGCCAACACTGGCAACATTAATACCAAGGTAGCCATTTGCTACGGAACCGCGCGACTGATAATGGCCCTGGTCTAAGGTCGTTGTCTTGAGGAGCCAATTCTCCTCATCCCAAGTGACGCCGTCGAATTTCGTCTCATACACATTGTCTGAGTCGGCGGCCTTGCTGGGGCCTTCGTGCCGCTTTAAGATCTTAGCGACGCGAGGGGTATGTTTGCTTCGAGTCCCCTGGCTTGGAAGGCCATGGACTGCTGTTAAGAGCAGCGCCCAGGGCGCGAGGTTCTAGGGCCTGGTCAGTTTTTCTGGTCTCTTCTTTGGAGCCTTAATGAGAGTGGAGGTGGTAGACCGCTGCGTACCCTGAGTTTCATTGTCAGTGCCTCTCAGACAGCACTAGAAAATTCGATTGAATGTTTTCTAGCAAGCAAAGTCCAGGACTACCAAGGCACTTAAATAGAGGCAGAAGCTTAAGCCTGGAGGGGTGTATCCCCGGCGCAGATTAAATCCCCACATTCGTATCCCGGACCGGGAACGTAGGTGCAGATCCTGGAGCACCGGTGCGGAGTTTACCAGTCGTCCCAGCCGTTCGATTTGGAAAGCCACTACTCAAAACAGGTACTTAAACGGCACTCGGGTCCCCGTTGAGGTATTTTTCTCTTCCCAAGGATTGTCGCACAGACTTGTCACCGTGACCCAAGGGTTGGATTGGCCAAGGAACCAGTGAATGAACCAACGAAAGCAATTTGCGGGGTTGAATCAGCCACATCCGCCTATACCGAGTCTCTCACTGTAGAGATCGGGGTTGGCCGAGTGGAAAACTGAGCCGACCAGGCCTCATGCCGAGCCGATCATTGCCTTTTACAACTGGGTTTAGTGTGGCCGGTAATTGTCCGTTAAGGTTACATGGGGACGCGAGACTTGACATCATCTTTCTCTTGGGCTTGTCTTGGCCATCTTATCATCCAGGGTACCAGCCAAAGTATGGCACCATTTCCACCTTAACGCTGACTAACATTTAATAGGATTAAAGTTGGAAGGATTTGAGGCTATTGGAAACATTGTGGCTTAGCAGTTCTCCGTTTCATGTCTTTTTCTCTTTTCTTCTTCTTTTTACGTGACAGTCGCTGGTTGGTATTCCTCCTAGGGCCCTTGCCCTAACTAAAGTATGCGTGAAGACTCAGCAGACCAAGTTAACATCGCATCATTTATTAAACCAGTCCAGTGATGCATAGGATATGTAGGTCATATCACAACTATATACGAGATAATGATAAAAATCCAAAACCTCAAAGAAGCGATCGACGATCTAAAGTCTATCGCCGGTTGTAGTACATACTACTAGCAAGGGTAGCAGCATGATCGAATCCCTCGTACCTGATCTATTACCTATGAGAATGTCGCCTGAGGAGCTTAATATAACTTAAAAAATAGTATAATATTAGCTCGTCCTATTGGGGATATGTCTACGATTGTGGCAGGGTACATTCCGCTGCCTGGTAGGCAACATTCACCACGGTTTCACAAACAGATTCAATGATTAACTAGTAATATGTCTTGACCCCAATGTGCTCTCTACATGACTTCGTGCCGCCGTTGTGTTCAGTGTGATATCCCTCCATCGGTTAGAATTCAGAGCTTGTATTGAGACCAGCCTGAAACACTCCACACTCACATCGCCCATACACATTTCCTCCTCACGAAACAACGGCAATGCCTGCCCTCTACGTCGCAATCTACTACCCCCGCTATGGGAACTACCAACACTGGGCTCTCCACCTCCACACCGAAACCGAAGACCTCATCTTCGAAGTTGACGGCGAACATCCTTCCTTTCAAAAAGTGACGTCCCGCGGCAAGCCCTCCGACTCCGATCTCCTCATCATGTCACTGCTGGTCAGCGAAATTGGGGATCCCGACGTGCCCACCGTCAAAGCGGCGGTAGAAGCCGCCCGCGTCGACAATGAAACACCGGAATGGGATTGTCAGGAATATGTGCTGGAAATTCTGGAAGCGTGCGAGCAGGAGGCAGTATTAGATCCAGATGATGAGCATTATGTCGAGGTGATGAAGTTCTTGAAATCGAAGCGGGGGCCCACACTTTGATGGTTGATATTCATATTTGTGGTTGTCGTTGTTTTGACGGATGTGGATGCCGAGTTCGGCTTTCGGCGCCGATGTCGGTTCGGCACGGGATTTCAATCTATGAGTAACGAGGTTGCATTGATGGCGATTAGAAATACGGATACTTAGTTCAACGTTGTTAAAATGGGCCATAGCTTTCGGATACCTGGTTATGAGTGATTTTGTAATAATAATAGTAGTTACTGATCACGTGTCATGAAGTTATACAAAGCTCTTTGACAGCGTGGGCTCTGAGCACCACTCTGTTCGCCTGTGCTTAAATGCAGCCTGACGGTTACTGAATCTGGCAGTTTTATATGTTATGCAGGCCGGTAAATTGGCGCTGTCTATCTCAAAGAACAAGATTTCTGGACGGCAATGAATTGAGACTTGAATAACGTGGTAAACATATGGACACTATTGGTACAACCCTAGATAAGATGACCGGCAGCTCTTAAAGCAGCAAATCCAAGACGTTAAGACTGCAAAGCCCTCATCAACACTCAGTAACCGTTCCACGCCCTAGTCGTTCTTTGTCGAGATGTCCTTACTTCCCGCCCAAGGATTCTTGTCCATATACTGGTGGAAATCCATCATCGTGGCAATCACGCCAACGCCCGGTTCGTCCACAAGGCAGTAAATGTCTCAATATTGACATCAACATACAGACAGTAATAATAGGCCATGTCTCCGGTAGGGATGGGTATGCGCCGTAAAATTGCATAGTGACTACCAAGCATTTAATTCAGAGCTTCTGCAACTTAGCACTAAAGTTTAATGCGAACTGGGTTTCTTTATTAAATCTATTGGAGTTGAAGTTGGGAATTTGTGAAGACAGCCTGCCAGACTGCCACACAATCTGTCAAAGTACTTCCAGCACCCCAAAATTCGGGACTCTAGCACAAGTTTGATATTGTTAAAGCTAGGATTGTATAGCTGAAATTGACTCACTCATTCTACTTAGATGCCCGTTTCAAATCATAGTTGAAGCATTTATATCCAGAACAGGCCATAAAATTAGAATATACGACTCGTCTGACCGTCTGATCCGCCTGGATCGCGCCTTAAATAGCTATAGACCGTGACATGACGCGATCGGTGTGGCCTTGGGCTGGCCACAGCAAAGTACAAGTAGATGCCACCTATTAATGAAGGATTTCTCTAGTACATTGTACATAATACATGATATTCCTATTCTGTCCCTTCCAAAAACCGCCCACTCAGCACTACCTAATCGTATTAGTACAGCTGTAAGGGTCCGTACAACAGTTGTGCGTCTCTTTACCCATCGACCTCAGACATAACAAAGGCCGTGTACGTGCTTTGATGAGATAGACTGGTTGGCCAATATGTTCGTCTGTATTCAAGAATACATTCCGAACTCCAGGCATAAGATAAGAGATCTGTCCTCCTTCGACGCACTATCTTGCGCTTTGAGTTTTATTTAAATATCAAGTTTGACTGACATGTTCTCAGAGATAAGACCTGCAATAATTACATTGCACTAATACTTGATGCCCTCTATAGTGCATGGAAGAGCCAGGATGGAATATTTCACTCCCTTGTACTCTTTCTCTCGTTTCCGAGCATTTATGCCAGATGAATTAGTCTCGCTTACCCCTCCATGAGAGATTTATCATATCGACCCACCACATAGCGGGGCAATCTCAGCTGGCTTCACCTACGCCATACGCACTGACGCACTGATACTGAGGTGGGGTGGGAATAGATCTGTTGATCTCTGTGGATTGAGAGTCTGCAGCGTGATCGGTCCTATCATATCTTATCTTATTTACGGAGTACAGCTGGCCAAAGTCTATAGAAGGAAGCGATCTACAAACACGCCCAGAAGGATCAACACGATCTTTTCGCACCATATTTCCATACTCCCATGAATGACGAGTCGGGCGGGGACCGCTGGGCAGCCACATCCCTGCCTGGAGCTATATATATTTCTGTGATGTCGGCCTCTTCATCGTTCTCTTGAACTAATCTACTATTCCTCTAGCACTGCACAGACTCCTAAAGATTAGTTCTAACAAGCCGCTTTTTACTATTATCTGAACAATGTCTGAGAAAGTGAGATACACCAACCCTAACCCCTGCTCTTCATACTAATTCGTGTATAGACTATTGTGATCCAGTTCGCAGATCGTATAATATGGCAGGAGAGTCGCGAGGCTATTGACAAGTATGTTGCAGTGGAACGAAATGTCTCAGGGACCACTAGAAATGCGCCATGGCTGACAATTTCAGCATCCTCACGGAGTTCACTGGAAAACGCTCGGACAATTATCCCCAAACCAAATCACTCCCGCCATTAATAGTTGGCATTGAGTATAGCTCCTACCCTTCTTCTTCTTCTTCTTTGTCGGAGGGGTGACTATTTAACTTATGATTGTATCGGTTCTAATGTTCTGATTTGATCCAGAATCAACGACGAAGGTATTGCAAAATTGAGGGAACTCGATGGAGTAACTGTCAGAGTGGATGGAGAAGAATAGTTGGCTAGCCAGCGTGGTTAAAGTTTCATGGTACCCAATACTCATATATAGCCTCCAGTTCCTACTTCGAATTTATCATCTATTAAGTATCTGAATATTTTAAATAGTAACTCTGAGCTAAACCTTATATACTTTATATTGTATATTTATATTTATTAGATCGATATTATCAATTATAATATAATCCTTTAGTCTTATATCCATAAAATTGATAAAGATTATTCTGAATTGATATATCAGACGTATACTAAATATTATTTAGATCACTATTTGGAAAGAATATGCCCTCTATATTACTAGAACTATATATGACCAAAGTCATTTTATATATTGATCATAGTATATCCATGGTGGTATAGGGGGTTTCGCTGTTAACACGATATATCATATCAACACTAACATACTAAGTACTAGCTGCACAAGCGTAGTCAGTTTTCATACGCATGCATCATAGCCAGGGATTTTGGCTCGTAAGTCATATCTTATTCATAATGATTCGCTGTAAATGCATGCACATCTGCTGGGTAAATTGTGATGGAGACATTCTGATTAGCCGGCCTAATCAGTATCAACATGTCGGTCGTTGCAGCGTGATTCTTGAAATAGTCATAGAAGCAAAGGGTACGTCAACGAAAAGAAGCTATTTCTCCCATCCTGAAAGGGCATTCACCATCTTAATCCTATCCGTCGCCACGCTTCCTTCCTCATTGCCGCTGCCGTGTCCTGTGTCCTCACCACGGCCCCCTGATTCTCAACCGCCCGACGCAACAAGAAATGAAGACACTCCTCGGTAGTCCCCCAGGCCAGACACTTGAAGACCTTAGGAAACACAGATGCCTCCACGGGGCTTTTCCCGCTCGACGAAGCGTCGGACTCCGGTCGATACTCAGCCAATAATCCGCAGCTCACCTCATCCGCCATACCCTGCAACTGGCCCATCTCCAAGGGTATCGTGGGTAAGCCGTTTAGAATCCGATGTCTCGAAGTTGAATATGCCCTCCGCACACTTTCCGCGTTATGCGTTGCGACGAAAAGCCTAGCATCCGGGAACTTTGTGTCCTGTAATTCTTGGAACGGAGACTGCCGCGAGAGCAGACTCTCCACGATGTGGTTGTAATTCCGATCGGTGTCAGCCTTGGTATCATGAATCCTGTCCCGAATATCGTGTTGGATGTACGCGCCCCGGACGAGCTTGATTCCCAGCGCCCAACCCTCCTTTCCGGCAAGAGTGAGATGGCGATGGATGTTCTCGGCGGACGATTTCAAATACGCCTGCACGGTGTTAAGCACGACGACCCTGCCGTCGCGGTTGAACTGTCTCATGAGATCGATCGTCCAGGCGTCAATGGCTGGTTGGAAGATCTGCTGCTCGGCGTCGATCCAAAACCGGGAACCCTGGGCGGCAGTTGCTTCGCAGATTTCTGTAATAGCTTGCTTGATGCGTGGTGGTGGAACGAGATCGCCGCGGGCGAGAGCTTCGACGGCTGCAGGGCCGGCGCCGGTGAATCTGATTTGTGTTAGAGTATGTCATGTACCACGTTTCAGGTTGGTCGTGCCATACTTGATATTCATGTAATCCCCCTTGCCGACCATCCGGAGTGTCCGTAAGTTACCCTCCTTCCATTCGTCCACTGCACGGTCTTCGATGGCCTGGTCATTCTTCCATTCTTCCACGTGGGAAGCAGCTCCGTCGATCTTTGCGACAGACTCCCGGGCATATCCGAGGATGACGCCCTTGAAGCCGAGAGTCTTCATATCTTGAACCGTTTTACGGACTTCCGTCTCATTTACACCCGCACAGAAGTGGTTGTAGATGGTTGCGCGGAGGATGTAGTTCATGATAGGGTTCTTAGACGGGCTAAGCAGCGGTGACTTGGAATCGACCACATATTTCAGCACCGCGATGGAAGGTTTCAAAAGCGGCGACGCCATCGCTGACGTCAGGAATAAAGAGCGAAGCAGTGTCTTCGTCGGCAAGTCCGCGAGAGGCGCCCTCTTTTGCGCAGGCGATGCATGGAGGCTTGCGTTGTGGGCGGGCGACGACGCCGCAGCATCGGCCAGCGGCTTGGACGCAGAGTAGAACGTCTCTGGCTTTCTCGGCCAGAATACCTTTGGCTTCATTGTGATTGACTTGTGTTTGACAATTACTGGTATGATCCTACCCTGCTCTACTATTTATCTTACGATCTCGTCGCCCCGTGGGAGGGGTATGCCTGCCATTCGCGCTTTTGCTCCGGGGAAAAGGACAGGCGGCTTGAGGACCGATTGGTCTTTGGGCGAGGATCATCGTGGATCTGGGGTGATAAGGCGAGTGAGATGTCGTCGTTGACCGAATAAGCTCTGAACAGATGGCTGTCGGAGGGGCAAGCCGCATCTCTGCTCGGTTAGGGTTTCCGCGCGGAGACGAGATGCGCTTTTCTCCTTACTTCATCCACGTAGACGGACTTTCCAGACACACCGACACGAGCATTACTCAGGACTCTGAAGTCTATATTCAAGTCTAAATCGATCATGTAATACCCCACATTCACTTACATACATACAAATCCCACCTTGGCCAATCTACGTCTCCCCCCTCAAGTGCTTGATGCCTCTCACCAACGCCTCAGCATACGCTCCGCGCACCCCATTCTTCTCCAGGGCATACAATCCCTGGATAGTACACCCTTTCGGCGAAGAAATGCTCTCCCTCAAAACCGCCGGATGCACCCCCTCCCTCAACAACCCAGCCAAGCCCTCCAACACCTGCGCCGACACCTCCATGGCATCCGGGCGTCGAAAGCCCTCCATAACAGCACCATCCATAATGCCATCAACAGCAACAGTCATGAGCGCCATGGCCGCCCCCGAAACCATCGACCCAGCATTCACCAAATCCGGCGCCACGAACTTGACCGTGCCAATCTGCTCGAAAATCCACTTCAGAACCTCCGCCCGCTCCGGCGAGAGCGCCTCATTCTCCTCAACAATCGTCATGGACTGACGCAGCCGCGCCGCCACATTCGGCATCGCCGTGACAATCACCGGCCTGTCCTCCGTCTGCGATGCTGAGCCACCATCATCCCCATACACGAACTCCATGATCTCAGCCGGCGTCTTCCCCGCCATGACGCTGATCACGAACTTCCCCGCCAGCGCCGCCGCCACGCCCGGCTCGGCCAGAATACTCTGCGCCAGGAACGGCTTGCACGCCAGCATGACGATGTCTGCGTCTTGCATGGCGCGCACATTGGCTCCATGCGCGACGGTCACCCGCGACGAGTCTGCGGCGTATTCGGCCCGCAGCTTGGCCGCTGATGTTGCGCTTTTCGTGCTCACGGTGAAGTGCGTGATTTTGGCGGTTGCGGGTTCCGAGCGGGTGGCGTCTAAAAGCCCGCTTAGGATTGCGGAGCCCATGTTGCCTGCATTGTTTTGTTAGTGGGCTCTTCTGTCTTGGTATATAGTGGAGGTTGAGAGGTGTACCGCAGCCGATGAAGGCGAGGGTTGTTGGCATTTTGGTTGTGTGTTTTTGTTTTGGGATTGGGGCGGTGGTTGTTGGTTGTAGAGGTGTTGTTTTGTGGTTTTGGGATATGGTGGTGCTGGTTTAAGCTGTCGGGAGGAGATGCCGAGCTTGACTCATTAGATGGCTATCTTCGGTGGCCTTCGCCGCGGTCGTTGATCTGGTGGTGGTTCTTGGTAAGGTGGGTGGATTAGTGGTGGACCGCGAGAGTATCGGCATTGGGCGTTTACTTAGGTATTAGGCAACCTGGGGTGGTTTGTACCTGTCTAGGTTAACTATATATATACTTGGGTCAACTATGTAGTTCTCGTAAAGATGGAATGGACGATTTAAAAAAGGGAGGGCCCGCCGCGGATCGAACGCGGGACCTCTGGCAGGTTTCATACCACTAGGCCACCCGGGCCGTGGAAAGATTGGCTGCTCGATACTACAATATACAAGAGCCAAATTTCAATCTCGAACATTCAAATATCCAAGGTTGCAAACTTTTGTCTGCTGTGGTGTATATTGCACAATATCATATAATTTGTAGGGTTTCGAGTGTATATGAGGTAGTTGAATCAGTATAAAAGATCCAGAGTAGTTCTGATTACAATCAGATGGCTTGTACGTGGTTCTTCTTGGGATTAGCTTTGTCCGTGTTCAGGCTAGCGGTTATATATAATGGTCATCACTGTATTCTAGGGTTTAGCAGTCATTAGGTCAACTAGGAATAAATTTGATCCAACTGAACCCCTATTTCTATCTAAAAAAGAGGCGAACATTTTGTACTTGATACCAGGAAGTAGATACCGAGCATCCCGGCCAGGAAACCGTATCTAAAGTCCCAACTCACCCACATTCGCACTCGGCCGCACCCCCTCCACCATGTCCGCCACGACCCTCCCAGTCCCCAACGACAACGAGATCCCCCAAGGACCATGGCCAGAGGCCACAAAAACACCCCCATGACCATCAGTCCTCACCCCATCTCCCAGTAGATCATCGTCTACCCGACATACAACAGGCGTCCCCCGATCGGAAACAGGACGGAAGCACAGTCCCTCACGAAGAACCTCCAGATCATCCGTGTTGCGTATCTCAGCATCCTCATCCATGAGCTTGCCCATCAACTGGGCTGACACAGCCTCTAGCCTCTTCATCTCATTCCGATCGATCAAACTGCGGGACTCCTCTGCCCGACCCGGCAGCGACATGTCTGGATCGTTCAGCCCAGCAATGTAGATCTCGCCGCCCTGTCGCGAGAAGATTTCCGGGCTGAAGCCGCAGGAGAAGGGATTTGAGGTAAATATAGCATGGCACCGACCTCCGTATGTCTGTAGTTCGTGTTCTAGGGTGTGTCTAGGAGAACGGAGGACGAGAGAGTATCCAGCCAACTGCGAGACGGGGATGGAGACGCGAGCGGAAGGGAAGAGATGCTCGAAGACATGCGACGTCCAAGCTCCCGCACAGATAACAAGATGGGTACACGGGATGGTGGACGTTTCCCGTGAGACGAGATCGACAATTCGGATGCCAGTAATACGCCCGTTGGCATCTGTGACGAGCGAAGTAGCCTTCGCCGGATGGTGGAGCTCTACACCGCGAGATATAGCCGTATCCATCAGGAACTGGCATAGTTTCAGCGGATCACTGGATATTCATTAGCCTATACTCAACACTTGAAAGGAAAATACCAACACCTGGGCAGTATCAGCATCACTAATCCTCTCCACCTTCACCCCCGGCCGAACCGTCAACCAGGCCGGAGCCCCCATCGCAGCCCCCAGAGTGGACTGAGAAGCAGTCTCCGCTCGACTAGCCCCCCTATCCATCCAGTCGTCACCGCGAATACCACTCCCTCTCTTAATCGTCGCATCATAGCTCAACGCTGTCCCTTTCATATACCCCCACCTCTCCACCCCACCGTGCTCAACAGCCAGACTCTCATGCAGCCCAAACGAAAGCTCACCTAAAGAAGCAACAGCCGGTGCAAACCAATCCCTAGCCAGGAACCCACCCGCATACCCCGACGCAGAGCTAAACAGCTGCGACGAGGATTCAACGACATGAATGTCCCCCGCCGGAAGGGTCTCGGATAGGTAGTAGGCGGTTGCGGAGCCGATGATTCCCCCGCCGAGGATTACGGTGGGCATTTTGGGGGGTTGGTTAGGAGAGTCTGTGTTTTAGGGGGGGTGTTGGGATTGTGTGCCTGATTCTGGGTGATGTAGATCGGGGCTTGATATGTAATCGGGGAGGGTTACATTGCTTATCTTGTGGGGTATTGGGGAAGTGCGGAGATTTGGCTGTCGGGTTGGATGCTATCTCGGAGGCGGTATCTTTACGATTACTGGATGATGAGGTCGAGTGCAATGTCAGTGATTTATTACTACCTCTAAATAAGTATGATATGAATCATTTGTATCTATTCCTCAGGCAGTAAATGATGTCATGGCGTGACTGTCCGACCGATGGTGCCTTGATTTTCAGGTCTGAGAATCTTCGGGCAAGAGGACTTTGGTTCGGACGCGAGTCAATTCAAATCAAGGATCTCATCCTACTTAGACTCCATGATTGGCCGACTGCCAGCGATGTGGAATGCAAGGGAAATGATAAATAGCGGCACGCTCTCCCCAGGAGATTCAGGTAGACGAGACAAGGTGTCAAGGTATACATACACCCATCACTAGATAATCCAAGATGGCCGCAACCAGGCCCCAAACACTAGCCGGCAAAGTCGCCATTGTGACAGGCGCAACGAGAGGAATCGATGCCGGGCTAGCTGAAGAAGTGGCCCGCCGAGGAGCGAAAGTGAGTAGAGTATACCCCGATCCCTTCACCGTCTCTATCTAACAGTTCAATCAGGTCTTGATAACATACACACCGTCAAGCAGTGAATCCATCGCAGACCAAATAATGGAGCACATCCAAAGCTTCAAAAACGGCGCAGGTGCAGCCCAAGTCCGCGCCGATCTGCGCCAACTATCCGCGGGACAAACGATTGTCGAAGCCTCGATGCAAGCGTTCGGTGCCCACATCGATATCTTGGTTAACAACACCGGCGTGGAGTTAGTGAAGCCCCTGTCGGATCTCACGGTGGAAGACTACAACCTCGTCTACAACCTGAACGTCCGCGGAGCCGTCTTTCTAACACAGGCTGTTCTCCCACATCTGCGTGCGCCCGGCCGGATCATCAATATTAGTTCGATCGGTGCACGGGAAGGAATCGCCAATCTGTCGACTTATTGCTCGTCTAAGGCGGCCTTGGAGGGCTTGACGCGGTGCTGGGCTGCAGAGTTGGGCGGTGCCGGGCATACGGTGAATGCTGTTAATCCGGGGCCGGTGCACACAGCTTAGTGGAACTGCAGAAGTCGGTGACGCCCGTGGAGCATCGGGCTGGGACGATTGACGATGTTGCGCAGGTGGTGGCGTGGCTTGCTTCCGAGGAGAGTCGGTGGGTTTCGGGGCAGGCGATTGCTGCTTCTGGGGGGTACGTGATGTACTGATTCTTGGGTATGTTGGATGCTGGAGGTGGCAGATGAAGTCAAATAGACTATGGTAAACGGATGGTTGGGGTTTCAAGTGGTGTAAATGAGAGACCATGTTGAATATTCCATTTGAGTATAACTTGCTAATGAGAGACAAACACTGCTTGGATACTGTATCCACGCGTTGTGTGTGTGTGCAAAACAAACTATGTCTGCTTCTGACATGTATACGGTTACATATATGTGTGGCACCTCTGTATCCCCAATAAACATCAAATGTTTGCGATGGCCGCAGCTTCGGGATCGGTCACCATGTGAGCAGCATCAAAAGGCTGGTGTGTAATGGTGGTGCAGTTTCTTGTAGTCTTCCTACCAGCGAAGCGCCCATCAATAAAAGCTAACCACTCAGGGGCACTTGCAGTCAGCACATCAGAGTGATCCATTCCGGGATACAACCTAAGGTGGGCCTCGTTCCCGTAGCGACAGGTGTCCTTGAACGAGTTAATAGTAGTCTGGGGCAAGACGGCTGTGTCATTCAAGCCCTGGATGATCATCATAGGCTCTCTAGCCTTGTCACCATTGGCGGGAGCGACCATATCCTGCCACTCCTGGAACTCCGGGTTGTTCTTGATTGCTGGAGTAAAAATTTCTGAAGGTTTTAGCCCATAAGCAAGTGACATGATACCGTAATTACATGCTTGCGCCATGTCGGCAAGTTTTGTTCGGTTCTGGAGTGTTTCAGCAAACGGTGCGCGACTCATGTGTGGGAAGACACGCTCAATGGCAAATGGTAGCCAGAGTGTCTCATAGAGAATGTCGTACGATGCATAATCAGAGGTCTGAGATAGCAGTTCGACGCCAAGTAGGGTCATGTCGTAAATCTTGGAGGCAGGTGCTAATGCAACAGTGCCTAAGTACTTTCCGGCGGCTCCAGTTTGAAGCAACTCGCTCTCCGAAAGCTTCCAAACTGCACCGCCTCCTTGAGAATGTCCAACACCCATCCATCCATCGGTAAAAAGCCCAGGGAAGGCTTTCCGAGCGGCAACCATACTATAGTAGAGATCATTGGCATGCGCAGGGAAACTAAGGTATTTGTGCTCCGTGTAATTGTTTCCGAGACCAGCATAGTCAGTCGCGATGATGGCGTAGCCCTTCTCAACGAAGATACTCCAGCTGGTATAGTCGTAGAGCGTTGGGGTAGTGGATGGCGGGCATCCAGCAAAAACGCCAATGGTGCCGTGGGCGTAGGCAATAGCCGGGTACTTTTTGTCCTTGCGGAACGATGTATAGGGTATTCCGATGAATCCGGTAGCCGGAACGGGGGAGCCGTCTAGGTTTTGAGACGTATATTGGAAGCGGTAGGCAGACATACCACTGAGAACATCGAGGTCATCTGGGTCAATGGCTTCAAACTTCAACAGATCACCGGGCTGGGATCGGGAGAAATTGGATGCTGTGGCATAGAAGCCGAATTCAAAATCGGTCCCAAACAGCGTGCGGTCCTCAGCTTGTGCATAGTTAAAAACCTCCTGACAAGTAGCATCGCATCCGTAGGTCTCAAGGGTTGTAGTTGATAGGTTAAAGTTTGCAGCCGCTTTCGCAGCCGTCAAAGATGGGGCGGCTAAGCCGAGAAGTATAGCCAATGTTAGCATGGTTGGCCGTACAGAAATAGGAGGGTAAGACACAAGCTATAGAGAGCGAGAGATAAAGAATACCTCGAGAAGATGGGACGGCTCTCGTATTTTATAGAGTTGAAATCGGCAAAATCTCCATGTCGAGATAGGGCTTCTTCCCCGACGTACCCGACCCCGGATGCCACTATTCTAGTTTGGGCAACAATATCGCGAAAGTGGGGAAGCCCTAGCAAGGGCCCTCGGACGGTTGCATTCTGGATCGGCTTCGCATCGGCCTTTGTGACTTTGTCTCGTCTCTTCAAATGACTCGTCCAAAACACATAACCCCTTCACTGGATGGCGATTGGTAGTTCTCGGATTTGGTAGAATGCCCTGTGGTGCCCATGATGGCCGTCGTCTCGGTCACCGGTGCGAACGCTGCCGGAGAGATCATAGCAAAGTATGCAGAGTGTCCATACCCCCTGAACTTCTCAGTCATGCTGATCTACTTAGTGTGACGGATCTAGGCCATGTCTAGCATGCAAGCGAAAGGGAGTGGAGTGTGCCTCACCCCGCACATCGAGATCCACGTTGTCCATTGTCCAAAGTCATCCTCCCCTTGACCCTCGGCCGTGCAAGTCACTATCCACGGACAGACCTAGGCACTATACTAATGCATTCTTCTTTGCTCTTGGGCTCTCACCTACACTCCTTACCGTATTTTCTATCAATGCAATGACATCAATGATCCAGGAGAACAAGATACTTCAAGATACAGTCTCGTTGGTTGGGGGCTTCTATGCCTCTCGTAGCTCGAATTTGCTGACATTCTCGAAGAACGAGAAAAGAGACCTAGTGGTTCAATGGCGTCAGCTGCAGAAGTCTGTTGCACTCGGCATCAAAGAGGTGTCCAGTGACGGCAAATCAGATGTTCTTCTAGCCTGTGCTCTTCTGCTCAGTTTCGTTCAGGTAATGAATATTGGGCTGCGCATAGTACAGCAGTTTACGATCCTTGGCTTACAAACCCTAGATCCTGGATGACACTTCAGGGAGATCATGGTGTGCATGGGTTTACCAGTTGCATGCCTTTGTCTGGCGAAATGGGAAATCGGTCGCACCTTTGACACCTCTCTTGCGGTCGATGCGCAGGTTAGCCCGTATCATGAATGCCTTGAGGGCTCTTTGTCTAGAGCAGGACCTCGACCTTGCGCTACCCTTCCGTTCGCACGATTTGGGTTCAAGGGTGGACCATCTGCCTCCGCATGGGCAGGATGCATCCGCATTGTCCGATGACCAGCTCCTGGACTACTTCTGCGAGGACCTGGAGATGTGGGCTAAGTTGCAGTGGCTGTGAGCAGAATATCGCTTTTCGGGTATGCACAAGACTGAAACTAACAAATTGCAGGACCGCAGATTGGAAAACCAGAAGTAAGGAGTTGGGTCTGCGACTGGACCCAGAACTTCGCAAATTCCCGGGAAGAAGATTATCTGAACACGAATACCAGGGGGTAGAATTGACTTGTATTGCGTCCCGATTCCAGCGGGATATCATTGCCTCTCTGCTTTGGTACAGTGGCGAAAATGGCAGCAGCGTTACGAATATGCTGCTAGCGTTTTACCACTGCGTTAGCGTCGACATCTCGTTGATGTTTTGTGATTCGGTCTGGCTCTCTCTGAATTGTGAACTGCCAGTTATGACACACCAGATGAGTTATGAACAAGCGACCAATGCGTTGCAGCATGCAGAGAAAGGCCTTCAAAGTTCATATCTTGAGGCAATTTTCTACGCCCCAACTTTGTATACAGTCAGCATGACGAGGAGATACAAGTCCGAACGGAGTCGCATAGTGGATTTTATTAGCAGGCTGAAGCAGAAGGGCTTTTTCGTTGCGGATCAGTTTTTATCCGTGATTGAAGAAGCATGGGCCGCTAGATGACAGCGATTTTGTATGATACCCAAGGTAGAGCAGCAGGCTGTTCTGCATGCCCGGAATTCGAACATTATGAGTAGTGATGTGACTCCTCGGAGTAGAATTTGGTGATCTCTTCTTTCGATGAGTTGGAGACAGAAATTCAATGCTATAATCGGAAAGATAGCAACATCACTCTATGTAAGTGAGTTGAGATACATGTAGATAACGAGAGGGAGAAAAGTTGCTGATCGATGCAAACATGCGACCCCACATGATGAGTGATGCCTGAGGTATTTGCCCCTCATTCCGTGCAGAAATTACATCACCGCCAATGGGAGCTCGTTTCTGTTCCACATCTTCGACCAGGGTACTGTCGAAGTCAATCCAAGCAACCAACTTCTATTCGAACTCATCCCCAAACCTGTTCTCATAAACTCGATCTCGCATAATGTCTGCCAAAACAATTATTGTCACCGGTGCCTCGAGAGGTCAGCAACACGACACCAGAACCGTCAGTACGAGATGTATTAACAAAAATCTCCTGCAGGCATCGGTCTCGCGATCGCCAAGTACCTCCTCACCTCCCCTCAATCGCACAACGTCGTCGTGATCGCTCGGAGTGTTGAGCCCCTCCAGAAGCTGAAGGAGCAATACACCAAGCAGGTGGAGGTGCTCAATGGCGATCTTACCGATCTGTCCATCGGCCAGAAGGCCGTCGACCTAGCCCTCAAGTCCTTCGGCCGTTTGGATGGAATGGTTCTGAACCATGGTGTGCTGGGACAAGTGGGCAAGATTGCTCAAGCAGATCCAGAGCAGTGGAAGCACGGATTCGACGTAAACTTCATCAGCTTTGTTGCCTTTGTGAGTTCATGAGTTTCCTGGCAGGGTGCCAAGGCGGATGGATATTAATTGGTTGGGCAGGTCAAAGCTGCTCTTCCAGCACTTCGTGAGACGAAGGGCAAGCTTGTCTTCACATCTTCCGGTGCTTCCGTGTCAGCTTACAGAGGATGGGGTCTGTATGGAGCAACCAAGGCAGCGATGAACCATCTTGCGCTTACCTTGGGCGAGGAAGAGCCTGACGTTACAACGATCTCGATTCGGCCCGGAATGGTTGATACCGAAATGCAGCGCGAGCTGCGAGAAGACCATGCTACAACGCTGGAACCCCAGGTCCACTCCAAGTTTACTACGGTTCACAAGGATGGAAAACTCCTCAAGCCGGAACAGCCTGGCCATGTCATGGCCAAGTTGGTGCTTGATGGCCCCAAGGACTTGTCGGGTAAATTTCTATCGTAAGTTTCTACAACTCTTAATCTTACGGCAAAGCTGACCCAAACAGGTGGAATGACAAGGCTCTCGATGCCTTTCAGGCATAAGTTACAACCTATCAGCTTAATAGACAGTTAGCATAAACCGCCTTTTGAGAAAATGATACATGTAGAACAGTAAATTGGGGTAGTAATCAGCCGAAAGATGAAAAGCAGGTACATTTTCATAAGCATTAGATGCAGAGCACCTTCATACTTAGCATGGAATGTGTATTTGTTCATCATACAAAGTTGTAAATACAAGAAAAAAGCTCGAAGCTTACCTTGTCATAACAGGTTCGTCACATTTTGATCCGATTGGGAAACCATGAACAACTCCTAGATTACTTCATAACTGTTAGTGAAGGCCATAACATTTCTTCACGACAAAAAAGATGAATGGTAATAATTTTCAGTAGTCCGTTTGGCTTGGACAGTGTACGTCACCATGAAAGGTATGATAGGGGCGACAACATTGTTCATCATTGTAGTAGAAGGAATGTAGCAAGGTAAATAAACATACCATTTATGTTAGTACTGCACACGGCTGCAGTTCGAAGAGTTTTGAATTCCTCAACATCAAAAGGACATTCTCGCTTCCCATTGTTGTGGGAAAAAGCGTGTGTGGAAGAGAACAGGGAAAAAAAAAGCTGCAGAGCCAAGAAATACTCCCCAAAGCGGTAGGATTCTGCCGCCAGTACCCACTGGTTGTTCCGTGCCGACGCAGTCCGCGTCTGGCATTCGATCGACGCTACTATTTATTGTAAGTATAGTCCCCGCGCATTGGGAAAAAAAGTGATCCTTCACCTTGACAACAGCTTCTCTGTGCGTGCGAGCGTGTTTCTCTCCCAACAATCTCACTTCAATAAGGGACATCATGTCGGATCGCGAATTCAGTTGTAAGTATTGTGTTCCTGGGTCTTGGCGCATGCTGTTGGAATGGAGCTGACGCTGATCTACTTCAGCGAACGATGACCTGTCGCTTCCTAAAGGTATGCATCCGAGTCACTCAGTATTGATTGTTCCAACCTCCTAGCCTGAGTGTCGCTACGCTAAATCTCTCGACTACGCGTACTTTGTCGCTTGAAGATGGCGATATAACATCTCTACGTATCTACTGCCAGCAGACCCCATCCTAACTGATCGCGATTATCTAGCGACGGTCCAAAAAATCATCACCGAGATTCTACCCCCTTCTTCCGGCCAGACCTTCTCCAAAGATGCTCGCGATCTCCTGATGGAATGCTGCGTCGAATTCATCACCCTGATCTCCTCCGAAGCCAATGACATCAGCGAGAAAGAGGCCAAGAAAACAATCGCCTGTGAGCATGTAGAGCGGGCTCTGCGTGATCTTGGGTTTGGCGATTATATCCCCGACGTGCTTGCTGTGGCAGAGGAGCACAAGGAGCAGTTGAAGGTGGGTGGAATCACTACGTGCTGTGTCTAGCGGGACGGACTTGCTAACGCGTATATTGCTCTATAGTCGCGAGAAAAGAAGCAAAGCAAGATGGAGCAGAGTGGACTGTCGGAAGAGGAGCTGCTACGACAGCAGCAGGAGCTGTTCCGCTCTGCTACGGAGAAGTACCACGCTGCCCCGGAGTAAATGCCTGGGTTGGATAACTGAATATGAAATGCGTTTGACTCTTGCTGGCCATAGAGGGAACAGGTTCGGAGTTTTGTCTTTCGGCTGAAGAATCTCGGAGTTTAGGTTGTCTGGGATTGAAACCATGGTTTCTGAACGGGTTGGTTGGCCTTTTATTTGTCCTTTTAAGTATAGTTGCATTGATATCTCGACTTTTGCCTTTAAGTACGCAAAATGCTTGGACGTATGTAATACCAATGCTGTATGGGTTGTAATCTGACGACGATATCAACATACCTTTCCTACTTGTACAGGATTGAGTGATCCATGAATGTTGAAGCGTGAAGTTTTGATGCTTAGATATCCGGTCAGCGGATCAATATGGATCAATAAGCAAATTGTATGTAGTGCCGTTCTTTTGTGTGTAGATTGAGTGATGTACAGTACCTCTAAGTGGAAGCACCGACGTGACGGGCGCGCTTAGCCCGAACGGGTAGCCGCCCAACCTCCCGCGCGCGCAAAGTGTCGCCCGCTGCAAACACCGCGGAGCATCCTGAGGCCGCGAAAGCATTGCGACGATTCCCCAAGCCTCATCGTCCACGATGCCGCCTTTCAAAGATGAGCACATTTTGGTACGTCACCCTCCATTCACTGCGGCCCCGAAACCAGGATTCATCCCGTACTAATCCCGTCCCTCTAGATAATTGCGCCAGGCTCCCAGGTGACCCTGGCGCAACTGGGTCTTCCCGAATCATTCACACCCGCTCGCTATCGCTTTCCCACGCGGATGTTCCCTGCAGAAAAGAAGGGCGAATTTGAACCATATAAGATCCGTGAGCGGCGACAGGAAGGGAAACCTAGCAATGGGACGGACGCGCCCAAAGAGGATGTGGAGATGAAAGATGCGGAACCCTCCGCTCCAGAAGGCACAGGCAACAACGAAACCGCCCCCAAGCCCGAGAATGGTGAGCAAGAGGGCAAGAAAGAGCCTGCCGAGGGCCAGGAAACCAACGGGGAGACGAAAAAGGAAGCCCAGGAGATCTTCTACGAGGAGGATGTTACATCAGATGAGGGGGCTATCTACCCCATCGAGAATGGGCACATTGTCGACTGGCCGTGCTTTTTTGCCCTCCTAACACATGTTCACAATACTCTCAGCCCTCCATTTCACACGCCGATCATGCTTATCTCCCAACCGGCTTGGTCAGCGCGCGACCGGGAGGCAATCACTCAGTTTGTGTTTGAGAAGTTTAAGACGCCCGCCTTCTGCATGATGGATTCTGCTCTCGCCATCTGCTATGGATACGGTACCTCGACTGCTACGGTTGTCGATGTTGGCAAAGGGAAAGTGGACGTTACCGCCGTCACTGATTTCCTGGTCAATGAGCATGGACGAGGGATTGCCCTGCAAGGTTGCGGTGGAGATTACATGACGGACAGACTTCAAGAACTGCTGGGATCAAAGGGCTTCTCAAGAGAAATGTGCGAGCAGTTGAAGAGGAGCAACATTACCGAGATTCTACCAGCTGGAACGCCCTTGCCGGGCACCGCAGCCACCGCGCGACAGAACCCTAACCCTGCCGCCTCAGCTTCTACGGGAGGACAAGAGGGAGGCCCCAATGATGCCGTTCCCCGCGGCCCTGGCGATGGTACTCAAACTGGCCCAGAAGGCACCAATGGAGAAGATGAGGATGAAGGCGTGCTGGATGTTGCAGCTATTGTCAGTGGCAACACTAGCGAGTTCCTAGCAAACCGAGAGAAAGAGAAAGCGGAGAAATCGAGTACGAAAAAGGGCTCGATTGACCAAGGTGGGAAGCCTATTCGTCTTCCCAACTCCAAGAAAGAGAAGGCCTCGTTCCAATACGAGGAGTACGCGCGATTGGAGCCGGAAAAAGATGCGCCCAACGCTCCTCCACGATACATCCGCCAGACAAGAGAGATCGAAGTCGGTGTTGAGCGTTTCTTGTCTGTGACTCCGAAGCAAAAAACCGGGGAGCGTTTGACCAGCAATATTCTTGAAGATATTGCAACGCAAATCCACCATACTATTCTTGCTGTGCCTGATGCCAGCAAGCGCAGCGAACTTTGGGATTCGTTGGTCATCGTTGGTAACGGGAGTAAGATTAAAGGTATGTACCTTATTTTTGACCTAGTATGGCCAGATTCGCTAATCAACGGATGTAGGATTCACCCAAGCTCTACTTAACACCATCACACAAAAGTTCGTTCTCTCGCCATCTGCCACTATCTTCACTTCTGAGCTCCCTTCCAATTTCTCCACCCCTATGCCGACCGGAGGAACCAACACTCCCGCACCTGGTCAAACCGGACCGTACAATGCCCACGGCGTGAACCCCCTGCTGGTTGCTGCAACACATTCGAACAACCCGGCGGCTGGAAACATGCCCCCAGGAACCCCATCAATGGATCCTTCTATGGCTTCCCACTATCGCTCTACCGGCCATTCTCAGACCCCAACCTCCGTCAAAACCCTGAAGCCCCCAGAGTACTTCCCCGAGTGGAAGGAGCACGGCAACTCCAATGCTCCTGGTACCAGCGGGTCTGCAGGAATGAGCAACGGTCCCAACGCTGGGCCTGGTGGCCCAGGTGCGCCAAGTGGCGGTCATGGGATGGAGGAAGCGGTATTTCTAGGAGCCCAAGTCGCTTCTAAGGTTGTTTTCGTTATTGATCAAGGGCTCAGTAAGGGATTCATGACCCGTGTGGAGTATAATGAGAATGGGCCCTCTGCAATCCATGAGTATTCCATGTGATTGTTATTAATAGAATTAGTATATGGAATTCAACACTTTGTCTTCTGTCAACCAGAGTTGAATTCAACAAGAAAATGGTTTCTTTCGTCTGGGCTTATCTAATGCGTTGGAGCTTGTTGAACATGACACTTGGTCTTCTCACATATGGTTATTGTATTCTACGTGTTGGCGTCCTTGATTAGAAAAGCAACCCTTTGTCAGGATGCGGTAGGATAGGTGGAGTCTGGTTGGAAATCCTAGGTATAGTACTAAATACGAGTATTTTTTTTTCTTCCCAAGTGTACTTTAATCAAATCGTTCCAGGACCATGTCCATACTATATAGTATTCAGTACTATTAGTACTAGTAGTATGTATGGCCTTGGTCTGCCTGAGGTGCAGATTGGCCAGATCTGCACTAACCTGATCTGGATAGCGACCTTTCTAGAACACCACGTGACTAGGATAAGGATGCTTATCTTATTTCCGCCTCAATGTGTCTCCGCCGTCGCGACTTTCTCCCAATATCAGATTTATATGACCAAGAAAGACTGAAAGAACAGCTGATACCTACGCCTTTCACCTGAGCCGCAGAGCTCCCATTGTACTTCCAACCAGTCTCACAGCTCACATACGGGGCTACGCCACCCAACATCTCCCAAAATGCCGCGCGCAGAAGCAGGAAGCACGAAGGCCATCAGCAACAAGATCAAATCTGTACGCCCCATCTAACCCGCTGCAAGCATACAAGACTGAAAATGTACTAACCAAACACAGAAAGGCCTTCAGCGACTCCGATGGTACTGTCAGATGTGCGAGAAGCAATGCCGAGATGAGAACGGATTCAAATGGTAAGTGAACCATTGTCTCTTCTCGCATGGCCCTCTACTAATCATCAATTCCTCAAACGCAGTCACACCCAAAGCGAAAGCCACGTGAGAAACGCTCTTTTGGTTGGCGAGGATCCGAGAAAGTATATCGAGGAGTACAGCAAGGACTTTTTGAATAACTTCCTTACTCAGTTGAGGACGTCTCACCAGGAAAAAGCTATACACGCCAACATATTTTACCAGACTATCGTCGCGGATAAGACGGTGAGTTTTTACCTTTTTTTAATCTGTGGTTCGCGTCGGGTGAGGGCTAATAAATATCTCTAGCACGTGCATTTAAATGCTACAAAATGGAAGAGCCTTACGCAGTTTGTCGCTTATCTTGGACGGGAAGGGCTTTGTCGTGTTGAGGAGACTGAGAAGGGTCTTTTCATTGCGTATATCGATCGGAGTCCGGAGGCGATGAGGCGGAGAGAAGCTCTTTCGAAGAAAGAGCGTCAGGATCGCGGTGATGAGGAGAGAGAGCAACGACAGATTCAGGAGCAGGTCGAGCGCGCGAGACAAAGCGCAGACAAGCAGGAGGAGGAGATAGATCCTGAGGCGAGGAATCTGCAGCGCAAGGAGGGCGAGAAAGTCAAGCTTAATATTGGCTTTGGTTCGAAGGCGAACGGCGAATCGAAGACCGAATCCCCGAAACCACAATCTCCCGAGGTAAAGGATAACGCCGCTTCAGCAACACCGGAGCCTGCCGCTGCTTCTGCATCTCCGGATCCGGCCCCAGTCCCGACCCCGGCTCCTGCTCCTGCTCAGGACGCGCCAAAGCCGGCAGTCAAGCTGTCCATGTCGTTGGGTGACAAGAAACCGAAGAATGTGTTTGCTGCTGCCGTGAAGAAGAACCCCCTTGCCGGAAAGAAGGGCCCTGTGATGGAAGCTCCCAAGAAGATGAGTGAGCAGGAGAGGATCATGAAGCAAGAAATGGAGGCAATGGAAAAGAAGCGCATGCGCGGTGGATTTGGAATGCCGAACCCTAAGCGCCCGAAATTGTCTTGAAGTCGACATATCTCTGAGAATTCCCTTCACACAAGTCCAATAGCAATTTGGATCCTTGACGACTGTCGTCTACCACGTCACGCCGATCCCATAGATCTCCGGGGAAGCTGATCATGATAGTTAAATGTCACCAAATTTGTCCAAACCGCGTGGTTGCGGTTACGGAGAATGATCACTTCCTTATGACACATGGTTTGACACTGCTTGGTCTACAGAGACATCATTTCTGAGCCCAAAAGTTTTCCCAAGTCTACTGTATCACAAACCAGTGAATGATGATACCCAACAAGAAATATATGTTAATTGAGTCTATTCATGGAGCAAGAATATAGTTTGTAGCGAGCCCTGAAGGATTGCTTCCGACCTAGGCATATCTTTAGTTATTGAAAGACACAATAAATTCCATTCTTAGCATGTTAGATGATGGGAATCCTCCCTGGATATTTCCTTGTCGCAAAAGCAACAGGTACCTTGTAGAACCATAACAAATAGACCCAAGTCGCCGGCTCTCCCTGGAAGTTCACATACACATCACGTGTTAGTCCAAACAGTGGCATGTTAGTAGACTTGACCCTAGCAACTAATGTCAAGACATCGTGCTTTTTAAGCATATTCCCTCAAATTTGTGCTCTGAATTTAATACAACTTGAATTCTGTGAGCATTCGCTCATCTCGCTGACTCAACCGAATCACACACCCAGATCTGAACATCGTTCTTTACCAAAACGAACCTCACCTCCTTTCTCCTCTTGCAACAAGCTAGTCTAACAACAACCCACAGGATAGTTTACGGTACCACAAACACCATTCTTCATAATTTGAGTTGTTTGGATAACAGCGACTAATATTCTCTCAGTGCTTCCACCATCCTCTACAAGAACCGCTTTAACAAGAAGCCTCGGGCCTTTCCACCGGTGCATCATGGAAATATCTGTAAGTCATAATTAAAACTAACACACTGGACAACAGAGTCTGATCGGTGTCTAGGCTGAGGAAATGCCAGAAGGATGGACCAACGACCCTGCAATGCTCAGGTTATATTCTCATCCTGAAGGCTCAATAAACACTATCGCCGAATGGCATAGACTCGGAGATATCGAACTACTAATGATGGGAACCCAAAGCTCGGGGAATATGCAATTTATAATCCAGTCAGGATGTTGTTACTACTGGGGGAATCTGATGATCGACGATATCTTTGAGATCACCAAGCCTAAGACCTTCCCGGCAATTCTGCATGCTCTTTCCAGAAGGGGGGATTGTGGATTGCAGTGTAGGAAAGTGGAGAAAATACCAGAAGGCTGGACCAACGACCCTGCAATACTTAGGAGATATTCTCGCCGTGGTTCCTCAATAAACAGAATCGCCCAAAAGCATGGGTTGAGGAATATCCAAGTTTTATTGATGGGAACACCAGAATCCGAGGATGTACAGTATATCATCAAGTCAGGACGTGGCCACTACTGGGGGAATCTGATGACCGACGATATCTTTGAGATCACGAAACCTAAGACCTTCTTGGCAATTCTGCATACTCTTTACAGAAGGGGGGATTGGGCCTTGACGTATAAGAAAGTCGAGCAGGTGGAGGAAGTCTAGATGGTGCTCCAGTAGCAGGGGGTAGCTGATGACGATGATGTCCCAAGTCTGTTTGTTCCTTCCAATTCAGACGCTCCTTCCGAATAGGACAAGTGAGAGCCATGCCAATCGTCCACTGCATTTGCTATCTATTGTAGCCTTGTAGAATCAAGTAGAGAGTATCGTCGAAGGTACTTCACTATGGCTGAGCAACTTATTCCCTGGCTGAATGGCCGACTGGATCTTCGCCAGGCATATACGTTCGACCGTAACCATATCACTGCGATGCTGCAAAACATCGTACTTTCCCCTGGTGTATACGGCGTTCCCGCTCAGAATGTCGCCAGACTGATGTCCATACACCAGGACATCACTCGTCTTCGGTAAGCTATTACTAGGGAGGCAAATGTATCTTAATATAACTAACCTAGATAAAAGGTGCCCGGATGGTCAAGATTACCTCGCCCCGGCACCACCGCAGAACATCGACCGCCAAGTTCATCCCCGTTGGCCTAGAGGGATCGCAAGGTTCCAGCTTAGAAGGTCGACCTACGATGGAGTCGAGTACTGGGCACTCCCAGACCTCCTTGGGCTCTTTTTGAGCTCTTTGGGTCCGGCTCCAATCGGGGCGACGAAGCGGAACTTTTACCTCCCGGTTACGGCTGTGTATGGACAGTGGTGTACCAAGCTCCGTACCGGGGTGATGCCAAGAGTATATCAGTGTTCTTGGACAGACAGGAGGGAGTTCTCTCTTGGTGCCTCCAGAGGAGGCTTTGCTGTCCAGGATGATATAGGGTCCTGGCTCGGTGATAGATATATTAACTGCCTGAAAAGGTATCGACTGACATTTGCTAGCCACTACGAACATGACCGTTACTATCACTGTTACAGTGGTCAAGATTGAGAACTTGGAGTAAGTCCAGTCTGGTGCTGAATTGATTTACGGTTAATACCGTATTGGAGTCTCTGTAGAAAGGGGGTAGCTGTACGAGTTGGATTGGGACCTTGCGCAGAAGCTCTCCTTGACCGTTACCGGGTATCATATTATGCTGGGTATATAGACTAACAAGTCCAGAAGCATCGAAGCACTAATGTTGACCCACATCCTCCATGACAATGTCGTCGTCGTTGACGACGACATTGTCATGGAGGATGTGACTTCCACCGCGGGGGAGGAGGACTTGGAAATGGGGAAGGCCACTGAGATGGCAAGTGATGTAATCATGCAGGACGTCTTCTAGTGGGTGGTGATTTGGGGGGTGGGAGGGCGGCAATGACACATACAAGTTTTGAATCTTAATCTTCGCTACTTTTTGACCATGGCCCTAAAGTCCTATACTATAAGACCGTCTTGGATCGTGCTCGGTATGGATTGGCTTTAGGCAACGATTACATAAGAACCGCTCCTGTTTACGACGATCGACTGTCTGGGGAGATCTGGGATAACGTGTGGGATCCGTGTGAGAACTGGCAAGAACTCATCCGTATCCACCGGGGCAATATCCTCAATTTCGACCGATGGGCCGGAAGTGCAGGAGCGCCGCCTTGATTCTGAACTGGACGTCGAAAGTCGGTTTGCGAACGACCTTGGACATGTCGTCAAAAGGTCCCACCTGTGCCTATTGACCTGGCCAGGTGTCTTAAGGGTCACGGGAAGAAAATACCGGAACCCGGTAGGGGCTCACTCCGTCCGTGGAGTTTGGGAGCCATCCTTTGTGGCCTAACACACCCAAAGGACCTACCACCGTCTCGCGGAAAGCAAACCGCGTCACCAAACTCTAGCCTTGACACAGCTATTGACAAGGGGAAATCTTGCCATTGGATGACCGTTTGACCCGCTTGAAGTCTCGAGGCCTGACGTTAGGACGGCTCCTTCATCGGTTAGGTCTGCCGTTATGACAGATATTCTCCTTCCCCTTCGGGGACCCCGACTTGTTCACTCCCATGTGCGTCTACACGCTACGGTGTCCGTGATCAGTAACCTTTCGCTCTATTCTCCTCCTTGTTGACGCTTTCGAACGACAAGAAACCTATTGCGAAAGGCGAAGCCAACGTGAACGATCCATCCTGGAACCAATTCCAACCTAGCAATGGCTCGCTCCTGTTCTGAGCGGAGCTAGACTTGCAGTCTCACCATTGACATTGTTCTTTTCTCGGAATAGTGAGACCTTGTCTTCCCATTGCCAATATCTTGTGTCATAAGCCTTCTACTTTCTTGAGGCATTCTACAGTTCAATATACAAGTCTTATCTTCAAATTGGTCACCTACTTGCGGACCATTTCCATTCGGTGAAGATTTTATACCGCCATCTCGTGTCTATCTCCATTATTGAGATACTCAGCTGCAATCTCTCAGCTTTTCTGTGTCACTCCTTGCATCATGTCTACTATTCTATTACTCGACGTGTTGCAAAACCATTCCATCACATATCTACAAAGTGCTCGCGTACACGCTGCACTGATCAAATCTGCGAACCACACTCAGTTCTGGAAAGTTTCATTCAGCCAGAACGCAATCGTGTCTCGTTTGATACGTGAGAGCCGTGGCCCCGCATTCTCGACTAGTCATTAGTCGCACCGTATTGACTCTATCCTTTCAAAGGACCTTAAGCTCAACGTGACGAAAATCTACTATCCATTGTCGACGAGCTTCTCACAAGTCACCTATATGCACCCCTCATATACGTGCTACCTTGTTTTAAATCCTCAGGAACTCCAAACATTCAAATTTTCTGGGCAAGCCCCATTGTGTCACGTCTTTCTTGATCTTGGCCCTTCCATACTCAGCCAAGGCCAGTAATTCAGTCCTTTCTGTAACACTATGGCCGCTCTTGTCGAGAAGAGGATGCCACTACGGTGCCATCAAGACAAAATAGAGATTAAATATCTTCACGGATGGCAGCTTCTCCGTGACTCTGGACTCGGACTCAAATGCTAGGTGGACAATACGTACCTTTCCAACGAGCTCAAATAGAGTCTCTCGATTGTGCAATCAAAAAGAGAAAGAAAGAAAATAGTTTAAGCTCCAACTACACCATCTTTCTCTCAAGAATGCGCGCCATGCGCGTCAACATAGCGGTGGTCCGTTATCTGAAACAATACGGGAAGTCTCAGTCGGTATACAGTTCTTCCAAGCTCCCTCAACTATTCGGGATCATTGATAATATTCAAGCCGATTGGGTGGTACTGTACAAAAAATACTCAGAACACTTTGACCGCTGATCTCCGGCATCCTTGCGGGCCTTTGCAATAAGAAATTGACGAGGATTTAGCCGAAGCCCCTGGACAAAGCAGTTATGACATTTGCGAGGCATAAAGCAACGTCAAGGAATTCGTCAATGCACTGTTGAAGTCCTTCACTGATTCTAAATTGGTGGTTCCACTCGTGTTGCACCTATGCACAAGAGTAGTCCTCTCTACGCCGTGGCATCATATATATTACTGTGTGATCTTTACTTCGACCAAGCGGGCGCCCAGAACGGTGAAAGATACATACCGGGAATTGATGACCTCTCTTCACATCCCGAAATGAGAATCCCGACTCCGAAGGTGGTTGGCATGAATTGGTCTATTGGATTCATGCCTCGATCGCTGGGTAGATGCCCACATCACATCGGTGTATATGAGATACATATGCTAGGCGGTGTTCAGGTCGTGGAACCCTTGAAAACCAGCACTACGTCCATCAACAAGGCGAATGGGATCTTCAACTTGAGCCCCAGCAATGCATTCATGGTGGAGGAGAAATATCAGCCTCTTCCAGAGATCAATATTGATCTGTTCACAGACCTGGTGGAGGTTCTGACTCTTGCAGGTGATGCCGCGAACCGCTTTCCCATCGTAATGTTCTAGTTTCGTTTCTTAGATCGGGCATGGGGCTAATTGTCCCACCCTTCTGATCACCACGTCCATCGTCATAGCAGACAATACTATGCGATATATTGACTGGTTGCTAGAAACCGCATCAATTGTCAGCGTATCTCGAATAACTTGGAAACCATTACCGCGGTCGAAGGTGTGGACTAGACGTACGGCTTGGTAGAAAAATATGCCCACGACCAAGCGGAGATCCTCACAAAGAAAACTTCACGAAGTGTTGGAGGAGATGAACCATTAAGGTGGACTATTGCCTAGGTGAAAAGGTATAGGGTGACAAAGTAGGTCTCGCAAACCCGGTTCTTTGCTTCCCAGCTGAACCAACCAATCCCTTGATGTGGTGCTGATTTCAGGTAGTTTATCAATCATGGAATCATGTGCCCCCGACGAGGAAGATAATCTATTATATGGGTAGCTTGTGGGTTGGCAATTTCCGTCTCACCGTCATGTACCAAGAGCTTTGTTAGGCCTCGATAATCCTGGCGAAATATACAAGCTCCATTAAATAGGCTACCATGCCTCCCAACTCACTGCGCATTCTGGGGCATGGTCAAACAATCACCTAGTAGTGTCATGGGCAATGCACCACACACAAACCCCTCAGCCAACGAACTCGTCATCAAAATAAAAGCGATAGTCCTGAACCCAGCCGACGTCGGCACCCAGAAACTCGAAGTTCTCATTGATGGCTACCCGGAAATTCTGGGCTGTGATGCCACCGAGGAGATCGTGGAAGTTCACCTCACCCTAGCTGAACTGTATACCCCCAGTGATCTTGTCATTTGTGCAACCGGTCCATTGAACAGGAAGGACAGCAAATAATGTTGCTCGGCCTTCCAGGAATATGTGGTTCTGAAGGTGCCTTTCATTGTCAAAGCCCCGAATAGGATGGCATATGAGGACGAGGATGCCGTTCTGTTCCCGCTAGGGGATATTATTACTTCCAGCTGTTTGTTTGCGGAGCAAACTCTTCGGCTTGAAGTACCTTCTATCCATGGCAATAAAGAGAAATATATATCTTGTTTAATTCTTTGCACCGACAGCAGCATTTGATAATTCCACAATTCACCCAAGCAAAGGTAAATCCAATGAGACATTGAAATATCTGGACTCTTTTTACATCCTGGAAATGCTATAGGTATGTCTGCTTTGCAATATAGACACAGACTTGAAGCTCACTGAAGTGACAGGAGAAGTGGGACCAGGTTCATGCCAGTGATTCGCGCTAACTTGGATCGAGCCCTGAAGTCTATCAAGAGGACCCACTTGTTGAGCCAGATCTTGCACTGTCACTGCATAACTGTGGTTTGCTATGTCTGAGACCATGTAGAAATATTATTATCATAAAAAAAACACCCATGCTGCATGTGGCGATTCGGCCTCTATTCCTAGTGGATTTGTTCAAAAGGGATAATTACTAAGTAGAGAACGTGCTATGATTTCAATGAATAGTAGACAGAAGCCCTGGTTGAAACCCGCAAAGGCGAAGATAAGTCTTTGAGCTATTCAAGAGACAGAGATTGCCCGTACTATAGTTAGTTACTAAATATTAGCCGTGGATTAACAATCATGAACGAAGACCTGATTGCCACCTGAGGCGGAAGCGTTAGTCAGCCGGAGATACCCACGTGATCGAGCTATCCAGAATCTTCAAGGAACAGCTCTCTCCAGACATCTCCGCACGGTACGCGCCTCACCTGTCCGGACATAATCTAGTTAGGTCATCTATTACTTTTGCTTCAATCCTGACCGGAAGCTTTTCTTTCATTTCTACATTTTTAAATACTCAATTCAAAGAAGCGGCCCCCGCGCATAACCTCGTAACAATGGCCAACTATCTCGCCTCCATCTTCGGTACGGAGCAGGACAAGGTCAACTGTTCGTTCTACTATAAGATCGGCGCATGCAGACACGGTGACAGGTGTTCTCGGAAGCATGTCAAGCCCTCGTATTCGCAGACGATCCTGATGCCAAACATGTACCAGAACCCGGCATACGATCCAAAGAACAAGATGAACCCCAGCCAGCTCCAGAACCACTTCGATGCTTTCTACGAAGATGTATGGTGTGAAATGTGCAAGTACGGAGAGCTGGAGGAATTGGTAGTGTGTGACAATAACAATGATCGTAAGTTGGAGCTGTTTCCTGCCCAAGACTCGACTCACGGAGCTGCTACTAACGTCTCTTTACCCCAGATCTTATCGGCAACGTCTACGCCCGGTTCAAGTACGAAGAAGATGCGCAAAAGGCCTGCGACGCTTTGAATTCCCGCTGGTATGCAGCGCGACCGATATATTGCGAGCTATCGCCGGTGACAGATTTCCGAGAAGCATGCTGTCGATTAAATAGTGGCGAAGGCTGTGTGCGTGGCGGATTCTGCAATTTCATTCACCGGAAGGACCCTGGCAATGAGCTCGACCGGGAACTGCGCCTGAGCACGAAGAAATGGTTGAAGGAGCGCGGCAGGGACGCCCGCAGCGTCAGTCGCAGTCCCAGTCCGGAGCCGACGAGGCGGAGATATTAGGTGTGGCTTTGCTTTTTGTGTTCTGCATGTGGCGTTGGGGAATTGACCTCTGTCGAACTGTAATTTTTTCTATACTGTTATGATATCAAGCCCTGGTTGCGAGATTTATGGCATTCAAATTGTCTCCGGTTGAAGCTTTTCCCTGTAGAGTACCTTTGAACCATATCAACGGTCCATTTAGAGCTGCTCGGCATTACCCCATCGGGAAGTAAATGTTGGTCTTGGCAACCGACGCGGGAGGCGCGTTGACCGCGTTGCAACATCTCTTCTACACTGCTTTTTCCCCGCAAAACCCTTCGTTGCTGATCTCGCTGCCATAACGATATCCTCTTCATTCAGTAGACTGTACATAGCCAATATGGCGAGCCGTAGTGATGGGGGTGGTTATGATGATAGCAACCGCGCATTTCTGCAAGCTTTTATGGCCCGCTCCACCATGACCTTTGCGGAGGCACGGCCTGTTCTGGCCGCTATTTTCTCCGTGCAAGGTACAGTCTTGAGCATCTCTAGCGATTCATAGTGAGACGTTGAGCTAATGTCATACGGCGAGCAGAAGACGAACCTGTCTCTGCGGAAGATGTCACCGAGGACGATCTCGCATCGTACATTGCCGCCGCAAATACCACCATCTCACCATTCGATTTGGAAATCAGAAGCACACTCCGCCAGTCGCAGGTAGATCCCGAGGGGTCGGGGACTCAGACGCCGGAACGGGTGTATGCCCTTGTCAATACCACCAGCGACGCCTTGACACAGCTGGCGACTACTTACAGCGCGGACGAGATTGCCTTCGTCAAGCGCATCCTCGATGCCATGTTCGATACGAATAACACGAGACGGTCCGAGGCAATGGTTGTGAGTGGTATGCAGGCGATACAGTTGGCCAAGGCCTCGTCCGGAGATGCAAGTCGTCGGGAGTCGAATACCGCGACGCAGAGTCAAGGCGGGGCCGCGCAATCGCTGAGCATGTCGCAAGCGGAGACAGTGCTGAAGCAGCTCGTGGAGGAGGGCTGGCTCGAAAAGAGCAGGAAGGGGTTTTATAGTCTAAGTCCGCGAGGGTTGATGGAGCTACGGGGCTGGTTGGTGGCGACGTACAATGATGAGAACGAGGATGGCCGGAGAATGGACAAGATCAAGTTCTGTGCTGCCTGCAGAGATATTATCACGATGGTGGGTTATGAATTCGTTAGGTATTGGTTGCAGAAAGCTGCTGACTGCTTAGGGCCAACGTTGTGGCAACCGTGACTGTGCGGGCCGACTCCACGACCATTGTATTCGCAACTTTTTCCGTATGCAACAGGCGGAGCAGTGTCCTGTGTGCCAGGCTTCATGGCCTGGTGATAAGTTCGTTGGGGAGCGCGCAATCACCGTGACAGAACGCTATATGCAGGGCAGAAGACGAAGCACGAATACGCAGCGTCAAAGCGATGTCGGATCGAGCTCACAAATTCCTAGCGAGGATGGAGCGGCTGACAGTGATTGAGGTTAAGGAGTGACTTGAGATTCCTGTTGCCCCGTAACGGCTAATGAGGGACCAAAATCCGCGGGGTTCACGACGTCGCAAGATATCCCACCGTTGTGCAGCCATGAGCCGTGCCTAAGTATATCGCGGTGGGCTGCGCAGCACTATCGAGTCGCAACATCTGGCTCAGACCAACCCTTTTATCGGCAGAGCGAGTTCCTACAATACCCCTGATCGATCGACTATACTAGAGTCAACTAGCAGAGGATCAGCGCCCCCTTAAATGCTCAGTGCTCCGTACACCAGATCAGAGCTGACCTCATTCTAACCCACACAAAGATACCGTCGAATGAAGGGAAGACGGCCTCATGAACAGAACAAGAATACAATATGCACAACACACCATGAAATGCAAAGCATGCTCTCATGAATCAATACTGAAACATTATCATCAGACCAATCGCAACAGCCCACACCTTCATCATGCCACTTCTCACCCTCAGAGCGTTCCCACTATTCCCCCTGACACACGTCCCATCCTTACAATGAGCCCCGCTAAAGCAACATTTGCTCCCACAACATTGCGTATCCTTGGGACAGTGGTAGCCACTCTCCCCGCAGCAGATATCATATTCCGTATTGTAGCAAGCAGAACGTCCGCATTTAGCGTTTCCGGTGCGGCAACAGGTGCCATCAGATGAATCCACGCATTTGCTCAAGTTGGGGCAGCAGTAGTCTCCGCACTAGTTATAAGGTTAAAAGATGGACCTTCAGACCATAAAGATCATAAAAAGACAAGACATACGCAGGTAGAAAGTGTGGAGCAACACCTTTGTCCACAGGATTCTACTTATGTTAACACAGATCGACTAGTTGTGAATGTAAACTGAGGACATACTTTCTCCGATATCGCAGTCTCCCTCTCGAGAGACGAGACTCTTTTCGACCGAGAAGCCGAACTGCACATTGTCCGCGAAAAGAATGGAGTCGAAGCTCGCATTGACATACGCCTCGGGTACTTGGATGGACTGCATGACTGTCTGCAATTCTTTATCTGACCTTTACGAAGTAGACCAATATGAAGCACTGAGAGAGTTCATGTGGAGCGGATACTTCCCCCACCTATATATACACCAAACACCCTAGTAACGCTTGGCTTCGTCGCTCCAAGCACATCCACCCCATTAGTGAGCCGCATGAATATGTAACGCACATCGAACCTCGGATATAGGCATCATATCTGCGCCAAGAACGCCCCGTGCCCAAGGACCCTTCCGCCGTGGTGGAGATGCCTCGTATTTTGTCCATGTGCGCGGGGCGTTAGGGCGTTCAGCCTTGTGCTGGAGGAGCAAAATATGGTTATTGGACTCATTGGTCGATCGTTGAGGGTTGGACTTTAGGCAGAGGTCGGTATGTGACGTAGATGTGGCAGACAAAGGTATATAGAAACCATATAACCAGATGATCGAAGTGGAGTTGCTGAAATACCTTGGAAGATTTCAACGAATCGACAGTTCTTTATTGAAGGGATGACTTATGGAAGTATTTTGGTCTGATATGTAGGCACCGGGGATGAAAGGGCTTCGATCTCTGGCAACTTGTGTCAAGACTCCCGTGAAAACCAGACCGAGACATGAAAGTTCAAGTATTTCCAATGAGAATATGTGACATAATGAGGGCTCGGTGGTCGAAGGGAAACCCCTGTATGCGTGGTGTGGTACTCGGCGACCCAGAGGGTTATCTTGGAGATGGATGGCTTGTATAAAGAACCTTGAGCGCAGAGTACAATGCTTTTAAAGCCAATTCTTGTTCATTCATAAAGAGACCCTGTTAGAAACACCGTGGAACATAAAACTTTTTGTTTGTAGTTTCATTATCAATTCCAAGTCCATTGCTAATCGAAGGACATAGTCATTTGTCCAAATAGAAGTGGTGTACAGGTCAGTACATATGATAAAGACATTGTGCGGGCTTGTTCAACCCAGCATAAGCTTAGCACAACGATGGTCTCTGTAGAGTTGACGTTATCTCTGGTCATTGCCTCAACATTTCTCAATAACACACTTTAGCTGCGCCAAGGCCATTCTTAGTATATATGCCTTATTTGCCTGCTACGGCACCCTACCTACCATAACCCGCTAGCGTACTGGCAAAGTATCTTATCATAATCTACGAAAACGCCACTCTACTCATAATGGCCTTTGATCGAGCATCATTAAGCCTCACAAGCCTCCCCAATGAGCTTCTTTACATGATCACTAACGATTTGGATATAGCATCTGCCAGCAAACTGTCAAGAACATGCATATCTTTCCACCAGGCCCTCAAGGAGCACATAGAAGGGGAAATGGCCAGGCAAGATGCACTTCCACTGCAGCAAGATTACGACCTGATACAGCAGAAGCTCTCATGTGGCAAGAACATTGACAAACAGATGAGTCCCGAGAATATCCCAGAAGAGAACATGGCATGGGCTGTCAAACGGGGCCGAGTTGATATCCTCCAGAGGTACCTCACAGCAGGCGTGGATCCTAACTCCTACACGTTATCTGGAAAGCCCATGGTATCGTATGCAGCGTGCGAGGGGCAGGTCGAGTCCGCGAGAATCTTACTACACTATGGCGCTGACCCGTGCTTGCGCAATCGGTGTGGGGTACAGACACCGCTAGGCTACGCAGTTTGTGGGAAGTTTGATAAGTCCAGGCGAGTCGCCATGATAGAGCTCCTGCTGCGTGCCGGTGCGAAGATCACCTCCCTCGAACACTTCAGGCTGATTTGCTATATCCCTGAAGATCCCGAGCCTCTTGTTCGGCTGGCTGTCAGGAGTGGGAGGGAATTTCTGGCGTTGAGGGATAGATGTGGTCAGACCGTGCTGCATAAGGTAGTCAGGTACAGCGCAGGCTTGACAGCTTTGATTTTAGAGGCCGCACCTGAACTTTTGCACGAGCGGACATCTGACGGCAAGACGGCTCTCCATGTCGCCGTTGAGCACGGGTATGAAGCGGCTGCCAGATACTTGATTGCACGGAATGAGATCACGAATGAGGTAGACTCGCATGGACAGACGGCGCTCCATATTGCGGTGAGTAGGGATGTGACGACAGTCAAGCTTTTCACTAGCTGTCCGAACATCGAGCTCAATAGGTTGTCAGGGTCCCACCAAACACCGCTGGCTTTGGCCATAAGCTACCATTTAACATATGGCTGTTACTTCGACATAATTGACAATTTGCTGAGAAGTCCTAGGATTCATATCGATCCAGATGCTGTGCGGGCTATCAAGCATATTTCTCGGCGTAAGTCGTCATTCTGGACCTCTGGAGACGTTCTATTTCTCCTTAGGTTTGTATGGGTTTATGCGAAGCAGGAGGGTTACTTTTCTCACTTCAAGATCTGTCAGGCACTGGTCCTTGCTCTTTTGACATCCCCCATTTGGTTTGCTTACTGTCCTTTCATTGTTGATTTGATTGGAGTTGGTTTCGGCGTGTAAATAGGCTTCATCAACGTTGGGCGTGCCTATCTTCTTCATACACCCTGACTGCCTGAAAGCCTGGTAGCTCAGCTTATTCAACCGCGTACTTTACATCATTAGAAGATTATATCAAAGCCCCTATAATTCATATTGAAAACTCCATAGCATTTGAATCCTTCTGGCTCTGATCACTAGTACTGTACTAATGTCCTATGTATCTGATGTTCTATATAAGCCACTATATGGGCAGGAGAGTAAGTAGACGAGTCTATTCTGACGAAAGAATGAGATAGATGTGATAAGAGCAAAGCAACCGATGAAACGAGACCGACTATTATACAGGGATTAAAGGGGTAGGGAGGAGCATGAATTGCAAGTGAATATGATCTATATTTGTGGAAAACGGGCCAAGTCAGGCAGATCAGATGACAAGTTGTATTCACTGAATATCTCCACGGCCCACCTTATCCAAACCGGCCTCATCACACCTTCCCTGCATGGGACAGTGAAAGCAAGGGGTACCAAAGTTGAAGATTCACTGTTATCGCTGTACGGCTTGGGCTGCAACGAGTACCTATCAAGGCGCGGCTCAGCAGGCAGAAGTCCACAACAACAAAGGTCAGCCTGATACAGCAAGGCATAGAGCCATGGGTTGGTACGTTTTATCGTCAGTACTTTTCCGCCGATAGTCATGACGAGGTCACCCAGCCTTCCAGGTTTGTGACGTGATAAACCCCTGCAGAGCCCCGCAGACACCACAACCCCGCAGACACCAAAACTTCAGTTCAAAAGCTATCCTTCCAGTGAACAGAAACCATCGGATGACAGGCCATGGCTGCCAATAGCAAAGTTCTTCCGTTGACTTTTAACCACGTTGTGTTGCCACCCAGGCTTCCTGGGAAGCGGGAAGCTGACGCTCAAGTTCTTGAAGTCCAGAATGATTTGTTGTCCCGGGTGCTCAATGCGGTCAAACAGATGAAAGAGATCCGTGATGCAAGAAATGTAGTCACCTGGGAGCCTGACGCGACACTTATCGCTCCTTGGGAGTCTATCGAGAAGACGCTGAGAACGGTAGTGGAGGTGAGCACGGAAGCATGGGTGAACGAGGCATCGCTTCTCAGGGCACTCCAAGAGCTGCAGCCTGGAAATGCTATCATCTTGCACATCGCGTTGCAGAATGCCTGCATTCTTATTAGATATCCCTCGTGAGTATGACCCTTCCTGAACACCGATGTTCTGGATGTTATGTAAACTGACAAAGTGATTACGCGTAGTGACCAAGAAAACATCATATTTGAAACTTTCGAGACATCGCCCACAGCTGAGTCGACTCTCGCAGCAAAAGGCGCGCTGGAGTGGGACTTTCCCGGATCGGCAGTTTCCTTGCCCTTGTGCGAATTTGAAAATCCAGTTTTCCAAAAAAGTCTGGCTGGATTCCTCGAGCGGGCAAGCTGCGAAGTGTTGGATGAATTCTGTCCCAAGACCCGCAAAGCCGGGGTGGAGGTCTCCGAAACACGCGATACGGTTGACCCTGCGATTATATCCCAGTTTCTTATGACATTTCTTGAGACAAATGGTAGTCGTGCGTACCCACCAATACTTCGCAAGCGAGTCAAGGATGATGTATGTTGGGATAATGCCGAGCTGCCCTGGAGACGGAGTCCGTTCTGGCTGGTCCTTCGCGTATGCATACAGCGCTTGCTATACTTACACCTCGATGCAGAGGTTGGACGGATGCAGTACAAGTTCTTGATGTGTACGCTGATGGCGCGTTTGTTGGAAGATTCAGTTCACAAGGTTGACCACGAGCAATGCAATTTTCTGAAGACGAAGCTTTGTCGTCGTCTGGCAAAGTTGGAGACTGAAAGAGAGAACGCCTCGCCAGTGGTGCGTGATGCTTATACTTGGCTGTTTTCAGTTATTGGACCGGGGTGTCAAAAGTCAATCGATATTGTAATGAGAGTCTTTGAAGCCAGATGGGAAGGTTTCAAGAAGTCGACTAGGAGGAAAATATGTCGTCTCCCGCAGGTTGCTGAAGACAAGGACTTGCATCTAAGCCTGAGGAATAGCTGGCCCTACCTGCAGGCAGTCCTCAATCGTCCAAGACAGTTTCAAGGGGCTTGTAAGTCCATTGATCCTATTGTTCTTGCTAAAAGTAGCAAGAAAGACACTACAGAGCAATTCTCCGCGTTGACAGCCCGGTATGCGTCACTCGCACAAATGGAGATGACGATCGAATCTGCAGCCCATGGTATTCCTGCGAAAGTGAACTGTGAAGCGCTATGTATGGGTCTCTCACGCCAGATTGAAGACTACATGAGCGCTGTTGGTGATGCGTATGAGAACGACCCCGAGCAAATGGGCGTGTGCATACTCAGTGTATTTGAGCTGTGGGTTCGCATGGACAAGTGCGCAATAGTCGTATACCCATTACTCACTGATTACCATCCCTGGATCACCCCTGAATTGTTGGATGTGCTGCTTCTTTCTCGACGGTATCATATGGAACGGCTCCAGAAGGTTCAGGAATACATCCACGAGCGTTGCACCAAGGCAAAAATGCAGGATATCACGATCTTCTCCAATCCTTCTCCAGGAGGCTTCACCGACTGCTATTTCAACTCCAAGGAAGTAAAGAATTTGCAAAACCTTCAACAGAAGATAGAAAAAGCATCAAGTCTCTCTCGGGATTCTAAAGAGAGACAGCTAGCGCGAATTAATGCAGAGCATAAAGACTTGACAGAGAAACTGTCTCAAACCTATTGCGATCAACGAAGGCTCCCTGATGGGAAGCATGATATTAAACATTGCAATCATTGCTTGTACGGTCGGCGTCGCCGGCGTCTTAAGATAAATGTCCACGAAGACTTTCTTCCATCAGAAGCTAATCTTGCTCACAAACACGGTGTCATCTTCGAGTTAGGGGTGCCTAAATGTTTTGCATCCTACAGAGATACTACCTGGAGGATTGTCTATTCTCTTTGTCAGCAACGTTTCAGTTCAGCCTCAAAGAAGCCGGAGATGCTATTGAGAGACTATTCCCAGCTTAAATCATATAATAAGAGCAAGGCAAGCCAAAATATTTCACTGGCCTCTCACACGAAGTCCTACCTGAGAACACATTATAAATCAAAGAGGCTACCTGCAGAAAAGAAGGATGTTTTGCTCCCACTGGGGCTCCAATTCTCATACTACGACAGGGAACGAAACGTGTGGCTGGCGGAGTTTCCTAAACAGTTGACGTGCGCACATCACTTTGCGCTGCGCCTCCCAAAAAGCCTGCCCTTTGCAACCTTGTACTCAACCCCTGCCTTTGCAGCCGACGAATCAGGCCCCTCATCATATGAGGCTATTGCAAATATCACTGACTGCCCATCAAGGTTAAGTGTACATGAATACGTGGCCCACCAGAATGTTAGGGGCGGGAGGAATCGACGATGGCTTTCAATCCTGACCGAGCTTGGATCCTCGAACATTAATTTCAGTCTCCAGGATACAACGGTTCTTTTCCGTTTCCTAGTGTTACAAGCTGGTCCCCAACTGACGGATGACAGTCTACGGACTGTTCACTATGTTTTTAACGATGTAAACTTCTGTCGTAGGCTGATCGAGCAGATCGAACAGCACGTGGAAATCATTTCTCCCAATTGGCGCGAGTACTACTACATGGAGACGCTCCTCACACTAACAATTCATTTATGCGAACTAGCGTGCTCAGAATCACACAAGCCAGCGCATGAGCTCCTATTGAAAATTCGACGTATTACTCTCACCTGGACTACGGCTCTCAGGAGCGAAATGCGCCGTGCCAAGGAGGCAGATACTGCAGAGAGTACAGCTAAATACTGCTTCTTTTCTGCCCTCCTATGTCGTAGGACGTTTGCACTCCAACCATATAGCGGCCAAGAACTCGATGGAGAGAGTTTTAAGGGCTTTATTGAAGTAACCTTTACACTGCAAGAAAGCTTGCTCATCGACGTGTCTGAACTTCAGACGTTCACACGGAATATACTTGTCCGCGATATTAAAATGATGGCTGCACTGCGACCGATGCTCCGACAGGCCTCTACTATGCACCAGATTAGTTTGATATCGGCTATTGATACTTGTTGGCCAGGTGTAGAACTCACTTCGAAGCAGTGCACTCCATGGCAGTTCCTATCTCAGCCGTATGAATGGTGGCTCATGTCAACAGTGCAGGGCACAGAGAACACTATCTCACAAGTGATCCATTACCATCTGCTGGAGGGCCACTTGCTGATAGACGGACAAACGATGGGAAAGCTTCCAGCTGATGTCAGGGATTCAGAAGTGTTGAAAGAACTCTTTGGAAACCAACGACTTGTTGCTTATCCTTCAAACATGTTAGGGATGACTTATGTGCTCGCAAATGATCAGGAAGGTCACCAGATACACTTGGGATACCGAGAAAAAGAGCTAGTGATATGCTCCAAGAAGTCTGACAGAGGTCTGGAGTTCATTCCGCGTCAGATCTTCGGTAAGGGTGCCGACATGGATTTGCCAAGTCAGCTAATTGACAATTGCTTTCACTGGCTTGACCTCACTTCCGGAGATATTGAGATTCGACGGCAGCAACGGCTCTGGAAAGAGAGCAACTGGACCATAAGTACACGGTTTCGCCGAGCACAGCGCCGAACTGCCTCTCTCGTTGATACACACAGTGTTCTGTTCGGATTAGTGGCTAAAACCTTCCGCAACTTCGAACACCCGCATATGCTAAACGTGGTCCAGCCGCTCAAAGGCAGCCTCACTGTGGAGTTGAAGCGGATGAACCTGACCTTTTACGTCAATAAAAAAGGTCTTCTGCAGTGTAAGCAACTGGCTGCTGAAATTGACCCGAATCAAGATGCGGGTACGCTATATGGGCTTCTAAGTATGCTTGTTCTCCGAAGGATTCACAATCGTTCCCAGCGCATTGTCATCATACCAATGGGAAAGCCATTATGTCGGCGCCAGGGAGTGCATGTCCATATCGAGACAGCAGATGGTGTTGACTACGCCACATATAACATAGACAGTATACTTGGACAGCTTCATAGCCCACCGGAGCCACGACTCCTCTATAACAAAGCACTATTGCACGCACTCACATCTTACTTCATGTCTGATCCCCTCACAGGCCGTACAGGGACAGAAGAAGCATTATCATGGTTGCAATCTGGATCCTGCCAGCCCTGGGCTCCTCTCAATCAGACTTCCCTGGACATACTAAGCATGATATCGGCTTTGACACCAAGGCGAGTATACTATCCAAAGGATAGGAAAAGTCAGCAAACTGCTCACTGGGAACCCCAGTTGACAACAACGATCCAACATGATGCATATATGCCAATAGTTGACCGCATTGTGAAGAAGTCCGAGCGACTTGAATTATTTGAACTCAATGTCCCGATCACTACCACAGAGACATCAGTTACTGTACCGCATCTTAGAGACCGAAGCTACTGGAGACGATCAATCTATGAACGGCCCGGATTAATTTCACCACACGCAACTCCGCCACTAGACTTACCATACATTGCGCGAGACCGTTGGAGATCTTCTAAGCGTTCATCCAATGTTCGTGAGATAGTCCATATGCTCAAACAGAGACCTTCATATGTACATACGACATCCAAGTTAGTGCACATACTTCAGGGATGGCCACTTATCGGTGGGTATACTACTGAATTCGTACCCTACTCCATAGAGGAGTGTCTGAGTGGGAAACTTGCCCATGAATGGGGTGGCTGGGTTAGTTTCTGTAAGAAGTGTGACCCAGACGATGCGTACCGCCTCATGTTTCAGCTAGGTGTGGTAGCATTTCGAAAGGGTGTTGATATGACTGCCCTTCGTGTGATTGTTGCATTCTTCCTCCTCGAAGACTTAAAAAGCATGGGCCTCCCTCCATACCCGTCTTTTACTGGGTTTAAAGTCAGTCAAAAGCCCACATTTGATACACTGTTCGACATGGTAAGGCCATTTTGCGAGGCATACAGCGGCTCCATCGGAGAGCAGAAGAAGAACAAGCGAGCAAAAACCACCGAAGAAATCCGCCGGATTGAGGTTGCCAAAAACGATCATGAGTTGAAATGTGCAAATGAGTGTCATGAGTTTGTTACTTTTCTGCTTGATCAATGGCCATGCAGTGAGCCCACGGTTGATGGTTTTAATCAGAGTTACCTAAATGTGTCGCTGGCTATGAAGGAGGTGGTGCCTGAGTGGTTTAGACTGTATAAGAATTTGCAACTGTACCACCATATTGGGGAAGTTCAAACAGTATTGAATAGGCATTCGGCTGCCACTAATACGGTTAGCACGAGTTTCAAAAGCCCAAAGCCTATCTTATTTCAGCGATCAGCGTTTCGTTTTTCCATCCCACGCCTTGGAAATGAGCTTCTGCGAAAGCCTGGACCGAAACTCAACACTCGCCATGACGTACGTACTGTCAAACTATGGGCGAAAGGACAGATGCCTACGATATCCCCAGCTGTAAGCTCTGACCGAAGATTGCATATTCCTCCAGAGGTTACGGAGATAGAGAAGCTAGTGAGCGATGCTATGGATTCACATTGCCCTGTCAAACTGAGATACGGACAAGATTTGAAGGAGAGCATTGACGTGTTGAAGCTGGTTGAGCGTACAGATGAACGAGAGATAAACGTGCATGTCAACTGGAGTTTTGCGAGTAAAATATTTAACTACGAGATTCGGAAGGCTCGCATGGTAGTGGATCAATACTTCGTTCAGATACGCGAATCGCTGTCATTGAAAGAATCGAAGTTCAAATGGCTACAGCAAAGCAACCTTTGGCCATGTGTGACGCCTCTGTCAATTCTTCAGCAGCTTGGATCGACTTTTCGCAATATCTTTGGACCAGGCATGAAGGACGCAATTATTCTGTATGGACTCGCGATTGCAAAGCTTCAACGACTGAACCGGATGAAAACAGCTTTCGGAAAAGGCGACGAAGGGACGCTGCGTCAAGAGTATAAGAATAACGGTCATACCAATTGGCAGCCTTCTGACTATCCTGACTGGTTATTGTTAGAGATTGATGCGAATATTCAAATTCGCGAAGATCAAGTTACAGTCGCCCAGGAAATGATTTCACCTAGTTCCGGCTCTAACTCAGTTCTCCAAATGAACATGGGCCAGGGGAAAACTTCGGTTATCATGGCTATGGTTGCCTCCTTACTCGCGAATGGGAAGATGCTCACTAGGCTGTTAGTACCCAAAGCCCTGCTTTCGCAAACAGCACAGATTGTTCAATCTCGCCTCGGGGGTCTCTTGGATAGGGAAATTACCTATATCCCATTCTCCAGACGAACACCAACCACCCCGCATCTAATCGGAGAATATCGAAGGCTCCATGAAGACATGTTGCATAGATCAGGAATTATCCTAGGGGTTCCTGAGCATGTATTATCCTTCAAGCTTAGTGGGCTTCAGCGACTCTGTGATGGCGAGTGTGATGAAGCCACAGACATGGTTGTGGTCCAGCGCTGGTTGGACAAATTCTGTCGCGACGTCCTGGACGAGTGTGACTTTACGCTAGCTGTCAAGACGCAGCTGATTTACCCTAGTGGATCACAGTTACTAGTTGATGGACATCCTAGTCGCTGGGAAGTAACTATGCACATTTTGAATCTTGTGGCACATCATCTACCAGGTCTTGGCCGGGAATTCCCTCGGAGTATTGATGTCATAGAACGGACATCTACAGGATTCCCAGTCGCGTACTTTTTGAGAAAGGATGTTGAAGAGGCTCTTGTGCAAAGGATAATAGAGGACATAACTTACGGTTCAATGAAGATTCTCCCCATCTGGAAAAGTACAGACGAAGAGCGAGATGCAGTGCGACGTTTTATTTCCCAAGAAACGGTCGATAGCTCGGTCTCCAAGCGTGTAGCTGCGCTCTGTCCCGATACACCCCAGGCGCACAAGAACCTCTACTTATTACGAGGACTGCTTGCACACGGTATTCTACTACTCTGTCTCAAAAAAAGGTGGAATGTACAGTACGGTCTCCACCCCGATAGGGCCCCCATGGCTGTCCCATTCCATGCCAAAGGCGTCCCTTCGGATCACGCCGAGTGGGGCCATCCTGATGTTGCTATTCTGTTTACTTGTCTCTCCTTCTACCATCAAGGGCTCACCGAATGTCAACTCCGGCAGAGCTTGCAGGAGGTTTTAAGATCCGATGATCCCGCTATTGAATATGATCGATGGACACAGACATCACACACTTTACCAGAAACGTTGCGACACTGGAATACGATAAATGTCGATGACAGGGGCCAAGTCGCTGAGGTATGGCGGCATTTGCGCCTGAAGACTGTTGTCATTAATCATTTTCTGAGAAACTTTGTCTTTCCTGTACACGCCAAGCAATTCAGTACCAAGTTGCAGGCATCAGGCTGGGACCTTCCCCTTTACGATAACTCTCTGGGTCAAGGTGTGGCTGCTGAGCTCCTGCGCCCGGGAATCACAACTGGATTTAGTGGGACCAACGACAATCGTCGACTGCTTCCCCTTTTGATAAAGCAGCAAGATCTTTCTGGGCTGTCACATACGAACGCAGAAGTTCTCACCTACTTTGTGCAACAAAGAAACCGAGGGTATAAGATAGCGGCAAATCCAGACGGTACACGGTACTCGGAGCTTGACCTTCTCAAATATCTCAAACTACATAGGATGCGCATTCTCATCGACGCTGGGGCTCTCATACTGGAAATGAGTAACCAGGCGCTCGCACGGGCTTGGCTGCAAGAAGACGACCAGGCTCAGGCCGCCGTTTACTTTGGACAGGATAATCAGCCATGGGTACATCATCGAACTGGAAGAGCTGTTCCCCTGCTTTCCACCCCCTTTGCAGAAAACATGGAGAATTGCGTGGTCTATATAGACGAGGCGCACACCCGGGGCACTGACCTGAAACTACCGCGTGATGCTCGAGGAGCATTAACTCTTAGCTTGAACCAAACGAAGGACCACACAGTTCAAGGTATGGAGTTCATTACATCCCTTCGGCCTCACTTTTGTTTCATAAATGATTGGGCAAGTACTAACAGTTGTTGCTAGCTGCTATGAGATTGCGACAGTTGGGAACGACGCAATCCGTCATTTTTATCTCACCACCGGAGGTGCATCAGAGCATACTAGATGTCTGCCATAAAAGCGTGCACGATAGAATTGATTCGTCAGATGTGCTCGCCTGGCTGATCAATCAGACATGCGATAACAACAGAGAATTACAGCCGTTGTATCTCTCCCAAGGGGTCGACTTCTGCCACCGCATGCAAGCTGCCATCGACCATAAGAATTTCTTGACCAACCCGGACCATAGGAACGCGTACACCGATCGCTTGAAGCGACCTGAACAACAGACATTGGAGCAGCTCTATCAACCCCCGTCACGCGAACATGGCGATATGATGCCTTCATCAACTGCCACTACCACATCCTTTACAGGAAACCTCGCTTGTTTCATAGACCAACTACAAGAGAGCTATGCACAGTCCAATGTCAAGGGCGCCTTGAAAAATGCTGCATTAGAGGAGGTTGAGCAGGAGCGAGAGGTCGCCTTTGAGATCGAACAGGAAAGGGAGATACAGCGGCCCTTGACTATGAAAGCACACCGGTACCCCGGACTGCATGGCTCCATTAGAAACTTTGCTATAATCGGTCGCCTGAAGGGAAACGAAGGTTACGTGGAGGCGGCCACTGTCCTAGAGTCAACAGATCTGGGGCGCAAACACGGCATTGATGCTTCGACGTTACTGCGTTCCTTGTATGTTTCGACCGAGTTTATGAAAACGGTGAGGAAAAAGAAAGGAGCGAAGAGCATCGATAACTTTCTGGTAAGATCTCCCGATCGCCTCGCACATGAGCTGTGGAGCCTGACTAACATAGTATTCATTGTATAGCGTCCTGTGAACTGGCTGCTTTTCAATTCGAAGACAAACGTTGGGCTAGTGATCATTCCAGAGGAGGCCGAGGAGCTAATTCCTATTATACGTCCAATGCAAAACTCGACAATGCATTTAATTATGTATGCGGCACCATTCACAAAGCGAATGCTCCAGTTCGACACTCTCAATTACTATGCTCTCCCGAGCCTCCCTAAAGGGCGGTCTCCGCCACAATGGCTTCCATTCGAGTTGGGAATTCTGGCAGGGCGGCTGTATTTCCAATTCTCAGAATACAAGTTTCTATTGGAGCAGCTGCGACTCGACCTGGAGAAGCCCACAAGCCACGTTGATCCGGCTGAAGCTAGTAGTACTGCGGCATGTGATAACTCATTTGTTAGAACCCAGCTCAACTTTCTCCAGGACTGGTTGACTCTCCGTCGCCAAGGGCAGGACATATCACACACTCCAATGGGATATGTTTGCCAGGGCTCCAGGCTCCGCCGTGATCATCCATTCTTCTTGGCCAGAAAAGACATGGAAGAGATAGAAGGTGCCGGTCGCCGTCTATTCTACACCTCAAACTACAGGGAGAATGATGAACTTGAGGAGTATTATGACAGTGATGATGATAATGATATCGGGGATGTTGATATGATGCAAAGAGGAGAAGATGATGTATCGGATGTAGATGGAGATATGCTTGAGGAGGATTAACGTTGGGCTTCCATGCTTGATATGTAACTTGGACTGGCTGGTTTGGGCATATCTTGTGATACATGCTTCTGGATATATGCGTGTTCTAGGGTTAATAGTGGTAGTATTATCCAAAGCCATCCGAGATGTCGTTTGGTTGCCATGATGTGAAGTTGACTCTGGTCCATGAATCGAAGCCCTATCGATTCTATATACAGTCAACATCGAAGTATCGTAGGATTTTAGCATTTTCAGTAGTAAATTTACCAATAAGAGGAAGGAGTGTCTATGAATAAACACTCCTTCAGAAAACAGTAAAACTGATCATGGCAAAAGCTGCAGATATCCCCCACAACAAGTGAGCCACAGAAACAGGTATGAATGAGTGGACGAGATCGGAGAACTAAACAACCAAAGTACTATAACGTAGATTGGACAAGATAGATCCCCTAGAACAAGGAAGAAACCAAAAAACAGTGGGGGATGTATCACCCCAATTCAAAGCACCTCAAAACGCTTTCGTGGCCGAGATGTTGCGGCTGCTAAAGCCAACCATAGCCTCAAAGGAACCATTAGGGATCTCTCACTCCTGCTTCACAACATTCCAAAAGCTCACATCCTTGCGAGTGATTTCGAACTTGAAAGTCTGGCTACAACCAGCCTTGAGATGAACCTTCTCAAAGCCCCGAAGCACCTTAACCGGGGTTCCAGGAGGAGTGGTGTCTTGCGGGAAGGCCGGGTAGAGTTGAGGAACTGTTGCACCCGCCAGCTCACCCGTATTGGTTACCTTGAACTGCACAGTAGCGAGAACGTCATAGAGGTCAGGATGTCCGCCTGGTTGGATAGCCTTCTCCTTATCCGGCAGAGGCGCAACGCTCTTCTTGTTTGACTCCAAGGATATTCCCTGAATGGAAAACGTCGCGTAGGATAGCCCGTACCCGAATTCGTATCTCGGGGTGATTCCAGCGCTGTCGAAGTGCTAGTATAGACCACGGAATGATGGGACGACTGTCCATGGGCTGCAGCAGTGAGCTGTTGAAGCACTGGTGTCTCTCAAAGCATGTCTCCTCTCAAAAACTCTAGACATAGATGTTGAAGAACTGGGGGAACACGGAAGGTTATTTTAGTTCTTTACAGTCTCGAAAAGAAGTTCAAATGATTTATGGATCGAGTTTAGGGTAATATGACTGTGCGAGGATACCAATTCGATATTGTACGTGTCGTACAATCAATCGTAGATCCATTCATATCATGTAACGTCCTACCACCAAGAGGTGGTAAATTCAGTCCCTGGACGTGACAAGGCCCAGTCCTCGACAGTCCTCAACACAACACGCACCAGCCGCTCGGTGACCAGATTGAACTCCCATGAAGCCACGCGATGGATTTCGCAAATCCATTGCCCCTGGGTACAAGGACTGGTGGTACCCATATCAGCTAGCGCTTGTGGACATCCAGATTCCTCAATCTCGATGGCCTTGGCGACTATCTTTCCCGCTATCATTCCCTCACAGATTCCCTCCCGGCGAGGATACCGCTGCAAAATATCTAACGCCCGACGCCGGATAGTAGGCTCACGACATTTGACCCCGACCCAGAATAGGGGCTCGACGATTCCAGTGTCCAAACTGAAGTTTGCGGATGTGGCCTTCTCGGCATGTTGGTATTGCCGCAGCGCTTGCTGGTTTGAATCATCCAGAAGCCGGGTAATGGCTTCAATCATGTCGACGCAATCGTTGAGGAGAGCGTCCGGGGCTAGCTCACTTTGAGTTGGGTCTGTGCATAGAAGAACTTTGGCAAACTTGCGTCGGGTTGAAAGGACATCCAAAGCTCTACCATCCTCTGACTTGGAGGTGGTGCTTAAAAGGAGGGCTAGACGTGTGTCCCAATCATGCAGGAGCTGTATATACATCTCTTTTTCCGCGGCCCTGGATTGCACACACGGGTCCTTGGTGTCTTGGCCGAGGAAGAACCGCATGACGCGATTGAACAATGCCTCCAATGACACGTACGCCTCGAGTAAACTGGTGAAAGGGGCTGTACTGGGTGATGGAGCGATTTGATTATTGTTCCAACTTAGAGAGGCGGTTTGGCCCACTAAGTATGGACGCACCTGTGAGTCGAACCGGATGAACGCCAGTAAAAGCATATCAGCTCCCTTCCAAGCGGCGGGCTGACTGTTAAGTTTCTCCCCAACTCCCCACTGATGAAAAAGCTTTAATCCGTTGTTGATATGCATAAAGGCCTGGTACTGACGGCCCTGGAGGCTACACATACAGGTGTAAAGAATGCAGGTGGCTAGCACCACCATCTTATCCTGGTTACTTAGCACAGGTTCCGACAGCAGCTTCAAAAGGGCTTGAATGGATTTGTTCGTCTGTCTCAATGCAAACTCCATATTTCGACTCTCCCCAATACGTGACTGAGTAGAAGGGGTGCTATCGGTCGCATACTCCCGATGGATGCATGCCAGTGCGGCCATGCCATGCCGGAGAGCTGGATAATGATGGGAGACCTGCAATAGCCGATGAGACCAAAAGTCGGTGTCGAAGGATCCAGCCAAGGTGAAAGTAGTGACCGAACGGAAAAAGAAGAAGTTCTCGTTCTCTCCTCCATCCTGAGAAAGAAAGTCCCAGGTAGATGGCCCCTGTGACAGAGCGTAGGCATGCAGCTCGTCGTTTACTATATCCTCATAGCCATCGCAAATGCGCCCTGTTGAGCGGCACTTTAGACAACTACTCATCGTGGTAAGTCAAGGACCTACATAAAAACGGTCTCACTCAGAGGGCAGCCGGCCGTCTTGTCACTCACCTTGGTCTGCCCTCGTCACACTTTGTCTTCCGAATCCTTGTCACTGTTAACGCTGCCTCACCAACCAGGATATCGAATCATACTTGCAAGTTCTGCACCCTGTTCTCACATGGGGGGCCCATCGCCTCTGCCGCGGCCGTTGCTTTTGGAGGGTGCGTCGTTCCGTTGTCGATGACGGCATGGCAAAGGGTTGAATGCAATGAACTTGGCCAGCTGATCGTTCTCATTCAACAAAGTATGGAAGTAGAGCAGGCAGTATACCATAGCATCCAAGCACGATACTAATGTCCAGAGTTCCACGATGTTTCCAGTAAGAACACTCGGCGTGTCAGCGTCGCTTTGGGGGCTGTTTCGATCTCCATCTCCACCCCACGCATGCTGATTGGTCCGTTCGCGTGTGCTTACTTTTAATTCCCAAACAGGGAAAGCCTGACCTGTGACATCGGGCACTAGACCTATTTCAGAATGGCATAAGCCCGTGACGTGACAGGTGACGATCATTTCATTTCAATCAATCCATGAACCAACACTACCACATTCCCCCTGGTACGATAGCTAAGGCTGCAAAACAGCCCCAATTGCCTGGATCCTGCAATACCTGGCCTTTACAATGAATCTGACAGCCCCCTAGCCAAAGATTCCTCCAGCGATGTCCACCCAGGCCTTCCGTAGAAGCCCTGGATGAGTTTCTCGGCTCGCTTCGAAGCTGCAATCTCAAAGGGGCGAATATCATCTTCCTCCTGAACATCCGGTATCGCTGAGCAATCTGGTCGGAGTTTCCGCATAATCTTCACGATCTGGGTCCAAGTATACGGACCGGCACAGGCAAACAGACGCTCCGACCGGATCTCCGGATCTAAAAGTCCAATGACATGAAGTCGTGCGGTGTCTTCAACATCCACGTACCATTCTAACAGTTCCTGTTAGAGCCTATTATTTTCAAGGTTATGGGAACCCGGGATTCTTCTTACGTGCGGGCATGAGCTTTGTGGCCACATCGTTTCCCTCGAGCAGTAAGCGTGTCGCCGCCATCGAAGTGCCTTGCTTGCCGGGGAACGTGATCTTGCCGAACTAAAGTGCCTCAAAATCAGACATTAACGAAAATCCCAGGATTGCTTTTTGCTTACGTTCGCGTTGGGGAGTACGGTGTTCAACACGAAATGTGGGTTATGCTCCGCCATCCATTTCCAAGCCCCCCGCTCGGCTTCCACTTTTGCTGCCGTATACACCATACCTGGCTTGATGGGGTCCGGAGTCGTTGGATCCCAGGCAGCGGCAACAGCCGAGTTATTCCATTTGTCTATGAACATGTCAGAATTCGCCATGGATGGTTCACACATAAGGCCAGTTACTGACTCTCATCCACAACATAGTCCGTGATCTCCCCTGTGCCGGGACATCGAGAACAGGCCGTAACCACAGAAGATGTCAGAACAACCCGCTGGACGGATCTCGCTCGCGCAGCAGCAGAGAGGACATTCAAGGTTGCTCTGACCACCTCGGGAATGAGACTGTGCGGATCGGCAGTCCACGACATATTGCATGCCTAAACATAGCTGTTAGATGTCTTCCTTCGTAGTCAATTTATCAATCGATGCAATCACGCACCACATGCACTATCCCGCCCACATCTGTCAAGCACCCATCTAACGCCCCGTCTTCCTCCAGCTTTGGCACGAGTACTGTCTCGAAGTTGGCTGGCCCATATTTTCCCTTGAAGTATTCGTCAACCCATGGCTTCTCCGAACGCACCGTGCCCCGGACTTTGTAGCCTTGGGCCAAGAAGGCCTCGATAACATGGGTGGCAATGAAGCCGTTGGCACCGGTCACCAGGACCCATGAGTCAGACGGAATGCTATAGCTTGTAGTAGACATGGTCAATACTTTCAAGACTAATGCTCTCGATGAATAAGGAAGACGCCCTTTGGATTGAGTAGTATGGATAAATTGATGGGGGGGTCATGGACTGGGTATAAATACTTGAGATGCAACGCCAACCCCAGCAGGGGGGATGTCCACCCGACTAGAAATTATCCAAATAGTGGGTACTAAAGTAAGCCTATGCGAACGAACCAATCAAGATACCAAAGCTATACCACATATCAGGGACACCAAGAGAGGGAGCCATGAAGATCGCTACTACTCCGGTGATTGTCATTATCTATAACACCGCCATTCGGTATCAATGAATCATGATCGGTTGAGGCCAACGAATTCTATGACTGCGTGACCAATATCCTTCAACCTTGTAGGTCAAAGCGCTGCCCTTTTCATAGAAAGGTCTCATACTGTGCACGTTGCTATTCCTGTTTCAAAATCAGTTGGGCACACACGAGCGTGGATCACATTGTCCAAGTCATGCGAATGTTCTCGTCTCTATTGGATGTCTCTCAAAAGTCAGAGATGACCCTCTGAGCACTTCATATCATGGATCATGGCTTCTGAGTTAAGGGTTATAGTTCTAGAGGAGCAGGACTAGTGTTGTAGCCAAACTACCAAAATCAACAAAGGACTAAACAAACTACCTGTGGTAGTCACAAAATGTACTTCACCTCCAGTTTGATTGTTTAGCATTCACTAAAGACTGTTCTTCAGACCTGATTCGGCACGGTGGTAGAGCCCTAAATCAATATATATTCCAACACACTTACTAGATAATAAGGACTATGATATAGTCCAAAACTCTGCTACTGGGAGTGTCGACGGCGAATGGAAGCCGAATTTGACAATAAAACAAGATCCAATACCCTGGATATCCCTAGGTACATGTTGGTATGTTGGAGGGTTCATGCGCCTCTAGTAGTTCAAACCATCAAAAACTCGAGGCCGATGACTAATATTCCTAAATTACCCCTCCTTCACTGGTATGACTCGAAGCACATTCCTCGGCTTTTGTATTAAATCGTGAATGTATTAAAAGTTGACTTGATATCATTCGTCAGTGATATCCACCACGGAGTGAGTCGAACAGGAAATCCAGATTATATCTCAAAATGGACTCCCAAGTTAAACCTCCAACATCAACCCCAACCACTCATCCGAGACTTGGATGGATCGGTAAGTGCAGCATTTCCTCACTGCTACCAGCCTCACACTAACGCCACAGGCCTCGGGTCGATGGGGCTGGCCATGGCATTGAACCTCCAAAGCCATCTATCGCATGTCGGGGCCCCTCCACTGTGCTTCTATAACCGTACAGAAGCTCGGGGCCAGCCGATCCTCGACAAAGGAGGAGTCCAGAGTGCCAGTGTCCCAGACTTGATTGCCCAGGTCGATATTTGCTTCATTGCCGTCAGCGACGGCACAGTCGTCACCTCGATTGTCAATTCAATCATAGAAGCATCCACACCGGAACAGCTTCAGGGCAAGATCATTGTCGACACGTCGACCATTCATCCGGATGTATCCTCGTGGGCGCAGCGAACGCTTGCCGAAAAGGGGGCTAGTTTTGTAGCAGCCCCCGTGTTCGGGGCAAGCCCTGTAGCAAGGGAAGGCCGGCTTTTAATCGTGACAGCAGGCGCTGACGAGGCTGTCAGAGATATTGAGCCGTTCTTGGTTGGTGTATTGGCGAGAAAGACGTTGCACATGGGAAATGACGCGGCGCAAGCGAGTTTGATGAAGACGGCAGGGTAGGTGTCGAGGCTTTTTTTTTTTTTTTTTTTTTTTTTTTTTTTTTTTTTTTTTTTTTTCAAAGGATTTGGCTGATGGAATGGATGGTAGAAACTTCTTGACGGCTGGGATGATGGAGCTTGTGGCTGAAGCACAGGTCTTTGCCGAGAAGACTGGTATCGGAAGTGAGGCACTGGAGTCCTTGATTGAAGAGCAGTACGGCGCACTTCCACTCGCGATGTCAAGGCGGATGACAGAGGGGTTTTACCTTCCGAAACAGGGGGAACGGCCTTGGTCGGACCTTCAACTGGCTGTGAAAGATGTCGGATTAGGTGTTTCGTGTGCGGAGAACGCTGGAACGAGGTTACCCGTTGCAGATGTTGTTCTTAGGCATTATGATGAGGCTTCCCAGTATGCACGGACGAATGAAAGGGTATTGGACTCCTCGTCCATGTACGGAGTACTCCGGACGCATGCCGGGCTTGATTTTGAATCGGACCGTGTGAAGGAGAGGTGATGATGAGCCTGATGTGGACACATTAGTGGCGTGACTGTTGTGAGCTCAACTAAATCACATTTTAGGCATGTACTATCATTGAACTGTGTTACACTGAAAGCATTCACTGTTGATGCCACTATGCTGAATATCTCTTGTCAGTCAAGAAGACTTGACACAATACTGGACACTTAGTAGCATTGTCTCATAGGTTAATGATCTCTTGTTGATGTTGTTTCCTTCGAGTTCTTCAGCGCTAGACAGGGAATAATTCTCTAGGTTTTCGGTGGGATGGAATCAAGGTCGCGGGTGGAGACCAGTGACTACTTGTAGTATAGTCTAGTCACTAGGGGATTGTTTAAGCAATCCATTAGGCATCAAGGCCACCATCTGCTGAGAATGGCACGATTAACGGTTCTTCGCCTGGCGCCATTTTCATGCCGATGATCTCTATTCTCTTATGACTTACTTCATTGGCAAATGTCACCCTTCACAGACGAAAACCACAGGCAATTATGAAGACCCATTTCTTCGTGTAGGGAAGCTTGCCAGATGGGGACTTGACCCCATGGAGAATGTCGACAATCGAATGGCCGGGCGCTATTTCGAGTAAGTCCGACCAGGTACAATTCAACTCACAACGATAACTAGTAAACCATTTCACAAGTTGGAAGGCATTATTAGTATCGAGCTGTTATCTGATCCATGGCAATACGAGAGAACTACTAAACGATTCTAGGGTAGACCACATAAACACCAAGGGTGAGTGATTAGGTTACATACATTGTCATTGAGGTGTCTCGAATGCTGAGATACTCTTTTATAGAGCGACTACATCTCCCCCAACGCATGCAGAACTCACGCACACTATTCCCCAAGCGTAGCATCCTCCAAAGAATCTGGTTCCCGGCTCCACAGCCCAGTCCCAAGATCATCAACAATCAAATTCAGCGTGAGGCCAGCATCCGCACAAGCACGGCGTAACTCGTCTTGCAAGTCCTCCCATCCATCCATATAATTCTGGTCCCAAAGCCGCCAAGTAATCGTCTGCAACTCCGGGGTATACGCACGCCAGTTACGCAGAAACTGATGAATCAGGTCATTCACCTCATCCTGTTCCCATTCAAAGTCGCCCAGGCTTCGTAAGTCCTCGCGCAAGCAGAGATGTCGCAAGGTCTTCGGCAGAAGTGGTCCTAGCTCAGTCTTCCGCCGCCAGTACCAACCTAAGAGGACTAGTAATGGCAGCTCGGCTGACTGGAGTTTGGGAAAATAGTGTAGAATGTCGTGGAATGACTCCTTGATGTGATCGCCACTCATGCCCCAGTAGCGGTCGCCCAGGTTTGAAGGGTAATATTCGACTCCTAGGGAGAGATGTTCCAGGGTCTGGCTTACGGACTTCAGGGCTTCAGATAGCGTAACAGGATCCTCGATCGCGTCTTCAGCGCCCCAGGAATACGCCATTCCCAGGTGCAACGTTTTTAGATTGGGGGTTCGGGAAAGCAAGAAATGCACGTCTTGGTCTGAGATGGTGGTCCGTGCAAGGATCAGTGTCTCCAGTTTATTCAACTCCAGGTTCGGCACTGTTTCCTCAAGGCCTTCAATATCCCGTAACCAGATATTTAGGTAGCGCAACGACGGCAAGCAGAACCACGCCATGAACTGATCCGGGTTGTATGGGGGATAGCTATCCGGATCCTCATCTTCATCTTCAGCGATGGGAACATTGCCTCCGCAGTCCACGGCCTCAAGGTATTCGAAGGTAGAGAGTACTCCACTGGGAGATAGGAGAGCCTGCTTCAGCATGAGGCCTGGGAAGCCATCCCACCAGACCAACGAATAATCCAGATCCAACTTTTTGAGGTTAGGGAGTTGAGAGATGAAGATAGCCGCATAACAGTAGATGTTTCCACCACGAATGGGAAGGCTCCATATGTCAAGGTCAAGTCCAGCGCGGCGGACTATGTCCATCGATCGGTCAATGACATCACGGAAGTTCTCGGACTCCGCTTCCCAATCGATGTCCGGTTGGGTATCTTGCCAGTCCTTGGATTCAGAGGTAGATACAAGGCTAACATGCTGGATGTAAGATGTCAATTCGGGGTTTTGGAATATCAACCGCAGCAACTTCAAGAGGCGGCACAATGGCCGGGTGGACCAGTCCAGGGACACGTCACGGTAGGCAAAAGGCGTAGCCGATACGTGTAAATCCCTGCATGTGGTGGCCACTGCCAAGGAAGCCTGTGAAGGGAGCCGGTCCAGGATTGAGACTAAGCAATCCGTGGGAAGTTGTGAGAACGACCTGGGTGGGTTAATGTCATGTTTGTTTGTTGCGAGGTTGTATTTTACATACATTTTGGGGCGAAATGCGGGGAAGGTCCTGCATGGGAAGCGGTTGTGGCGCCTTAGGGTGGAAACCCTTATTGTGACCGCACCGGCTATTTTACGTCGACAATACAGGGCGACGACCAGAGTTGGGGTGAGGAAGTGCAAGGGAGCGTTCAGTAATTGAATTGTCATATGCAGGAGGGTCTTTAGCGAGAGGTTTGGCGATGCCGATCATCATCTTCTTCATTTACTGTGTATAAGTGTTATTCAATTTCCTCGGTTCGTGCCGAAGCATCGGAAACTACCCGACCCTGTCGGCATCTTCGCGACGTCGAATGTCCATGCTCTCATCTCCTGGCCGTACCCTCCTAACACGAATGCAACTCCCTGCTACGTTCTCGCTTACATCAGTAGTTCTAATTGTATGTAACAAAGCATGCTCCCAGTGGGCAGCTAGATCGATAACTTTTCAATCGGTCCACAATGGTATGAAACCACGCGTTTGAATAATTGCAAATGCTGATCCCTAACTTCAAGGAGCAGTTGATATTCAGCATTATGCACACTCGCCTGATATGGTGATGGAGGTTGGGATGCGCTGGACCCTAGATACCAAGAGTTGTCTGTGCAGGTTACTTTGATGTCCTGGCAAAGGCCTTAACGCCATACCAAGAGCACTGCCAACTCCTAGCTCCACCCTCGGAGGTGCATTTGCTTCCGTTGGGGGCGAGAGATTTATATGCCTAGAGACCAGGGAAGACTATTCTCAGGAGAAGCAGCGCTGTTCACAGCTGGACTCAGGGATCAACGTCTTGGTATCCAGAACGGTTTTATCAAGGGGGTTCAGTGTAGATGCTAACAGCGTTAGAGAATACATAAATATGCATCTGTTGCACCTGTCTACTGTCCATCATCAAAACAGTCATTCTTTCATTTATCAAACACTCTTTTAGTTTCTCTTGTATATTCCGACCTGTATTCATTCATTCAGACTTTCACTTATTGAATCTTTGAGCTCCGCATCCGGTAAGGAGGCCTACTCCAAAATGCTTCTACCGAAGTTCTGCTATCTCTTTCTCTTCTTTCTGGGCCTCGTTGCGACTTCGCCGGTGGCTCTAGAAGAAAGAAGCCTACTTGATCCCCGCGCTCCCAACCTTGACGAGATTGTCGAGAAACAAGAGATCGAAAACGTCAATCACGGCGAGTCAGAAAGGACGAAGACTTTCCGGGTCTATCGCTCTGTCGTCACCTTTAAAGATGGCAATAAAGTCCAAGATAAACACATTGTTGGTCTTGCCAAAGCCGGCTGGGACAAGATGAATGCTTTGTTCGAGAAAGAGCTGGAAGAAGAAGATGCCAAGGACAAAGAGAACCACAAAAAGGACAAGAACAGCAAAAAGAAGAAGAACCTCAACAAGGGAGACAGACCACACGTTATGACTGCTATGAAGGTAGGCAATAAGGTCTATCTTGCATCAAGTATCAAAGGCGGCAAAGGCAACTATATCTACCAGACCTTTGAGGGCGATGACCAATACAATGGCAAATTCACCACCGTTTTGGACAACGCGAGGGCGGGGGATGTCAAAGAAGCATTGATGGCAGTCAGCGCCGAGAGCCAAGATACGGTTAAAAAGACTACGGATAAGGACAAGCAGACTGATCCCAAGAAGGACAAACACACTGCTCCCCAGGTGGGTAAAATGACAAGCGGAGAACCATCTGCCGCGGGCTCGTCAAGTGGCCAAGGGGTAACAAACAGGAGGAGGCCGGCAAAAAATCCAACGATCTATCAGCATACGAACAATGCCGGCTGTGGCGAGGTGATGGCATCCATCGAGTATCACATGACTGCCGAATCAGACCACAAACTAAAGGGCAAGTCTCCTAAGCCAAAGATCGTTGCATGGGAAGGAGAGGATAAGAAGGGTGAACCGTACAAAAACGAGTTCAACGGTCAGATCACAGATGAGATGACAGGCCAGATGAAGGAGCCATCTGGTAAGGAACACGAGAACGATGGATGCGGGGAGGGCTGGGGCTGCAAGGCTTTTACTGGGCAAAAAGGCATGAATTTCGACGTGATCAAGTCCGTCAAAAAACTGACTGATAAACACATAATGCTTCCTCGCGCAAACGACTTTCCTGAGATTGTGGACATAGCTTATCCCAAGTTTCCCGCGCCCGAAAAGTATAAGCTACCGGAGCCAGAGACAAAGGGCAGCAGGGGCGGCAGCAGCGGCAGCAGGGGCGGCAGGGGCGGTGGCAGGGCCGGCAGAGGCGGCGGCAGGGGCACGACTCACTGAGCCCAACATGCTTCAGTGTATGAGACATTTGTTGGTAGCATATGTGTAAGGGTTTCCTGTTAGAAAGTCGTCTTCTAAACAGACCCTCTCAGATAGAACCAACTAGCCACCAAGCTCCTGATCGATTTGTTATATATCTCACTATGTCATTATTGCATATTGAGTGCTATCCTAGTCTGTGTTCTAGTCTAGGTCACTGGGATTAGTAAATTAACAGGCAATTTATATAACTAATGGAGTGATATCAAGTTATCAAGTTTATCATCGTTCACTTGTCCGCCTTCTCCTTTGAATGATCATGCTGAGGCCACCAATATGGTATAGACTCATTCTCTCTTTAGCATCTTAATAAATGAAGGTTTAGTCCCTCGCCAAGATAGAATAAAAGAGTACGTCTCACTGCAATACAGCCAACACTCCAGGGTCTGCAATATTAAGAATTTGAGGCTGGTCACACACAACTGTGTTCTTAAATTGCCTACTTCTAGAGTATTGGGCTGCTATAGGTATATCAGAGGTGAAGCTTAAGATGTTAAACAATCTACTCACTCAAACATATTCACTTAGAGCTAGATTGATATAATTGATATTGTCGGCCTATTCTGACATGGACTGAGGAAACTACTGACACAAAGCTATCTCATCATTCACTAAAAGAGCATTCTATTGATAGTTGATGCCTCAACTACCACATAGTAATAAAAGCAGGGCCCTCCATGACTTCTTCTTTCAGAGCTCCGATTTTTTTGATTCCTTTACTTTTGCTGTATAGTTGTAGGTCTATTTATTCTATATAGACTTTTACGAAAGCGACCGACTTCTACCCGAGGAAACCATTTAAGAGCTGTACCTTTTCAACGGCTGTAGTACAATTTGAATCGGCGGGTAGACGAAGTAGCTCCTAGTGAGATCTAATCGAGAGAATATATATAATACCTAGCTGAAGAGAGGACTACCTATATATCTCCGTTACAGAGAAGCATACTTACATATTCTATATAATTATATATGAGGTTCTGCTATAATACCAGACTTACTTCCCATCTATACTCTTTCGTTCCAAGCAATATTATATATCTATTCTATCGATGCGCCGCACACATGGAAGATCCAACAATATCGCTTTAGGGGGTGTATGGATAGTGCTAGCAGACAAGCGTCCTCTCTTTTTACTTATTTGCTTAATGAGGGATAATACCATGCTACAGATGTTGACCCTTCGATACAGATACCCAGGAGGGTGTCTCCTGCTTGCAAGGAATGCAGAAGACGGCGGGTAGGAGTAATTATATACTACCACAGTTTCTTGTTACAACTTTGCAAAACTATGATAAAGACAGGACATACTGTATAGCTGAGTTTCACAATCAACAACTACAATTAGGACATTGATAAGAAGCCTTGCAACCTATTGCAAAATGACAGTAAAATGCATAGAGGTGCGGAATGATGCTCATCAAGGCTGGGTATGCTATTACTTTACCGTTTCAGGTTAAAGTTCCAGCGCGCGCGTAGAGACAAGAACAAACCCTAACGCGGTTATTCGGAAGTAACCAACCATACCTCCCACCAGCCTCCTCTCATCTTTTTTTGACCCACATATATGTAATTGTTGGCATCCAATTTCAGGCAATGATCACTCGATCTAGACCTTCCAACCGAAAGACGGGTCAAAGAGAAGGACATACTGGCCCGAAGGAGCTTACTATTAGGTTACAACTGCACCACGTTCGCTTATAGACAGACCGGCACTGGCAAAACGTACACAATGGCTGGAGAGATGACAGAAGAGTTTGGACTTCTATCGGACAATGCGGGGATTATCCCACGTACTCTCTACACACTGTTTGACAAGCTCAAAGGAAGAGATAGCACGGTCAAGTGTTCCTTTATCGAGCTGTATAATGAGGATTTACGCGATCTTCTCTCCGATGATGAGGAAATGAACTACAATTGTTTGAAAGCGAGCGGAATGGCGTCGTTAACGGCAATCTATTGGTAAAGGGAATGCAGGAATCATATATTGATTCGCCATCGGCTGGTCTTCAGCTACTCACAATGGGTAGTCAGAAGCGACAGGTAGCAGCCACGAAATGTAATGATCTTAGCTCCCGGAGTCATACTGTTTTCACAATACATGTCCTCACCAAAACTAGTGAGGTGTCTTTCACGTCTGGGAAGCTCAACTTGGTGGACCTGGCTGGCAGTGAGAATATCCAGCGCAGTGGTTCTGAGAAAAAGCGAGCCGTCGAAGCCGGACAAATCAATAAAAGCTTCCTAACGCTTGGACGGGTCATTAATGTATTGGTCGATAAATCTTCACATGTTCCATACAGGTACTGTATCCTTTGGTGTATTTGAAGATGAAAAGTTAACGTAGGGCAGAGAGTCAAAGTTAACAAGATTGCTGCAAGATTCTTTGGGTGGACGGACCAAGACCTGCATAATTGCGACTGTCTCGCCTTGTCTGTCTAACCAGGAAGAGACCATATCCACATTGGACTACGCATTTCGCGCCAAAAATATTCACAACAGGCCCCAGATGAACACTCCTGTCCCCAAAGATGCATTACTCTCTGAACTCGCCTCTGAAGTCGAAAATCTCAAGCGCAATTTGATAGCGACAAGGCATCGAAATGGCGTTTATATGACTTCCGACGCACATGAAGAAATGACCAAAGAAAACGAGTCCCAGCGGATCATCAACCAAGAGCAGAAGCAAAGGATAGAAGCCTTGGAATCAAACCTCAACCACAAGGCAGAAGAGTCGCTTGCATTGAAGCGTCAGCTCCAAGAATTACTTGTCGACAATAAGGAGGCTCCTGTAGAGATTGGTCGAATGAAAGACACTCTTCACAAGGCTGAACAGACATGGGATATCTCTGTTGCAGGAGTGTCGGATTTCACCGAGAAACTGCAAACTCGGATGAAAAGTTTTCAGGCCCAGCAGACCGGGCTTTTACGAGATTTTTCGAACAATCTCAGCCAATTTCTCGAAAATGAGATGATGGCCGCTCAGAAGAATTCAAGTATTCTTCATGATGTTCTCCTTTCCGTCGAAAATATGGGAATGAGGTCTAAAGCGCAAACGTTGAAGGATCAGACAGAAGCAGGGCTCGAGGATCTCAAGGAAATCAGTCAAAAAGTCAGGGCGATGGTTGGCACAACCATGAATGAAGTCTCTCAAGCAATTCGCCGAGTTACCGAAGGTCTTCAGGACGCTCTTTTGAAGTGCAGCAATGATGTACAACTTCTCTTATCCCTTATCGAGAAATTTGCTGATCAGTTTAGTTTGAGATGGCCTACACCACACTCCAGACAGAGATAGAGTCTACATTCGAGACAATCATCAGACATCCTGAGGAGCAAAGCATTCAGACCAGCGAGCTTCAGCTTCAGCTTCAAGATGCTAACTCTCGAATGAAAGAGATGAATCATAAGACATCAATTGATGTGGCTCGACTTCTGGAAGAAGAGCGTACTAGTGCCGAGGCAGAACGCCGTAACTTTCTAGACCAAATTGCTGCACTCTACGATCTTTCATTACAGACACGATGGAATCGACTTCAGGGAAATTACAGTACAATCTGCAATGACATATCAAGCTCTGGCGATCTGATGGAAGGTCTTGCAACGCACAGCCGGGTTGATGAATGTATCACAAAGCAGAAGCAAATCGCCGAAGAGATCATTCACCTCAGAAGCCAGCTGAAAGTGCGCATGGAGCAAGATAAGAAGGTATGGATCTTCATTCGTTTTTAATCTGACCTTTTGGTGACCGGAAGCAGACTATTAATAACGAGCACCTTTCCGCCCGACGAGCTGTGCTATCTGCGCAGAAAGATCTACAGCAAACCGTGGAAAATGGCGAGGATGGGTTTGACGAGCCAGTGGCGCTCTGGGCTCAAAAATTGGAAAACACGCAATCGCATAATAACAAGCTCATCGATGCATATCTTAATAAATCCAACACCTTGGAGGCCACTGTGCAGCAGTCATGCTCGATGGTGAAAGGGCAACGTGAAACAGTTCTTCAAAGTTGTGGAAAATTTCAGGAAGATATGTTACTGCGATCAGATTCGATAGAGCAGCCTATTGCCACCTTGGAGAAAGATATTTGCGAGCCCCTGTCCCATCTGCAAGAGAGCATACGGAATCCTATATTTCTGATAAGTGCCTGTCTGAAACGACCGCCTGAGTCCACAAATACCTCGCCTCAAGATGTAAATATGGCCTCATTGACCTGTTCGGTACATGAAGGACCACAGGAGAAGAATTTTCATGATAGGCAACAGCTAACTGACAGCGACCGAGGGGGGATTCCTCCCTGGATACCTGATAATCCTGTTGAGCAACCATGCTCCGAGGTACCGTCTGACAACGATGAACCTCGTATAAAACGGCGTCGGATTTAAGAAATATATACAGCCCGACAACATTCAATAGCCCTTGACTATATACCCCTGCATATTTCTAATACAGCAAGAACGTTTCGATTTCCAAAGTCCAGCTGTATCGTGACCCTGAGTATGTATTTTAACTCCAGAGCATTTGTTTGCTCTATATAGAAGATCAAGCTCGAAGAGTAGCTGAACATACATGGGATAATGTCTGGCGTGGGTCTAATTGCCGTTTGTGCGCAGTGATGTGCCCTGCACGACAAGCAGGTACCTACGCGCGTTTCGTCTCTGATAGGATATCATCTTGCAGCAAGTAGGTCAGTAGTGACCTCGCACTTGAGCCCAACTCGCCCATTTTGCCTTGCTAGACCGCTTGGTGGGTTGGCCTGTAGTCACTGGTCCGGGGAGCAAATCTACCCTGATTCCGCCCTGCCCCGGCACAGTTTAGGAGAGATTTAGGACTGTGAATATCTACTGATATCTATATTAAAAATAATAGCAGACCGCGAAGTAAAGAGCTATTATTTGATATTATATCTTTTACTATCTAGAGGTTTCTTCTATTTTTTCTAAATTTATATCCCGATTAGTTGCTAAATTTGAATGCGATATAACCGTACTCCCTATTTATATATAATCTCTAGCTTTGAGACTTACACTATTTAAAGTATCTAAACTATTTAAACTATTAGAATAAATTAAACGAATTAACTATAGTATATTCCTGGCTTATTAAAATATTACGATCGGTTAGTTCCTAGTAGGAACGATACAGAGATTTGGAGTCGTTGGCATGATCTGGAAACACTGCAAGGTAGCCTGTCCGGCCACGCACATGCAGGGGTTCAAATCCCTCGTTTCGATTTTGTATGATCTGACGGTGTAGCCTGAGCGTGAACTGTCCCACACCGATCGAATGCCCCAGACTACCAGGATGATGCATGTGTTGTTGCGAGTTAGGGCATCCTTTATCCAGAGTGAAGTTTGGAGGGAGCCATTCAAGCTTGCGAAAATGTTCCAGTCTGGCTCATTTCCTCACAAAGAATCGGATCGGTCCAGGATTAGTGCTCATCTAAGCCGGATTTTGCTGCAAAGGGGAGCCGTTTTCGGCGTCATTTTGGTCGCCAGTGGAACAATTGTTGACGTTGAGCGATTCTGGCGTCAAATGCGGTCATTTTCGACGTCGATTTCACAGGTCCCCAGATTCTATTGTAAATATTGTGCTAATTATAGAAGGAGTTGGACTCTGTGGGTTGTGTTCCTAACAATCGGTGATTGGTTGGTGCGTATTGAATCCGTCCTTAGGCGACAAGGTTGATCATTTCCAACTTGCGTCTCATGGGCATTCTTGGATCTTGCCCACCACCAGCAAACGTTTAGCTACACAGAAATCAAAGAACACAGTAGCATGAATATGTCTTTCTCTGACTCCCAGAATCTACCTCCCCCACCACCACCGCCGCCCCCATTGATCGGCAAAACCGCCCCCAAGCTACCAACTGTAGCATCAGAGGGACCCACCGGGGCTTACCTGGTCGAGTTACTAATTTTCAACGGCTGGCCCTTTAAAGACCACTGGGCTTACTCGGTTCGGTCACCATCTGCCCCTGATATCGGTGTGCAGCTCCATGCGACCGGGGATGTAAGGAACGGCTTCGAGTTCCAAATCAAGCGCCACTATGACTTCCATGACGACAACAGTGAACGCCCCTCTACCCGGATTCCCTTACAGTGGATCGACGGGAAATACTTTGACGAACGGGCGATGATGAATAATGGGGTGCTGGAGCTGGACAATGTGCCTGTCTGTGGCTTTGAGGCTAGTGTACACAAGGTTAAGGCTCCGGGGAAGTCTTTGAATACGGTCACCGAGACTGTAAGTGCAGGCAATATTTGATAATATCTCAGTCAAATCTATTTACTGGAGTATTGTACTAAGATACATTTCTAGGCCATTTTGGAAGGCAAGAAGGCGCAAAAGGTGAACCAAAGGAACTGTCAGACATGGATTGTGGAGTCTGCCGATCAACTTGTCCGCGACGGGATATTTCGCGAGGACGTTGCGGCGTATCTTCGTGCTATTGAGCAGTGATACACGTGTGGTACTATCCAAACACTATCCTTCATCTGCTTGCTAGAAGCGAGATGCATAGACATTCTTTTCCTTGCGGAGAAATCGAACACGATCGTATGAGTTGCGTCTTTTTCGAGGCGAAGCACCCGCTCAGCCTTGCCGATCGGGACCTGAACTGTCAACCAATGTTCGCAATGCGGGCAGCGGATTTGTCCGGAATCTGAGTGGATATCGTGCCGTAGGATCCACTGTAGGAACGGAGGCTAAGATGGCACTAAAGGGGCGTCCAGAGCATTGACGTCTGCCACCACATTCCTGGACTACTCCGTAGTAGAAGCAGAGATTTCGATCCAGAGATGTCAAGTAGCATATTCAGTAAACCAATAAAGGATCTAGGTGGAGCAATACAGTTCAAATCGTAGACCCGCAAAAGTGTCTGCCTATCAATGCTTAATGACCATGATAAGAGATCTTAGTAGGAGCCCCACCCGGGCGCTCAGACAACGCAAGGGGATGAATTGGGTAAGCTTACGAACAATGCGAGCGGGGGAAATTATCGCAGGGTCATAAGTTCATCTTCTAAGTAGTTAAGAAGCAGGGATCGACGAGAGTCAAGAGAGTAAGGCTGAGTTGGAATATACCTCGTAAGCCCTAGTCTGCATAGGGTATAGAGCAACCCCGTGATCATCCCACTCCTTTTGATTGCAGCGTTCTTTGTTTTCGTGAGATTGTCCACATCACTCCCGGCTGTAGTCTCTTTCGCGCGTGGCCATCATGCTCACGATTCAGCTGGAAAACCAATTGGCCTGCTATTCAGGACATGAACACCTTCGTGGTTGTGTCGTCTATCATTGCCCGAACCCGATCGACATCCAAGAAGTTCGGGTGAGCTTCTACGGCCGCGCCAAGGCAAAAGTGCAGAAGATCAAGGGCGCGACCGCCACCTTTCGAAGCAAGAGCATTCTGTTCCATGAAGAAAAGACTCTAGCCACCCCTAATGGCGGCCAGCTGGCCCGGAATACGTACGAATGGCCGTTCGAGTTTACATTCCCGTCGCAGGTGGAATCACCCTCAAAGTGGCCCGAAAAGGCCCCTTTCCGCAGCGATGAACACCACCCGCTGCCTCCATCTTTTGCGGTGGATGTAGGTGATTCACAGCGGAAGTTACACTGCGTCATCGAATATCGCATCGAGGTTCAAATGTTCAAACCGCAGAAGACCTTTCTGTCGAAGAAAGCGCCGTTATATACAGAGGCGCTGCGCGTCAACTTTTTGCCATTGGCAGCACAGTGGGAACCAACAGATCATGCGGATAAACTAAGTCGAAAGCACAAGGATGAGGTGTTCACCGTGCGCAGCCTCCTCCTCCTGCCGGAAAATCGGGGACGGAGTCTCAAGGTCGGAGAGAAGTTCCAATCTTGGCTGTCAAAGAAGCAACTCCCTCAATTTGACTTCAAAGCGTCTTTCATATATTCCACCCGGGTACTGCAGGGCTCACCAGTTGCATGTTTGTTAGATGTCGTCCCGTGTACGGACGGCTCGTCCATGCCATTTCCAGGCATCACGCTGCAATCTGTATCGGTTGCAGTAATGAGTCGAACTTCCGCACGTGCTTCTCAGTCACTGAGGGGCTCAATAACCGGTGAGGTGGATGATCGATTGGAAATCCTATCGAAAACCTCACTCGGCATGCCTGTTTTGGGGCCGCTCGATTTGAACGAGACATTCGGACCGCTCATATTCAGGCATTCAGACGTATCTTTCAGCACGTTCACCATCAGCCGGTCCTACCGACTATGCGCGTCATTCACGTTTGAGTGCGTGGGAAAGACTTTTGAGTTCAATGCGAATGACCTCGAGTTCTTCATCGTCTCAGATGTCGTCAGTCCCACGGTACAAATGACACCGATGGAGCAAGGCACTGCTATTACCGGGGTTTTCGAGCTTGCGGACACCACTTCTCGGCGTTCATCATCGGATGAATATGATGATTCTCCTCCCTCATACTCGATGGCGGCTCCGGATTCAGAGAAACCACCGACGAAGAACTAGTACCGTATCGATGCTACTTTCGGAACACTGTTCAACGGGGTGTCTGTGTAATGGTTATGGATTCGCTGGCTCTGTTGAAGTAACTGTCAACTTTTTGGAGGTTGTTAGACATGGCGCATCGATACACTGCATAGTACAATAATACAGGAATTATAGCTCTTTGATCTCACTGTTCCTTCTTCCGCGGCACGGCGATGGTACAGCAGTGATCTTTGTTGCACAAGGTAAGCTCTGTGTACTAGCTTGCTTCGACGAGGAGCAGAGCGGTGCTTAGGCTAAACAACACCTCTCTAAATCTTGCCAAGCTTGGGATTTGCCGAACAACTGCCGAGGTCCCTGGCGAAGATCCTTAATTTCCCTGAACCCTCAGACGAGTGGGCCCAATTAAGGTTGCAGCCGAGTCTGGATTCTTCAGACCGTGAAGGATTACCCGGATGAAGCTTACCATTCATAGCTGTGATGAGCCGATTTAGCCTATGGTAGGACTGTGAAACGCTACCTAAGGCGGGTATTAGTGATTAGGGAGGTCTTAGCGCGGATGAACACTCTCGGCAAAGATACTCAACCAGTGCTCTCAGCTGAAGGAAGCACGCTGTTCAAGGATTGCTCGTATACGGAGTATAATGGTTCACATATATCGTAATTCAGCCGGACTAGCTTCAGCTATCGCCGTCAACCTGCAGAGCTCTCGGGACATTGGCCGGATCTTCGTTAGTCTCGCAACGGAGCGGATCACCGACATGCCTAAACTGAAATCATCCTCCCGGTGATTCTCCACACTTGGCATCCATGGTTGATACAGGGGCGTAGGTGGAGTATGTCCAGCCTTGTCGGGGAAGCTCTATAAATACCGGTCACCTTGACCAGGACTCGACATTGTATCTCATCGCAGATCAACACAACCGCAGCAATCCACTCCACTCCCACAACATGGTGTCCTTCTCATCCATCCTGCTGGCCTGCAGCGCCGCACTCGGAGCACTAGCAACTCCCATCGACTCACTGCCCGAGGAGTCCTTCAACGAAACCGCTGCCCACGAGCTTGTCACCCGCTCCACGCCCAGTAGCACCGGCTACCACAATGGCTACTACTACTCCTTCTGGACCGACGGCGGCGGCGACGTGAACTACGTCAACGGCAACGGCGGCTCCTACAGCGTGCAATGGTCCAACGTTGGCAACTTCGTCGGCGGCAAGGGCTGGAACCCCGGAAGCTCCAGGTATACACCTCCCCTCTTGCTCACATATCCCGGATCCCCCTATCCACTCTATCCCCATACGCATATGAACCCAAACTAACCACACACCCAGGGCCATCAACTACGGCGGCAGCTTCAACCCCAGCGGAAACGGCTACCTCGCCGTCTACGGCTGGACCACCGACCCCCTGATCGAATACTACATCGTCGAGTCCTACGGCACCTACAACCCCGGCAGCGGTGGCACCTACAGGGGCCAGGTCACCTCCGACGGCGCCACGTATGACATCTACACTTCTGTCCGCACAAACGCTCCGTCCATTATCGGTACCGCGACCTTTACCCAGTTCTGGTCCGTCAGGAGGTCGAAGCGCTCTGGTGGCACCGTGACCACGGGCAACCATTTCAATGCCTGGGCTCAGTATGGGCTGAAGTTGGGCACGCATAACTACCAGATTGTTGCCACGGAGGGGTACCAGAGCAGCGGGTCTTCTTCTATCACTGTTTATTAAGGGTTCGGTAGTGGATATATGAGTTGTGTGGTTGGACTGTTGAATTCCGTGCTGCAGTTGGCTGAGAGGGGTTGAGTTATGGTTGGATTGTTGGGAGCTGTTCTCGATGCTGCGTTTTAGCTATCCTCCGTCTGTCATTCTTTATTGTAGTAGGAAGTTGACACTTTGCAATCACTTGAAATCTCCAACTGCTCCTTGTATGTAGAATAAACTAAGATGGGTTGGGGAGCACCAAAGACCACAAACCATCCATCTATCAAACGAGCAGACTACCGCTTGATAGCAAACAACTACCACCCATCCAACAATTCAAGATCGAAGAATTTCTAGCTCTTCGCATAAGTACTCAACCCCCTCAGTCTCTCCCCATAATACCACAGCAACAACGGCGCGGGAATGCCAATCACAACGGCAACGCACGCGAGAAGCGTATTTCCCCACACAAAACCCAGATTACCATATCTGAATGAGGCCATTAATGAGCGCGTGCCAGAGAGAGCAAAGGAGCAGGAACAAAAGCCAGTATAGTAGTAAAAGATGGCTGTCAAAGAAAGAAAGAAAGCAAAGAGACAAGAACCTACAAGCTAGGCGCCACCAGCGGCAACCCAAACCCCAATAAATTCCTTAGAAGCATCACACTCGCCATTGCGCTCGCCCGCGTATACCTGGTACGTATCGATCAGGTAGCCCTGTACGCAGACGAGCTGTACGACTGTAGCACCAGAGTAGATTGCTGCGCCGATGTTTCTGTGTAGTCATTTCAGTTCCGTATATTTTATTCAATGTATACATGGTACTATCTGTCAAAAGGGATACGTACGGCATAATCCAGTGTATACTCGTTCTCGCACTCCACCCGTACCAGAATAGCCCGATGGGGACGACGACGGCGACCGCGCAAAGCATCGGCAGATGGAACTCTGGTTTCGATTCCCCGTTATTCTTTGCTCAGAGGCGTTGGTTGATTCTATCCGAGAAGCGGACGCCGAATTGCGTGGCGATGGCTAATCCCACTGTCATCGAGAGATAGTTCAGGGAGCCGATGGATACCGACTCGTGGTAGATGCCTGTCCAGACGTCGGGGAAGGTAGCAACCATGAGGTAGAGAATTCCATTGAGATATGCGAGATAGAGGCTGAGGAATTCCGTCCCAAGTTACCAGATTCGGATCGGTGGGAGGAATCAAAGGGACAAGATTCGCTGGTCCAGTAGTTTCTGGATTCTTTTCTGAAGGTGATGCATTATTCGCCATGGCGCAAGAGGTTTGCTAGTAGGCGAGTATCCAAGGAGGTTGAGGGGGTTGCATATCGGCGGAAAGCATTGGATGAGGGGGGTGCAGGTGTGATATATTACCCGTGGCTTCCTTTGTTTTGTGAATATACCTAATTTTGCTGGAATTGGCCGTATGGCGTTATTTATAGATACGTGTCCGGTGTTCCCACACGCTGCCGTTCATCCCTAGTGCTTATTTCCAGTATGTAAAGCTTCGCATAATTATAGTGGGAGCTTGGTTTATTGGTGTCCAATGCATACGTTTTTGATTAATGTCCGTTACCGAGTCTCTATGTACGCGTTGAATATATATAACATGTGGAAGATTAGGACCAGCCCTCATTGAAATATCAACCGTCTGAACTACCCACCCAACAAGCGATCGCCATGGTTCGGCGATATACCCCGTGCAGAAGACGATCTACTACACTCACCTAGCTCCCAGCGCACATCATACTCGCTGGTCTGAACTATAGAACCCTCTCTAAGATCTCGCATGCTCTCACTGGGTTCTATCATCCTTCTGTGCTCGCCGTGACATAGGCCTTTCAAGTTCCCTGAGTTTAGTCCGGAATGCCCGGCCCCATTCGCGCTCTGTCTTCCTGATTTTGACGTAGAACCCTCTATCGTGCTATGTGCCCCAGAGACTGAAAGTTCGAAAAATTCCGAAACAGTACCAGCCATCATCCCGGTTTGTAGCTCGGCGAGCGCCCGCTTGAGGCTTGGGATACACGTGCAAAGGATAGAGGCACTTTGTATCAATTGTAGCCATATTGTTGGCATGAGGATATGCCACGATTGGTCCAGGGGCGTTGAGTGGAAAACAGGGCGAAGAGACATGATATATGGTATAGTCAGGACAGGCACCCTTATATGAACCTGTGAGTTAGCTCAGGGCCAACAAGGCCGGCAAAGAGAGGCAAAGTTACTCACAGGACGCGTAGTCCAAAGAGAGCGCAGATTTGGAAGCACTTCCACTGCGACATCTGGACCTTCCACATCAGGGTCATAGGTAATACGACGAGCCCTATGTCAAGCAGTATGTGACTCACAGCCAGACCCGTGTAAAGTGCTTCTTCGTTCATGCGTCTGCCGAGGTTGAGGTCCCACACCTGGGTTTGCGCACATTCAACTGCTAGAGCGATTGTAAAGGCAATGGTCCAGGCTCCAATCAACCCTAGAAGCATCTTACACGCGAGAAGGGCTACACTAAACGGCTTTATGGAGATCAGGAGGAGTGCAACGGACGCTTTGGAGCAAGCTAACACGACGACGGAGAGGATCTGACTTGCGTACAGAAACTATAACAGGTTAGTTTTTCAATGATGACTTGTGAACAGATCAGGAACTGACATTGCTATAAGATTCAAACATCACATCACTCAAAATCTTTCTGTGCTTACCGATACCGTTCGAACTAGCAATATTCACACAGGTGGTTTGAGGAATGAAAAACACCTTCCAGGCATTGTCAATCAATTCAGGCCAAGAATACAGAATGGAATCTTACCATTGCCGCAATGAGGAATATATCACTCCAACTCAGCGAGTGAAGGATTCTCACCCGGGAGATAAGCGTCACAGTAGTCGCCAAAGCCGTGACGATCAATAAGATGGTACTCACGGTGATCACCCACGCTCCATAATCCTCAGGCGAGACGGGGAGAAGCGGTGGTAGGATCTCTGTAGCATCTGCTGGCATCGCACTGTCCAAGGCTCTTCAAAGCTGGGCACCAGTGCAGATGCCAATGGGAGATGTGTAACATAATATTAGCCATTTTCCTACCCCTAAACTGACACAACGGGCGACGCAAAAGTACTGACTCGGGTGCCTCTTGACCAATTAAATATCCTAGTAAGGTTGCAGCACTAATGAGCTGCTAAAGGTGCTGTTAAGGCAGACTACGCAGGGATGTCTGTGGTTAGCGCGTTGAACTGCATCCAGGGAGCTAGGGTTTAACCCGCGTGTTAATTAATCCTTTCCTCCTGGCGTTACGCCTCTTCCCCTCAATTTCTTTTGGCTAACTGTTCTGTTTCTCTAGTTCAAACCTTTCCTTGTATTCTTGAACTCCATCGCCCGCGTATATCGCACATCAATTATTTTCTGAATCAAATTGAATCCGATGCTGACTCGGTTCCAATATGGAACAGCACGAGATGAAGACAGTTGCGGGAACAAATATCGATACACCGACAGACAAATGTATAAGCTCGGCAGTTTCACATGACAATCAACAACATCATGAGGATACGTCGGGTCAGACGCAAATAAAGGTGCGGTGCTCCAGGCCTTCACACCAGTTGAACAGGAAGGGGTGACACGAAACAATATCAGCGCCTCTTTAACTTCACGCAAATGTTCTTCTTCTCACTCACCTTTATGTCGAGCTGGGAGACTCAAGCTTTGTACGTATCTGTGTCTCCTCTATCGCTACTCCTTAGAGGTACTGATGCGCAGTGGCTAGGAATTTGAATGCGGTATTAACAAACGGGGGACCCGAAGCTCTAGCTTGGGGAATTGTGATTGTCATATTTGGTGCTTTGGCGCAATGTGCTTCATTAGCTGAGATGGCATCAATGCAGCCCATCGCCGGGGCACAGTATCATTGGACACATTACTTGGCGCCTGCTAGTCAGAAGAGGTTTATCACTTGGATGCAGGGTACTTCACAGCATTGCGCACGGTCAGCAATAATACAGTGTACTGACATTTAACTTGATATAGGGTGGATTACTTGGTTCGGCTGGGTCTCGCTGCTTGCAGGTGTAGCGAATACCACGGCGACTACCATCCAGGGCTTAGCGATCACAAACTATCCGGATTACGTACCGGAACGGTGGCATTTGACTCTGATAATCTTTGCTGTACTCATTATCGAGGCGCTCATGAATATGTATACCTTCCAGCTGATCCCTTGGATTGAGCTCATGGCTGGGATTCTACATGTTGTTCTCTTCATCATTTTCCTGGTCGTCTTTGTTGCGTTGGCTCCACGTCATACTCCAGACTATGTGTTTTTAACAACCCAATCCCAATCAGGCTGGAACAATACATTCGTTTCATGGAACATAGGGCTTTTAACACCATCATGGGGGTTTGTCGGTGCGTCATGGTAGCCCCTCGCTCGTGTTCGAAAACCAACTGATGGTCATAGGCTTCGATGGGGCAGTTCATATGAGTGAAGAGGTCCGTCGTGCGCGAGAGGCAGTCCCCCGATCGATGGTCTGGTCCGTCGCCACTAATGCCGTCCTTGCGTATGGCATTGTTATATGCATGCTGTTCACTATGGGTTCGGTTGAGGACGCCCTGAACGCTAGTTTTCCCATCATTGAAATCTGCCAACATGCCACGGGATCCACGCGAGCAGCGACTGCCATGGTCTGCGGACTTCTGGTCGTTGGACTGTCCGTAACCCTAGCCAGCGTAGCATCCGCCTCCCGCCTCACATGGGCCTGGGCCCGGGACGGCGCATTACCCAAATGGTTCTCCTATGTACGTACATCCAATCAAGCGTCTACCCTCCAACCTATAAAACAATCCCTCAACTAACCTCCAGGAAAGATTGACCGCAGACACAATGTCCCCATTCGCGCTGTATGGCTCCCTGTATTCATTGTCATGATACTAGCCTGCCTCAACATCGCAAGCACCGCCGCATTCGGGGCCTTTATAGCTCTCTCATCTATAGGTCTGTTTGTATCTTACTTTATCGCAATCAGCTGCATGGTGCACAATCGCTTCCGGAAAGACCAAGTGCCCATGGGGAACTGGAATCTGGGCAGATGGGGTCTGCCGGTCAATATCTTCGCCTTGGTTTACACAGCCTATGTCACTGTCTGGTTGACATTCCCTTCTTACCGGCCTGTGACTGGCGCGAATATGAACTATGCGTTGCCTATTTTCGCTGCGTCGACTTTATTCGCGTTTGTATATTGGTTCCTTCATGGTAGGAAACGCTGGCCTGGGTTAAATAAGGAGATTCTGCGGCTTGTGGTTGAAAGGGGTGAATTGCAGCTGAAGTGACGTTTCGTGTTGTGATCTTTTTGATTGGACAAGTTGGGACGTATATATTGTATGTACAATGGACTTCATTCTATATCTTGTTGGTATTATAGTCAGTCAACGGAGGGCCCAAAGGTCCACGAGAGTGATCCTCAAACGTATCATAGGCAAATACTTTAGCTATATTCGGTATATTAATATTAATGTAAGTAGACTGTACGTGGATACACATTTTTCCAGGTCTATTGGCTATTCAAAAAGCCCATAATCTCTGTGATTGACAACTTAAACCTGTCGGCAACAGCCAATGCTTGGTCTTCTGTGAGTAGATCGGATTTGTACGTGAGCCCTAGCCCAACATCTGTTGTTCCAATCGTAATGGTAGCGATAATACCATACTGTTCAGAGCGGTTAGATGGTAGTCAACGTAGTGGGGCTGTGTGAATCATACCTCTGTCGGCTCTAGAGTTTCTAATTCCTTGAAACACAGACTCACATCGGGGGTATCCATAGACAGCGGCTGCTCAACCGAGATGCAAGTATTGAACAAAGGCTGGCCGAAGTATGTTGAGAAACGTAACACCTCAATGAGGGAGCAATGCTGGTTCAACAATCGATTACCGATTTCTGTTTGATTCCTCCGTAATACATCCCATAGCGAGTCCTCCCTGCCAAAGCGAAGTTGACAAACTAGAACATTGAAGAAGGGTCCTATCATCTTATCAACATCAGGAATTCGGGAATCTCTTCCAGATATGAGGGCCCCGAAGCACACATCATCAGACTCGGTATACCGCCGCAACATTAAACCCCAAGCTACTTGTAGCACATTACTCACAGTGAGGCCATGCCTACTGCAGAAAGGAATCAATGTGGCGGTACTAGCGAGCTGCTCAGTAACGACCCGAGTGTCGCTGGGTGAGTCTTGATCTCTAAGCCTCGGAAAATTACATGGACTGGCATCCTTCAACTTCCTTCTCCAATAGTCCATACGATTATCACCATTTGGCAGGCTTTGAAGCCAGGCCACTGCCGAGCTATATGATGGCCCGGGAACAGAGGATAGCTGTCCATCGTATGCCTCTACCAGCTCACGCAAGATGATCAAAACGGAAGCGGCATCAAGAAAGGCATGCCCACCCTCGAGCTTGCAGAATACGCGACCGGAAACCGTTTGACAAATCCTAAATGCATGTGGATAGTATAGGCCAGTGCCAGATGGGAGGAAGGGCTTCCGCAACTCTGCAATGACATGTTCATCTTCGCAAGAAAGTATGGCGGCATCTGCCATATAGTCTTTATGCACAACATGTATCTTCGAGCTCATACCGTCACACAGTGGAATATCAATTAGATGTGTCCGCAACGCAGGGTGACGACGGGCAAGGGTAAACCAGGCGTTGCACAGTCTAACTGGGGACACTGGAGAGGATTTGCTCCTAGTGGTGACCTCCCATATAGTGTAGGACTGATAATGAAATGGTCGCAACATTTGCGTTTGCAGCAGCCCCTGATGAGATTCGCTGCATGGATACGCATCCTCAATGGAATCCATGCTTCCAATGTCATATGTAGCCATAAGTAAGGATTTAAGCCTTTCCATACCGCGATCTGAATTTAAAAAAAGAAGGGAGAATCGCGTGTCTAAACTGCGGTCGCTTGCAGGAGTTGATGGAGGTGTATACGGGGTGAGTGGCATCAACCTTGTTGCTATGAGTTTGATGGTTCTCCCATTGAATATATCTAGTGCTGTCAAAGATAGCTGATGCTTTCTACAGAGGGATACAACCTGCATGGCAGATATTGAATCTCCACCGAGAGTGAAAAAGTCATCCTTGGGACTTATATTTTGTGGATCCATGCTCAGAACATGAGCAACAATCCCTCGAAGGCGTGCCTCTTCCGGTAATATATGATCGTCAATGTACTTGTTGACAGGATCCGTCAAAGAATGTAAGAAGTCAAGAGTCATAGATGAGGCTGCCTCGCACAAACAAATCCTATCCGGTTGGTCGAGTGGGTCTACTGGTATGAAACTGATAGGAAGGCATAGCGATGGAACCGCCGACCAAGGGAGAGATTGTTCTAGGCTAGAAATCAATTGCTGCAGTTGCCATCTGACCTTGTCAGTAGGTCGTGTGAACAAGCCCGATATTTCTGTCGGCTCACGCCTTCTCTTGGTTTCGCAAACGAACATAGCGGTAGTCTGATTGGAACTTCCGTTCGGCACAATAGTGTCAACAAGAACGAATACATCTCCACCGAAATAATCATAAACCTTCTTCTCAATGTGTGAACTCCATAACTGGCTCTGCTGACGTGCATAGCAATACGTGCCTGGGGGAGATGGGATGATGTTCTGGATTTCCAAGGTTGGAGATTTGGTCATCATGTCAATAAGATACTCCAGTTGATCCAACAACCTCTCCATGTCACCAGCAATGACAACTGCATTGTCAGATATGGCCTTTACCGACAGGCTGTGAGTCCGAAGTTCACACACTAGAGTTAACGGACAAGTGCTGAACTTCGACTGCTCGTGCTCATTGCTCTCTAATTCAAAGAAGATTTCCGATGATTCCCGATGTGTGACAGGCTGTATGATCAACAGACTTTGAAATTGGCAGGCCCTGGCCGTCTCGGTACCAAATGACTTTATCCGTCGCAGCCCTGTGTGCTCAAAAGGGATGAGCATTGCTATGTGATTTTGCATGCACAAAAGCGCATCAGTTATGTTCATCGTCCCATAGAGTATCGTACGAAGAGGGAATGTAGCAATAGTCGGACCGGTAGTTCTATGGATTCCGGCTACTGGGGCATTGCGCCCCGTAACAGTCAGCCCGAATAAGACATCCATGGACTCAGTGCGCCAGGCGATAAGCAGGGCGAAGGCAAGCTGAATAATTGTGGATGGCGTGCAATAGCTACTTAGCCACTCGGATACGTGAATCTGGCGATGCGTCGTGGTGATGGAATTGGCCATGTGTCCGCGGCTTAAGGGCGGAACAGGGAATGACAATGCTTGCATATCTTTAAACTCAGAGCACCAGAAATGCTTCGCACTTTCGTAATCACAATGTAGTATGTACTTGATGAACGGTGCGAAAGGCCGCTGAACTGCATTCATATGTTTATACGCATCTTCGACGGCGCCAAGAATCAGACCATACGACCATCCATCGAATATAGCATGGTGCATCGTGAGACAAAATGTCCGAGATAACTTCCCTCCCGTGTCATTCGTGATTGCCATATTAACGAGTGGTACACCATAAGACATTAAAGACCCAGGCGATGTATGTACGCCGTTGATCAAGTCCCACTGTAATTGTTCTCCGGGGCGAAGGACTACTTGCAGAGCCCCAGTATGGCAAAAAACAATGCGAGTTCGCAAAATTGGATTTGCAGCAATTACTATTCTCCATGCTTCCTTCAGGCGAAGCATATCTAGTTGGTGCGGGAGCTGAAAGCAAAATTGGGCCTGGAATGCCCCCGGCCTTTTTGAGGTGTACGCCATTAACGCTTCCTGCAAAGGTGTACACGGGTAGATATCCTCAATCTGTTCTGGGAAAGCGGAGCATTGCTCAGTCGCTTGAGCAATATACGTACATTTGCCTAGTGGATCAAGCAATGAAAACGGTGGAATAGGTGAACCAATGCCATTTGACATCTGGTGAGTGCATTCTGCCAATTTAGAAATAGTCTGCCGTTTAAACAACGATTCTACCGTTATATGCAGGCCCTGGTCTCGGGCGTCTCCGACAAGTCTGATAGCACTGACCGAATCGCCGCCCAGATGGAAGAAACTGTCATTCGGCTTAATTTTCCCCTCTGGAATGCGAAGTGCGGCGGAAAAGAGGAGTCTTAGTTGATCTAGGACGGGAGTACTCGGCAATTGAATCATATCATTGTGCGTTATTGGATAGTACGCTCTGAAATCTTTCTCCGATGCCTGTTCGACAGCTTCCCGTAGAAGCTTCCGATTGACCTTCCCCGTGCGTGAGATAGGCATAGCTAGTAGTTCGATGTATGCTGCAGGTATCATATGCCTTGGAAGCACCTCTTGTAAGAGAGTAATTGTTCCCTGGGCCTTTTCCTGAAACACAACGCTTGGCGGGTGTAGAAGCATTGTGCAATCCATATTAACGGAGCATTCGTACTTTCGAGCAATGAAGAGAATCAGGATAGGCTTACGTCCTGCTGGAGCAGCCACTTCAGCGGCAATCACAGCATCGTGGAAGTAGGGCTGTGCCTGATGTTCAACTTCGCCAAGCTCCACTCTCTGTCCGTTCAACTTGACTTGGGTATCCTTCCGTCCAATATACGCAATTGTTCCATTGGCATTGTATCTGACTAGGTCACCAGTCTTGTAGAACCGGTAACTGCCGTTAAGGTGGAATAACGACGCCCACTCTGGCTTTGTGATGAAAGCATTTGCTGTCAGACAAGGTTGTTTCAAGTACCCTCGTCCTACGATCGGGCCGCCTATAATTAGCTCTCCGATACACCCAACTGGCATGAGTCGGTGGTGGTTGTCTTTTGATACAATCCAGCAGGTGCCACACGGCGAGCGCCCAATGTTCCCCAGCTCTTGAACGCATGACTGCACGGTGGACACGACAGTGCACTCTGCTGGCCCGTACGCACATACTAGTCGAAGCTTGCCCTTCCATAGAGAGATATCATTAGGCAGCATAGGCTCTCCGCCCATCACAAGCGTTTTGACAGTTGGAATATCCGCCGGGCACCAGAGCCTAGCCACCGTTGGCGTTAGCTCCACCCAGTTAACCATTAGGTTACTAACAGCCTCCTTCAAGCTATTGACACGTTGTGCTTCAGATGGGATGCAAACACATCCACCAAGCAGTAATGGGGTCAGTGATTCATGGACACTGACATCAAACGCATATGATGCGAACTGCAAAACTCTGGACGATCGATCAAGGTTCTGGGCCTGGCTACTCGCAATCGCGTTGGTACAAAATGAACCATGCTCTATGACAATGCCTTTCGGCGCACCTGTAGACCCTGATGTATACACCACGTATGCTGCATCATGTGAAGCTGTGTTAACTGCTTGTATCGCAGAATATGTCGCTGTCTCGATATTATGGTCACCGATTGAAAGTGTGCTGCCCGAAACGCCTATTGAGAGCTCTTGCGAACAAATTATTACCTTGGCATCAACATCTTCACATATATTCACCAGCCGTTTGGTCGGATATGATTGATCCAACATGCAAAAGGCAGCACCGGCTTTGAGCACCCCGAGCATGGCAACGACGGCCCACTTAGACTTCTTGAAAATAATCGGTACGACCGATCCGGGACTAAGATTGTACTGCTGTAGTAAACCTTGTACAGTTGAAGACAATCTATCAAGCTGGCGATATGTTATGGTTCCATCCCAGGCGCAAATTGCCTGCGCGTCTGGTTGTAAAATGCATTGCAGGCAAAAGAGAGTGTGAATGCAGCTATCCAACGGGTGAATTGGCGCATTTCTGTTCCATTCAGCTATTTGATCCTGATGGTGCTTGCTTAACAGACACGAGTCGGCGAGTGGTCGACCTGGACTGTGTATCACGCAATGTATTATCTGCTCCAGTGTACTAATAATATTATTGGCATGAGCATTGCTCAGAGCAGAAGGGACATATTGCAGCGACAGCTTCAGCAAAGGGGAGAGAAGGTCGACAAGGAGTATAGTGTCACCGAGCTGAATGTCTCTTTTTTGATTAGCTTATATGATAACGACTGACCATGATAGGCGTCACCTTTTCGATGCTTTGCAGTGACTTGAACTGGGAGGCTTCTGGCGACGCATTGGTGCTAAGCACGATACAAGTGTTGAATAACTCATGTCGGGCAGAATCCTCCAGGAGCCATCGTCGTGTGTGTCTGAGAGTCACGGCATCAGAAATTGGCAACTGCGGCTCTATCGCCGCTTCCCACTGCTGTACACTAGAGATATCGCTGCCTTCGCACGGGAAAACTCCAAAGGAAACGTTATTGGAGTCTGTATACTCCGCAAGTAGGATGGACCAGGCAACAAGTAAGGTTTGATAGAGAGAAGTTATATTCTGTTCAACTTTGACCTCGGGGGAAAATTCGGTTTGTTCAAATGCGACACAGCCGTCGTCTCTATTCACAGTTGCGCAAGTAGCCAATCGTGGGAATATACATCGGTATGAAGGATTTCTCTTGCTTTCACTTTCTGAGCTCAGCATCTTTATGATTGTATGATATATCTTCAGCTCTGTATGTAAGCAAATACAGTAGCGAGCAGACGAGGTGTCACCTCTACATTGAATGGGCCAAACGAACGGAACGCATTGGCCTCATCAAAGCGGTTTAGGAACCATTGCCTGGGTAGGATCAATATTTTGGTATTGGAGGGTCCGCCAACGAGGTATAATGGTGGATATACTACTCCGCATCCATGGAACAGGGCATTCTACATATCATTTAATTTCCTCGCCCAGCTTCCCCTGTGCCCAAATAACATGCATTAGTACGAAGGTATGTCGATGCTAAGAGATTGAACACACTGACCTTGTACAAATATGCGTAAAAATAGCACATTAGGAGTTACACATCATTCGGTTGGCACCTGCTCTTGATAAATGCCGCTTGATCTTGAAACCGTTCTGCCCAGGACCTTGGCACGCACTAGGCTATCCAGCAGCCTGCTACCATTCTTAATCAAGAATGGCCCACCGCCATTGGACTATACAAATCAGACACTATGATATATATCCTTGGGCAAGAGGTCTCTTTTACTTTGAAATGTTTGAAGAGCGACGGTCGTCACTGAGACCAGCAGGCATGATTGCTTTTCATCTTACTATGTGGGAGAGTGTCGAGCGAGTCTTTAATCCACTAGAGCTGGCCTTATTCTAGTTGCTCGCCAAGCGTGTCCCCCAGCATAAAGTAACGGTTATGATGTGTTACCAGCTTGTAGACTTTAGGCCTGATGTAGGGTGCTATTCTTATATGGTTTCAGTGGAGATTTGCATGATATTGCCAGTATGCAGCAGCCCGCGGCCAATAAGTCATAGCAAAGATGGCTATCAATATCCGTAGATAACAGCGAGCATCCCACAGCCCGGAGCGTCTAATCCGCGGCATGGTACACTCTATCTGAATGGAAAACAATAATTGGCGACAGTCCCTGATTACGGACATAGAATCATCGGCCGTGTGGTAACCCCACACTTATGTTTTTGGCTTCTCGTGTAATAACTAGGCGAACTATTTGTGCCTCTGTGATCTGCGGGTTACCTTTCCGTGGCTCCATAGTAAGTCTGGGGATGAAAAGAACCGGAGTATCTTTTTTTAAACGTCGCACTGTGCGATCAAGTATGGAAATTTGCATCTAGAATGTCTGACACACGGTCACCTATATTTCGAGCAGTCAGGATCATGAAATACCCCCTGCATAACTGAATCTGCTCTACACTCTCTTGACACTCATTTAAGCTCTTCACCAGTGTGTGATGTGTCAATATACACAGTGTCTTCCAATTATACCTGACAGGGAACCCAACCTGACGCAAGCTTGCACCAGGCGTGCGTCATTCACTGTGGGAGCACAACACATATGTTCACCTGTGGCACACCATAGAATGAATTTCTAATCTCAATATATTATGCAGATACCAAAGCGGATTAATGAGGGCGTACTATGCAATGGCCGATCACTTGAAAATGATCACAATTGCGCGTCCGTTTTAGGGTACACCTCCTCCAGTGCTTGCTAAATGTTGGGTAATAGTGACTTCGTAGTCCCTCCGCAGTCTCTAAGTTAAACTACATTCAATCAGGACTTGACTGCTTCTTTTTTCGTAGGCAGGAACCCAGCCATCTTGGCAGGAGTCGTATAGCTTCCTCACTCTCATTGATCGAGGTCGCCCACCCATCTATTCCCAGCTTGACTCCACTTCCGGCGTATCTCATATTATTTTTATCCCCAATCTTAAATCGCTTTGTTGAAGACTGGTATGACTACCTATGCGCTTTTAAAACGCGCTGATGCGCCACAAGCATCGAGTGATAATGGTGGACCAGAGCCATGTTACCTTCTAAGCAAATATCTCACTTTCCCAAGCTTTGACCAACATCAATGGTGGCATAACACGGCACCAATGCTAGGGAAGCTCCTCTCACAATGCAAATACAGTGTGCACCAGCAGTATCAATACTTGTGTCTCTACGGCCTACACATCATGCCGTTTCTGGGACCATGGCCGGATATCGAGCGTCGTAAGCTCTACAAGAGTGTTTTCAGTGGCTTAGGTCCGCTGGAGTTCAGTCAGAACTTTACGAAGATTGGCAAGACCGTTCGAATCGGCTTTGAGCCGACATCCTTCAATGCCAGTACTGGTCACGATATATGCAACCGACATGCTCTCGGCGAGGCCTTAAACCGCTTCAAGCATCTGGGTCTTAAACTCGACTTGCAGTTATATCACCAGCTAGTAAGCCAGGTCTCCTTGACGGATGAAGAAGAACATACACTTCAAGCCCGAGGAATACTGGATGATGAGCCGGCCAAATCACAGAGCCTTCTGGCACTAGACTTCAACAACAGTGACGTGACGATCAAGCTATATTTCTATCCGCAACTGAAATCCTTAGCCACCGGCATCTCTCGTGCGCAGTTAATGTTCAGTGCAGTGCGCAACGTGGATAAATGTGGTGCTTTCAGGCAGTCCATGGACATGATCGAGGAATACTTCGCCTCAGTCCCGGGCACCACGACCCCGTACTGGGTATCGTGCGACCTCATCGAACCTCGCAAAACTCGATTCAAATTCTATATTGCGCAATTCCAAGTGAGTATTGAGAATGCCGTAAGTCTTTGGACACTTGACGGTCGGATCACAGATCCCGAGACGATGGCAGGGCTTGCTATACTCCGCGAACTATGGAATTCCTTCAATATCAGAGATGGCCTCCGTGAACAGAAGAACCGACCTGGAAACCCAGGCGATCCAGGCAACGTTGTTCCCATGCTGTTCAACTTGGAGATCTTCCCTGACAAGGCCTATCCGCAGCCCAAGATATATTTTCCGACTACTGGAATGAACGATCTGGCTGTCGCAAAGGCCATGGTCGAATTCTTTCGAGGACATGGGCTTCATGAACATGCAGAATCATACATTGACAATTTGGCCTCATATGTGTAAGTCTGTCTTTTGCCTTGAATGCTACTAGTGTTTGGAGATAAGCTGATGATTTGAATACCAGTCCACATATGGACCTCAATGATTGCACCGATCTCCAAGCATGGGTATCCTTTTCCTACTCTGATGCTACTGGACCCTATGCTACTGTTTATTATCACTAGTATTGTACTATAGACAGTCCCAATAAAGAGAAACATCATAAATAGTGCTATAGGGCTTACGATAAATTAGTGCCTACTCAACCAAATCTACATCCTGCAAATAAGTAGACAGGTAACCTGCTAGCATTTTAATTTATTGTAGACTGATGATTCCTCATTAAGGCTAAGCATTACGATCTTCTTTAGGCTAACCACTAAAAAGGCCATCAAGCTTCTACTAGGATTACTAGCGCTTACTTAGTTCAGTTACATTCGATCATGGACGCGAAGTGCTTATATATTCAGCGGTATTATTCCGCATTTGCTGACATAGGTACTATATAAATGAGGTTGGGGACATAATTCCAAATAATGCCCCAACCGTGTATTTTGTCAGCATGTGAGTCACAAGGAATCAACTCGAATAGAGTAGCAACTCAGGTATGACAACATATAGATAGGAGTGATGAGACCAACATTGTCAAGGGCCTGGGTCAAGCATACTGTAATACATTCACATGAAGCTTCAAGACACAACAATCTGCATGTCCATAATATGGAGTCCATCTTCTTAAACCTCTCCGCCGATGTAACGCTCCACGCGCGCATCTCTCGACCTCCCATTGTCAACCAAAAACCACTTCTGGTTTTCCTCCATTACTGGGGCGGGTCCTCTTCAACGTGGTACAAGCTCACCTCGCCGGGTTCACAGACCTCCTTAAGTACTACCTATCCTATCCTTGCGGTAGACCTTCGGGGCTGGGGCAAGTCGGCGGGTCCGTCTGAGGAAACTGGAACAGCATATTCGATTACGGCAATGGCTTCCGACGTTGCCCTCGCATTAGAGCAGCTGAAACAAAACGCTAGTACGGAGGAACTTTTCAACCACGGGTTTATACTCGTTGGTCACTCTATGGGAGCGAAGGTAGCCTTGGCCACGCTATCTACCCTGCGTGAGAATCGACTTCGAGAATTGAGGGGCTTGGTTTTAGTAGCCCCAGCGCCGCCGACGGCACTCAGCCTGCCACTGGAGATGAAAGAGCAACAAAGGGTTGCCTACGAGACGAGGGAATCCATAAGATGGACGGTAGAGAATGTACTCGCAAACCCTGAAAGCGTAAGTGAAGACGACATTGAGTTGGTGATTCACGACAGCTTGGGTGCGAATAAACTTGCCAAAGAAGCTTGGCCTACCTATGGGATGGCGGAGGATGTTTCTGAAAGTGTGAGGAGGTCTTTGGCCTACACTAGCCATACTGGTATTCGGGCGAGTGTGCTTGTTGGGGAATTGGATATTGTTGAACCAAGAGACCGAGTTCAGGCTGGGGTTTGCCGGTTTCTTGAGGAGAATGGTGTCAAAACGTCGCTGAGGGTTATTGAGAATGTGAGGCATTTGATTCCATTGGAGTGCCCGGAGATAGTCTGCAAAGAGATTTCTTTATATTGATCGAGCATTTTGGGCTAGTTCTATCGGGACCCTTGTTGTACCTACATGGACACTAGGAGAAACTAATTTGATACGTCCACAACATACGCATAGCCACGTATCAGTCCGAAATAAAGACGCAATATTTAGTCATTGTCAGTCGGTATCACGTTGTACCTCATTGCAACTCCATTGAGGATACTTCGTGCAACTGTAACCAAGTTCTCGGCCGCGCAAGCATAGATGAAGGGTATCTTCCTCGCGGTAAGTGATTGGAATTTCGGTGTGGAAACATGTCGTACATGCGGATTCACAACATTCAATAATAATGTCAGCATCCATAAGCAGAAGGAAGTTCTGCCCCTAATTCGACTTGCTGTCCAGTAACCATGTCCAAGGTGCAGATTCTTGTTCGTGTGACCGGAGTTTCTCAGCGGGTGTAATGCTGGGTGGGTGGGTGGGTGTGGAAGGGGACTAAACGGGAGTCTGTTCCATATGTGCAAGGCTTTCTTCAGGCCTAGGTAGTAGGTAGATCTTCTTACTGTCCGTTCACTGAATCGACAACGTTAATTTACTTGATTGAGTTTTTACAGCGGTGACGAAGCTTCATCCCGTAGAACTCACAAAGGTTAATAATCCACACGGATGGTTTCACCCGTTGTAAAGTTAGTCTGGCACTGTGAAACATGGAGTGTTAGCTAGCACAAACAGGAATAGATTTAGTCCTGCTTTACCGAGGGCTGTGGAGGGCTAGGGAGAGTCAGCCTAGTAACGGCAAACGACGAGATGACCGGCAAGTCCGAACAAGGCAAACATCTAGGATAGTAAATTCGATGTGGATGGTATTGCTAATGGCATGAGAGACACATGTGCTTCACAATATATCTTGTGATAGCGGTCCTAACTTGTCACAGACAAGGCATGGAGATATGGACAGGCGGAGATATAGGACCTTTTTCAAGGATGATAGTAAAGATGGCCTATCGCAACGTTCAGTACAAGGAGGCCAGCTATTTATTATCCATGCTAGATATGTAAAGCATTTATTTCGATCGGAACAGCACTTATATTGGTACTGTTTCAAGTATATCAATTTGATTGCACTGACAAATAGTAACGCTATGCTAGGCAGATCTGCTAAATTTACATGATCTCAGTGCCCTATAACAGCCGTCTTGCCTTGTATCCTCAGCCTCTCCTGGATAATATCCTTGCGCTCTTTGCGCAAGTTCCGAGCATATCTTACCCCGAACCCATGCTTGAACACCTCCTTAATCTCTTCCAACGACAAACCAGAGACTTCCGGGTAGAAGAAATATATCCAAATATACCCAACCCCGCAGATGCCCGCGTAGAAGCCAAATGCCCCAGACGGAGTCATGGCCTTCATCATAGACAAAAACGTGCTGGATACGATGACATTGCTTCCCCAGCTAGAGCAGGTGATCCACATAGTGCCCATCGCGCGGACTTCCAGTGGGAAGAAATCTGTGCTCATCCAGGCCGTGTTGCCGACCGAGACACCGTAGAAGATCACGAACCAGATGATGAAGACTAGGACGACAATTGCCGGAGGGGATACACTGCTGGTCTCCAAGCTAAGGGTATCTAGATCGACCGGAATAAAGCAGAATGCTACCGCGATTGCAATTAGACCGACGGACATACCCCAGGCTGTGGATAAGAGTAGTCGGCGACGTCCCATTTTGTCGATCACCATCATATTGACCCAAGTCATGATGAAATTGGTTCCAGCTACGACGATCCCTACCGCAGTGGGATTATCGAAGCCTACCAGGGCAAATAAGGTCGATGAGTAGTACATAAGTGTATTGAACCCCGATAGTTGCGAAATGACCATCAAACCACACGCGCTGATCAATGCCCGGAGATTGCTGGGTACGGTATGCAGTTGCTTTATCTTGGTCCACCGCGTCGCGCCCTCGTTGATCTCCCGAGCTTCATCACAGGCGGCCGCAATTGAGGCTAAAACCGAAGCCAGCTGAACATCAGATGGGTGCCCGTATATTCTACGAAGCACGGCCTGAGCTTCCTCTTGGCGGTGGTTGTATACCAGGTGGCGTGGGGACTCAGGGCAGAAAGGCATCAGAGCTGCCAGGATTAGGGCTGGCAATGCCCCAAGCCCCACCATGTACCGCCAACCATGATCGACATTCGCAAAGGCAGCTCCAATAGCGTAGGATATTACCTGGCCACCTGTTATTGACATGTTATTTAACCCAATAAGTCGTCCACGGGCCTTTGCAGGTGCTACTTCGGCAATATACAAAGGCACCACCATGGCAGCTGAACCCACACCGAAGCCAACCACAGCCCGACCCACAGCCATCTGAACAATTGTGTATGCGGCTCCTTGAAGGATAGCTCCGATCGTGAACAATGCGCAACCGAAGTAAATAGCTGCTTTACGTCCTAACTATTTTCAAGAAAGCCGTTAGCTAACGGTTCTGAGCAATCGGTAGCATATACATACCTTGTCTGCTGTCAGCCCGGCTACAATGGCTCCGAAGAAGGCGCCTCCTGAGCAGAGCGACGTGATCAATTCTTTCTCGTTACTGGTGAGCGTGCGGTGGTCTAACCCATCATGGATGTAGACGAGAACAGCACTGATGATGCCAGTATCGTAACCGAACAACATTCCTGCGATCGAAGCGGTAAAGGCGACCAGCCATACGAACATAGTAACTGGGAGGTCATCAATACCAGTTTCCGTGACTAGAGTGCCACGGGCCACTTCGATGTGTGCATTTTCCGGTAGATTAGCTCCTTTGAGACCATCCGTTGAGGTCCTTGGCGGTTGGGGTTTTGTATCCTCGGCTAGGGCCATCTTGAGTTATAGCAAAGGGCAATTGGGTCAATGAATGCGAGGGGTTGTGTTTTCAATTCTCAGAACAATGGGACAATACTTGTGTCTACATGACGGGCATGGCCCTTTTATAAGCCTGGCCATAATGTAGTCGCGCGTGCATCTCTGTTGGTATACATGCAGAAGGGGCCACACCAACGCAATATTAGCAGGAGTCTGATTGGCTGGGACACTCGGGGTCGTTCCCGAGGCCATGAAAACGTGGGGAAAAGATATGATTCTCTGTGGATCCTCCATTAACAAGACTGATTGGCCTTTTCTCCCGGCGCCAAGTTGCCCGATATCCTCCCATGAGGCAGTTTTGCTCCGATGACCGTGTCCTGTATCTCTCATCATTCGACTACAGGTACTCTTCTACCATTCGAATTTCCCTCTGGGGCGAAAGAGGCAAGTCCTCTATTGTTCTATGCAGCCTGTCCCTCCCCTAGCCAATAGAAGAATGGCCTCACCCGAGCCCTCCCTGGTGCCATTAGTCTCCCCACGGGGTCGGCCAGCGCCACTCCAAACCCCATGTATCAATTGCCGATCCAAGCATCTTCGATGTAAATACGTACTTGGTCTGCAAGGCAAAAGGCTGGACCGAAGCTAATTCCGTTAGGTACGTATGAAACCGACCAATGCGAGCCCTGTCAACGACACAGCTGGACATGCGTCCGCCGCAACCCTCGCAAGAATCCGATTCAATTTCGTCCGGGTAGCCGTGCAAAGTATGACCAGGCCTTTGCTCCGAACCAGGTCTGGGTAAAGCTGGGCCGTAGATCGGGTAAGTTCTGTCGGCCAAGCCGCACGAAGAGACATGATTAGAATCTGATAGCTCATTAGCCCGGCTGAGATTTGTCGATGAGACCGTAGACGTCATCTCAGGCTACAACTCGGCGAGTGATTCTGAAAACGAGGGGATTGACGGCGAGGAGATGTCCTTTGGGACTGGGGCCGCTGTAGGAACTCAATCAGAGGCTGCGCAATCTCATGCTCTGAGTGCAAACTCCACCAAGAATGCTGCTCACGGTGGGACCCAAAGGCAGACAACAACTGTGCCGGCAATGACTACACTTGGAAGCTCTGATACGGCCACGGTACATCGAGGTGCAGACATAGAACCTCCTACAAGCCAGGGACGGATGCACAGACCCGTCGTCTTTGTTGGAGATACTGATGTCCGCCTTCAAGCTATTCTCCTACGATATTTCGCCGAGGTCATTGGCCCTCGCTTTGATTTATGTGATAACGAGCGACACTTCAGCCGTCTGGTGCCGCAACGGGCCCGTTCCTCTCCCACCCTGTTGAATGCGATTCTCACTACCTCAGCCCGCCATTTGACTCGCCTACAAAGGTATCGCAATTCTGCCGGTATCGTGGAGTGGCAGGGCCATCTATTACCAAGTTTGAGCGAGGAATCTGCTGTCTACTATCACAATGAATGCATTAAAGACCTACTGCGGCTCAGCATGGATCCAGAACAGATTCACAATGAAGCTCTTCTGGCAGCAGCAATCATTCTTCGCACCGACGAGGAAATGGACGCCCCGCTCCACGAAGGCGAGGAGGACACTGAAGTTTTCCTAGGCATGTTGAACATGTTTATTAACGCCCAGGCACCACTAGTGGCAACATTACCGCACAGCTCCCCTCCCGTCTATCCATCCCAAGAAGACCTCTATGGCCCAGGAGTCCACTTGGTCCATGCACCACAACCAGATTCGCCCTCCCACCCACTATCCTCCCCAGCCCCACAGACTAATATCTTATGGCCGTATGCCATTCCTCATGTCCCTAGACCGGATGGCCTTCGTCAAGCCGCCTTTTGGGTCGCCCTGCGTCAAGAACTATTTACCTCGTTCATGAAACAACGCCCTCTCAACTTTCCCATGAGCCACTGCGATGCATTTCGCAATCTATCGCCCGCCGAGGATGTCATCTGGGCTGACAGACTAGTCATCTTCTGCGCCGACCTCCTCGAATACTGCTACGGAAGTAGCTATCTCCACACCGCGGATCAAACCTCACATCGTCGCCATGATCCCTCCCGCTGGCACGAACTGCGGAATTACGAACGTGATTTGACACTAGCCCTGCCGAAATCCTTTGAACCCATGTGCTACCGAGAGCCTGATACCAGCTCCGGACAGGTCTTTCCAGAGATCTGGCATCTGGAAAGCTGTCACGTCACGGGGACCACACACCTGGAATTAGCTCGCATCCTGCTAGTCGCGTTCGATCAAAGTCGGCCAAACTTAGGACCGGGGTCTGTCTCGAGCCAAAGGAAGCTCGCCACCACGCTGAAGGATATCGTGCGCCGGCTTTGTGGGATCGCCATGTGCAACCGTCAGTCGCCACCGGCTTTCATCGAAGCCTTAATGGGTATCACGCTGTGCGGGGAGTATTTTACTGAGCGTGGGGAGCAGCAAGCCCTTCTCGGCGTTCTGAGAACCATGCGTCAGGAACATGCTTTTCCGACGGGGAAGGTAGAAAAGATGTTGCTGGATGCGTGGGGGTGGGATTGAGATGAGCTCCTGATATGTATTCCTTTCTGTCTCTGATTATCACATCGAATGTAAATAGCAAAACATAGAATGCTTGTGTATCCAGGGGTCTAATATCTGTGCAGAGCTTACCAATTGGTGCTATTCCTGCATCATTTCACACAGGCCTCTAGCTTTGGCAGTGACCGGGCAGACCTAGTTGTCTCCTGCAATTCTTTCTCACTTCTCGTCTCCTACCATAGCCCTAAGCAACAGGACGTATGTGGTCCATCGTATCAATGCCACATTTCGGGCATCCCAGTTTCAAAAAGCACTTTACACTAATCTAGCAGTTCAAATAAACAACAAACATGCGCATCTGTATTGCATAAAGTCGTCTATTTTAAACTCTATCAAACATGATATCTATTTCCAGAATAGATAATCCCTCAAAATTAATCCCAAACCCCCACATCTTAGATTCTGTTGCCCTGCTCATCAAACTCAATCTTCTTACCCGAAATCAGACTCTCCTGCAGAGCAGCTCCGATCCGGACCGCAGCAACGGCGCCCTCCAGCTGCACAGGCAACTCCGTGTTATCGAGACAGGCAGCAGTGAACTCATTCGCCTCAGTGATGAAAGCCTCCCGGAAGCGTCCGTAGTAGTGTGGGGGGATCTCGCGCCGGATACCAGTCGACTCGTAGATGTTGACCAGGTTGGAGATGGGTTGGGTGTTGATGGCCAGCTTACCCTGTGTACCGATGATCTCGGTGCCTGCGTGCGCTCCTGTTAGCGTCGTTGCGCTTTCTGTATCGCGAGATAGAACGAAAACTTACTGTCTTCCTGTCCAGCAGCCATCATCCGGCTACAGTACAGCTGTGCGATCTTCCCACCGTAGAACTCGACAATACCGAGCGCGTTGTCGCGGTCGTTGTACTTTCTCAGTTCCGGGGAGACGGCGGTGATACCGACGGCGGTCACGGATTTCACGACGGAGTCCTGGCCGTAGAACCACAGCGCAAGATCAATGTCGTGGATGGAGCAGTCGACGAAGATACCGCCGGAGAACTGGGCATATTCGACGAAGAATCCTGAGGGGTCGAGCTTGTCGCAGGTCTGGGAGCGGAACACGCTGGGAGTGCCGATCAGGCCGGCGTTCATCTTCTTGAAGGCGTCGCGGTAGGAGGCGTCGAAGCGGCGGGAGAAACCGCACATGACTTTTTGGTTGGGGAACTGCCGGATGGATTCTCTGTAGGCGTCGACGACGGATTGGGACTATTGTATCGTTTGCGTTAGTTTTGTTCGTCTTTCTCTTGTTTCTTCCACGGGTGGAGGAGGGATTGGGGGAGGACATACCTCGTCCACATTGATGCTCAAGGGCTTTTCGCATAAAACGTGCAATCCACGACGGATGGCCTTGATGGCCTGCTCGGCGTGTACGCTGGTGGCTGAGGCGATCACAACAGCTTGCAGACCGTTGGCCTGCTCCTTCTCCAGCATCTCATCGTAGTCCAGGTAAGTGCGGGCGCCACCCAGGTTGTCCTGGGCCCAGTCCAGCTCATGTTGCACTGGGGAAGAAGCCGCGACGACCTCGGCGCGGGGAGTCAGGGCATAGAAGTGGTGTGCATGACGAGCACCCATGCGGCCGAGGCCAGCGATGGCGACTTTGAGGGTAGCAGGGGCCATTGTGTCTGTATGATTGGAATGGGGAATGGATTGATGATTCTCGATCTATTGGAGGGCTCCGGGCCCCTTTATGTTTCTTCGACCTCCGTTGGAGGCGGGGTATATAACCATTCATGGTGGGGATGTCTGTTCCCCATAATTGCTGTTTGGCATAGTTCCAGCTCTCAATGGTGTTTGGTTTGGGGAGCTTGTTGCATGCGTTTGAGTTGGGCAATTTTGCGGCGAACTTTTCTCCGCATTTCCTCTCCGTGGTTGCTTTCTAGGGTTGATTCGGCAGGTGATCGGCGATTTACTTCTCTTTTTATGGTACAAGGGAATTAATTTCCGGCGCGCCACAGTCGGGCCAGCCCTAAACAGCCATTTACCCCGCGGGTTATGAGATCATGGTGGATAAGATGCGACAACAAATCTCCCTCGCCATGGCGGGATTCGCATCGGATAAAGGAATAAGAAGTCGAAAGCGGGTCGCGTTGGGCGTGTGAATCGCAGTAGACCAATTTTAATCACAATTTTTCTCGTTTGAGGTGATTGCGCCCGACATGTTTCAGCCCTTAGAAATTGTCGCAAGTTTCAATCGCAGAGTGTCATTATTCTTGACTACAAATTTGTGTACACCCAGAAACAACGCCAGATTCAAACCTCTTTCGAATGCGACTGTGTCTTCTCAATCTTTGGCATGATCTCTTCCCTCCAGGCCCAACTCAAGGCCATCTCACCAGAACCCAGAATCGCAGTCGTTTGCGCGAATCGCCCAATCACCTTCCACCACGAAACGAGGTCTTTCAATTCACTGGATTTCATCCCCAGCCAAACAAGTCCGCTTGTCATCGTGATTGTTGCATCGTACTTGAGGAATATCGCAACACTGTCGGCAAAGGTCGTCGCAGGAAGTTGGTATTCCGGCAAAAACAGACTGATCCTAGAGACCCCTCCGGAAGCGAACACCGAGTGTGAACGAAGGTCGAGCCATAGACCAGAGCGAGCGATAGATCCATGTGACTAATGCGGTGCAGACGTTTGGTGGAATATCGTTTCGCTTCATCCTCCTGTTGTGGTCGCCGTTGGGTGGGCAGGGATGCGCATGTCTCGACAAGGCGGAAGGGAGCCTCCACCAGGGGCACGGTGATGGGGAATAACTGCCAGATGGCGTTGAAGTATTGACGCATGGCAAACGTCTTCGGGATGATATTGCTAAAATTGGGTCCGTAGCACCCTGCAATGAGTGTGGAGAGGAACCACCCGAGCGCATCTGTTTGAATCGGCAGCCGAGGAGATTAGCGACCGGTGTGCGCAAATCTTCGATCATACAGGCCAAGGGGACGAGCAACCTAACCCTTCAAAATGGGAATACCGTTCCCAGCAGCACAAAACTGTGGATATTGTATCCAGTCAGCATATCCTGTGTTATCCATGGGAAATAGCATTGTTGACACAGAAACGGCCTTCACTTACAGCATCACTTCAGCCCAGATATGAGTCTTGCGGTAGCGCTCCAGGAGCCAAATCACGCACACTATCCCCAAGTCGGTCAGTAAAGATCTCACTTGCCAATATGATGCGGGCTGAGAGTTGCCAAGTAATGGCAAGAAGAAGGCGATTAATGACCCGATCAGTTTGACCAGGACGAACAGATTGTGTATAGGTTCTGCGACTCTCAACATTTCCCCGTTCCTTGCAGTCCATGAGTCGTTCTGGAGAATCGGAAGGGCTATGGGAAACCCCTTCTCAAAGAGTCCCATCGAGATAATAGCATAAGCGATTAGCCCGATAAGTGGTACACATGTCAGTACAAGCTTCACTATCCTGATGAGGGCGGTTTTAGTCTGACCAGACGGTCGGATGCCTTGCACAGCCCTCGCAGGGACCGGGAGGAAATCGAGAATCTCGCCCTCGACGAACATCTGAGACGATCGGTATGGAAGGTAACGAGACAAATAAGGTAGCAGGTATTGCGAGATTATGGTATGCATAATAGTTGCGCCCGATTCGAATCGAGTCGCCTCGTTTGCCAGCGTCAGAATCTCTTTAGCCCGGGGTTGCCGGGCCTTTTGCCATTCTTGAGTGCAGTATTGATGCTTTGGAGAGCAATCGGGTCATGTCCTTCAGAGCATTTAACCAAATTGGACAGACAATTTGCCAATGATGCAGCAGTTTCAATTGCACTGTTGCCTCCTTGGCCGATATTTGGAGTCATCTGCGGTAGGTCGGTCAGCGTAGCCTGAGCTCTGGAGAGAGGTTTCAGTTGAAGACATACCTTATGAATCGAATCTCCAATACAAACACATCGATCCATACTCCAATACAGGTAAAATTCCTCCTCCAAGCAAAGGTACGCCGTGACCTCAACCTTCTCATAGACCTTCGAGAAGGGAACAGTTGGTGTGATGGGTATATGCAGATACTTGGCTACATGGTCCCCCAGGTCTTGCTTGTTAAACCTGGGCACGTTCAATCCAGTGAATGACCGGCCCATCTTAGCAAAAAGAAACCAATAGATGCGACCCCCTTTTCCGCCGATGGTGAGGGTGGAATAACCCTTCGCAAAGGTCCGGTGAGCTTCTCCGGGATTTACTCCAGCGGTCGGATTCGAGATGCCAAACACGTATGAGTATTCGGCTTTCATATCTAAATCATGAGACACTAATAAGCACGGAAATAGAATGAGGTTGTTGTGCAGTTCACCAGACATACTGGACTTTTCTGTAACAACATCCTTGATCAACCCGAGAGACTCCATATACCTCCACATCTCCTCTCTAACAATACCCCTTACGCCATCCGCACCTACAACCAGATCTCCTTCGAAAGTCGACCCATCTTCGCAGTGCACAACAGCTTTATTTGGCAGATTCTCCACTCGGACGACCTTTTTGTTTATGTGGACTCGGCGTTGGTGTTCTCCCAAGCGGAAATAGAGAATACGCAGTACTATCTGCCGGTCTAAGAACGCGATTGGGTAACCGTGTCTAATTGTAAATTGACGGTCAGACCTATTTGATCTTGCAGCACCACAATTCTTGGTGTTTCATACCTGTCCTCAAAGATTTGAAGTGGCTCTGTCGTAAGATGCTTGGCCGTGCCAGACCAGTAGTGCATTGTCTTCGCGACGACAGTCTCTTCCAACACATCGTCAAATATACCAAGTTGATCCAAAATTCGGGCCCCGTTTGCGAGGATGCCGACTGAAGCTCCGACTTGCGGCGCAATGTGATCATTGGCTTCCAGAACGACAAAATCAATTCCGCATCGCTGCAAACTATGGGCGAGGGTGAGGCCAGCGATGGAGCCGCCGACGATGATCACACGAAAGTTCTTCACTTTTGCCATGGTTGTCCACGTCCTCCCAGGTGAACTCAAGGTGCAGATGGCGGGCAGATCAAGGTCTTCCGGACCACAGGCTGATGCTGACAGTTTATACAGTCGCTTCTACGTCGTTGTGTAACAGGAGATCTCACGTGTCATCCTATAGGCTACAACTTTGAAGGATATCCTTTCTTTTTCCAGTCCATTGAAGAACCAAATATGCTAGTTTCCATGAAGGCTGGTCCAAAAAGACCACTCACCACAACCAATTAACACAGTGTATACTGTCAATCGCGGAATCAACATACCCCATCTGCGCAATCGCAGATCGTAAAATTCTCAATCACTTGGCATATTTCTCTTGGTCCCATTCTCAGATGTACTGGAATTCGAGCCTGCGTATGCATGTGTATTTGGCATGGGTTCTTTGGATGTTTTACTGATAGTTGCTTTTGGAATTATGTGATTGAGAGCGTATGATGTTGGCAAATATAAGAAGACCTCGATCATCGATCATAGCACAGTACGGGCCGGTCAGATCCGAAAATATTCCGTTTCGGGTCCAGTATGATCAGCATGTTCCATGATCTGTCTTGAAATTATGGTATGAAAGCCTCGTGGCTGGCTGAGGTTGATGTATACACTGCATTTCATCTAGTGCCCATCCTAGGTCTCCCTGGCCCGATTTCCAATGTGTTGACAGCCAACTGTGTGGAGCGAGGATCACTTCTCACAATCCTGAAATACTTACTTCGTATAGAAATTATACAAAGTGAAAGTGATCCAGTATCTTCAAGGCAAAACAGGAGAAATTGATGGCAAAGGATAGCTGAATCAACGAAATTAAAAAACAATGTTGGCCACACCGAAGACTTGGCCTTGCGCCGGGGCGGGACGGAATCAGGGCGGGTTTGCTTCCCGGGCCAGTGACTACAAGTCAGCCCACCACATGATAAGGCGGTCTGGCCAGGCAGAATGGACGGGTTGGGCTTCGTGGAATACACCCGACAATATTGATGTTCTTACTTCGAACGTTCTCCATTTTCTTTTTATGTCCATTAATCTAAACAGAGAGTGAAATACTTCTATAGTATTGAAAGAGTATCACTTTCATCCAATAGCCTTCTTTAATTTCTTTTCATACGAGTCTTTTTTACTTCTATCCCGCCTATGAACTACTGGAAGAGACATATATTTTCGTTGACAGGCTTGCGGGATAACCCGGCTACTAAGGGCTCCCACACCAGGCTTGTTGTTTAGGCCAAAATGACTAAGCAATCAAGTATATCAATCATTAAGATATTCCTCGATTTTGTACGGATCCAGGATACCACTTGTGAGGCTAATAGTAAGGTACTATATGGTATGCAAGAGTATGGGTGATTCCATCCACCGTGCCTGGCAGAAAACTGAGGCGGTGGAGGAGATGACGAACGCAAGTACGTACTCCACGCCGTAAATGGTATGAGTGGTCTCTGTCACGTGGAACCCCCTAACGGCACAGGAACCCGTCGTTTTTTCGTCAAACCTTAATACCATTTCCAACCTCTCGACGGATATTAATTCCACGGTGTTTGTCGGTTTGACTGTGAGACATTGATGAATACCAGAGATCAAGTAATGGTCCCCACGGCTCTCGCCTGGAGTGAATGCGATGTTCCCTAAATTTGGCGAGTCTTGATCAACTCAATGCCTCTGGGGGTTCTTGTCCATTTCGGCGGCAGTAGCGGAACCACCCCACAGCTACGCAGTAGGGGACGAAGCTAAGAGGAGCTGCCCTTGAATCCCGCTAACGACAGATCTACTGCGGAAGCCGGAAGGTTGCCGTATGCAATGTGGGGGAAATATGGATCTAAAGCAGCGAGGTCGGTGACAGGGTCAGGATGGCGTCCAAGGACGCTACGCCCGACTTACCTGCTTTTCCTGGCATCGGTCATGGTCGTAATGCTGCTGGCTATCGAGCTGCTTCGACAGTACAGTGATATCAAAGGTGGTCTTGTATTTTACGACGACACAGACGATGTACCAGACCATGTGACGTTTGCGTACAATTATATTCCAACAATCCTGGGCTTGTCGTTGATGACCCTCTGGTCTTTCACGGTCTACGATGTCTTCCGTTTAGAGCCCTACTTTCAGCTATCCAAAGAGCAGATATTTCCTGCCGACGTGCTTTCCGCTAATTATATCTTTGGGCCTTTCATATCAGCGCCTTTCTCTTCGGCGAGGAGAAAGCATTGGGTGGTGTTTGGGATGTCTATCATTAATATTCTCGTACAGCTACTGCTGCCCTCTACACTGAGCGCTTTGCTGGATCTGGATAGCGTCCCAACGTCTTCTCCCGCGACGTTGAGAAGTTGGCCGGAACTGGTGGCGGTTGGAGAGCAAGCCGAATGGATATCTTCGCAACGGAACATGAGTCTATATTCTCTGACAAGGGGAGATCTTGGAGAGACACCGTCGCGTCTCTCACACTTTGCCATCCCACCAGTAGAACTCCCCTCCGATGATACACTCGCCACGGCTCGATGGAAAGTTAATCATACCGTGTACTGGGCCGACCTTACATGCTCCGATTTGCCAGTCAGCAACCCACCCACGGCGAATGCCACTGTGAGCATCGGGGAGACCACTGCCGATCATTCTAATTACTCTACCCTAACCTGTGCGCTTCATGACCTGCGTCTGGCATCACTTCCTGACCCTTCCCAGAACTGCACTTTCAATGCGAACTACAGTGGTATCTTCGACCTGACAGCTACTCCGGTACAGGCCCGACGCTGGGAGCTTGACACGATCCCGTGTGCCCCACGTGATGTATACGGCTTTCTCCTCGACATCGAGGCAACGGATTCTGGTCGCTTAGTCGGACAGAGAGAAAGCCCCTCGGCACCAGTTGTAGTGACACCCAAGGCTCAGTTCTTCTCATGTGACATGCAGTATTATACGGCGAAGGCGGAGGTTTCCATGCAGGCCAATGGCTCGGTAGTTGCAATTATTGTCGATAAGGACTCTATATCTGCTCTCAATAGTTCGGATTTGGATATAGCTGGATTTAAAACATTTCTCAAAAGCGGCATCTGCCCTACGGGAAATGTTTGCCCCTCTGGCAATGGAACGTTGACAAACCATTCTCTTGGTCGATGTGACCTAGGAATAGGAGGGTATATGCCCCTGTGCTCTACATCTGGGCAGTACTCGCAGGTTCCCATCTCTGGGGACGAATTCATGTCCAAAATCCGTACGGATATGAAGCTCCGTTTTGCGCGTTTGCTGAGCCGCCTCTTCAATACAAATGCAGCGTATACTCCTATTCAAGGCGTCGGCACAACTGACCAAGTGGCTGTCCTGGTCATTACCTCCCCTGCAATTGCGTCCGAGATAATCCTTCTCCTTGGGGGAGTCACGTGTGTTTTCCTTGCTGTTTTCTACCAGTCGCGCGAGAACATACTCAAGAGTGACCCCGGCTCGATCGCGGCTATGTGCAGCATCGTGGCGGATCTATTCAACCCAGCTGGTGTTCAGACGATTGCCAAGTACACTGACCAATCCACCGCGCGACAACTGAATCGCAAGCTGCGTGCCTGGCAATGCTACTGGTATCAAGAGCCATCAGGTCGAAAACTGGGGTTCCTTCCCGGAGAAGCCCCGCCCAGAACATTACGTGAGAAAGTTCTATCAAACAAACAAGCGAGTAGGAAAGCAACACGCCCAGATCCCAGCCTTCATTTCTTATCGAAACCCATATTTGTCGCTGAGCTTCTAGGCTTGTTAGCGGTTATCTGTTTCATGGCAGTATTGTTCGTTCTGTGTTCAACAGATCGCCGCCTCCGACGCCTTTCCGATAGTGCATCAGATCGATTCTCTATTGCTTTGAACATTATACCGTCTCTTATCGCGTCTATCTTGCGAGCTTTGTTCAATTCGATCTACTTGCATCTGGGCATACTAGAGCCGTGGATTCATCTCCAAAAAGGCGGGGTAGACGCGAGGAATTCCTTGCTGCTCAATCTATCCTCCCAAAGTCCAATTACCGTGTTTTTCCGGTCTATACGCTCCCGCTCCTTCGTGCTCAGCCTGGTCTCACTGTGTTGCGTCATCAACACCGGTCTTCCAGCCGTTCTGGGCGCGCTATTTACCCAAAGCCGCACGACAGCAGCCTGGCCTACGCAGGCTGTGGAATTACGCTACGACCGTTCTACCATTCTCAATTCCAGTACCATCCCTACCCTTTTCCAGTACGGTCCTATTGAATCAACCCTGTTAAATTCGATTTCGTTGCTTCCGTGGACATCGCCGGATTATTCATTTGTTCCATTCTCAGTTCATACGGATAAGATGGATAACACGTACCAAGCTGTGACGCTGGGTATTGGGGCTGATTTGAATTGTCATCTTGTTCCGCTTACCCACGGCCTCCCGAAGGATGAGTTCAATGAGGATTCGAGTATCCCCAACCTTACCACTAGAGATACTGAGAATGGGGAGCGTGTGCCATCTATCATTCGTGACAACGCAAGCGAACCATATTCAGTCCAGCTACTAGCACCGAATGGAGCGACTGATAATGGCACGCTGACTGTTCTTCTAACCCTTCACTCGAGCTCTAACCCAGACTTCTATTCGAAACTCGCTTTGCAATGCCATTCGATTCCAAGAATACAAAATTTCACAATTGGATTTGATCCCAGTGGGATACTACAGTATTACTACCCAATCGACAGCGCATTCACGAGCGGGCAACTAGTAGACAATGTGACGTCGAACGTGGCAAACTACCACCAACACTTTCTCGCTTCAATCCAGGACACCTCTGGAAAGGGCGCCGTTGATGAGCCCAAGTTATTCCCGTCCGACTGGCCCGGTTCCCTGATCAAGATGCTGTACGAAAATGGGAACTCCCAACTGACAATTATCGACCCGGACCGTCTCGCTGATGCAACACAACAAGTCTACCAATGGCTTTTCGCAGCATATTTCAGCCTTCAGAAAGACATGTACCTCAAACCCCTACCCGAACCGATAATGGACAACAATGCCCAAATTATGCGACCCACATGGGCCGTCGCCCGGTCCCTGTCATCATTCATCGTCGCCCTGATCATGGTATCGTCCATGGTCATTGCCCTCGTCCTCGTGTTCATCACACGATACGGCAAGTTCAAGGGGCCCCGAGTCCCGCGGTCACTTGGCTCTGTGCTTGTCTGGCTTACCGACAGCCCCATCCTCCCTAGTTTCTACGGTACCTATGACTGGACCACTGCCGCTCGTCGGGAGTACCTGATCGGGCTCGATAAAAGGTATATTTTCCGGATGGCCACCACACCAACCGGAGAACAGAAATGGGTTATCGAAGAGGATCGGGCTGAAAAGGCTGGGTGACCGCATGTCTATATGACCTGATGTAGGGCTTGTAAATAGTGTATAACGATATCATGGAAACTGTACATCATTGACGCTAATATAATATTCTAATCATGAAGCCCTATCAAATGACCTATCTTTTGCTGGATGACATCGTAGTACATGTTGTCCATACGATAATTTACAAGGATGAACCCTGTTAAAGGAGCATCATGCGATGTGACTTAGATAGACTGAGGACTCTATCCACCGGTTCATGTCACTCACGACCTCCACGCAGTCCAGATCCAAATTTCCTGCTATTGATGCTGTACTCAGCGATTCAATACGTCTTTTCTCTACAAGCAGAGGACGGTCTCATGTGGTACGTAAAATCGAATCCAGATTCGGGTATAGCGAATTACCGCATATCAAACATCAACACCGAACTTGGTCAAACCGCCGAAAGCCACGACGCCATCCCAACTGTCCAATCCTCACCCTCCAAACATCTTCCCCACAACAGAATCCGTATACTGCCACAACAAAGCCGAATAATCCGAAGCAAGAGTCAACCCCGTCCAAAACGTGCTCCTCTGACCCTGCAACCCATAAACCTTCCTGTAAAACCCATCCCGTACGTCCTCCACCCCCACCATCATCGACGTCGGAACATGGCTCCCAAACACCGCCATCTCCCAATCCTCCCGAATAACAAACGTCCCCGCCGTCGCCATGCGGTGTAAATCCCCCATAATGAGTTCCCAGGCCTGCGAGTCCGTGAAGTTCATATCCCCGACGATTTTACTTGCGAGATAGTTATTGGGACCCATATCCTGGAGCGCCCACTGGAAGGGGGCGCGCGGGAGATTGCCCGGTTTCTCATCCGGGTCGATGTTCTGGACGTTGATGTCGTTGGGGATTCCCGTGTTCTTGAGGACAGCAACGTAGTATGTTTTCCAGAAGAGCTTGGCGAAGAGTGATCTTTCTTCTGGGACGAGGTCGAGGCTTTTCAGATTCTCGGGAGTCGGGGGGATGGTGACGAGGAGCGTTTTCGCTTCGATGAGTGTTTTCTTTCCCGACGTGTCTTGCGTGAGTATCTTGATTCCAGTGTCTGAGCGTCTGGTGTGAGTGGCTTTGCTGTTGTATAGAACGTCCGCGTCGAGGACCTCACTGGCCTTGCGGTAGAGTTCATACATCCCGTTGTTCGGCGTGATGTATCCTCCCTGTAGGAAGATGTCTATATGTGCGATGCCGAATGCTTGGATGACATATAGTGTCGGGGTGGTGAGCATATCCCCCAACGCATTTGCGAACGTGTATATCACGTTTAGCGCCCCTTCGAACTTGTATTTCTCGACGAACTGGCTAAACGGCCAGAGGAGCTCTTCCGGCACGGGGTCAGGGAGGTTGTAGACGCCGTCTTTCAGGTAGTCGAATTTCTGGATAGCAGACCAGTAGACAAGGAGGGCGGCGACGGTGTCTACAACGCCAGCTGGAGGGGGAACCTCCTGTCCGGTTTTGAAGTTCACGTATTTGTTAACGAGGGAACCTGGGGTCAGCGGTTTCCATTGCACGCCGAGGCGAGTGAAGAAATCCCTTGATAGATTGGTGTTGAAGACGCCCTGCACGCCGTAATCGACATGGCCGCCGTTCTCCACGTAGAGCGTTTCGGCATGCCCGCCGAGCCGTGAGTTGCGTTCGACGACGACTACACTTTTGTTCATGTCTTTTAGGCGGATCGCCGCGTATGCGCCTGTTGCGCCGCCGCCGAGGATACACACATCACGTGTTATTATGTTCTCAGCAGTGAACTCTTCTTCTGAGAGTGACTGGGCTTGTACGAGGGCGATTAGGAGAAGTATGGCGTGTAGGAGGCGCCAGGGGGTGCACAACGAGAGGGGCATTGTGGGTAGTTCAAGTGCGACGCAGCGGAACGCGACAGAAAGGTGGGTTGTGGAGGAGGGTAATGGATCTTTTTATATGGAAGGTAAACACACGTGTCGGTTCATTTTAAAACATTTTAGACCTGAGGGCACCAATAGCTAAATTCCTCTTTCGTCCGCTGACGGTGGTGCACCAGCCCTACTGTGCAGCAGGAACCGGCGCAGTCAGCATGACTATCCATGGTACTGAATAGATGACAAGCGCAGCCTTGAGCAGTCATTTCAGTGGGACATGTCAGAAATACCCTGTTCGCCGGAAACTTTATGATTTGTGCCACCTTTTGACGAAAGCACCATCTTCGAGTGAACTAGGAAAAAGTCAATACCAGTAAATGAACTGTGCAGTATGTAAAATCAGTTCCTCTGTCTTAGTGATCAATGTAGACATAGTTCCTTCTAATAAGTTCCGTCCATTCGTCCAAAGGGATAACTGCTTCTCCGAACGGCACACAGCCCACTGGAATGTCTCGGATGATCGACTCCCTCCCAGGAATGTGGAGAATGTCATGGCTCTTATGGCAGACTGCAAACGGAAGGGTGCCATCGCAAAGTTTCTGGTAGCATTCCATGTCAATCTGGAAGTCAATGCAATCCCTACACCAGAGCATGTCGCCCAAGTATGACCAGGAATTTCCACAGTCTCCATCACAGTAGATGATAGCTGTGTCAGAAGTATTTAGTGACATCATGGCCAAACTTGTTAGCATGTTTCGAGTATCCTCCAAGGGTAGGAACACAGTCAATAAACTAGAATAGGCGTATTTGTCATTGTCTTCGTCGTCGTCGGACAGTATTTCTAGAGCCTGTTTCACGATCTCTCGAGTGATTTGTTTAGCTCGTAGCACATCTCCCTGAGTCTGGTAGTACCGCGCAAGATAAAGCTTTGGTGGGAGTGCGTAGCTCCTAGATGCTCCGTCGGGAACTAAGTCCTCTAGCTTCTGGAGGTATGAAGAAGCAGCCTCGGTGTCGTCCCCCGACGTCTGTGCCTTATGGAGATAGAGAGGACCGAGTTTGCTAATCAGCAATGGCAAAATGGCATTCAGATGGGACTGTGGAACGTCGGCCAAAACCTTCTCCCACTCGGCAATCGCCTTAGATTCACGATCTCGCAGTGAGAATATTGCTGTGGCATAGTAATATCGAATAGAACATAATGTGGCACGGTCCTGACGCTCTTGAAGGATATTGATTGCAGATTCGTATGTCTCTGCCAGGAGATCGAAGTGCTTCATCTGTAGTGCTGCTTGCAGGAAAATTTGGTGGAACCGATCAGCGTTCCAGAGCTCGATGACCATCGCCGGCAATCCCTGTGAGACGTGTGCCGAGTTCTTGACTCCTTTCAGACATACTATAATCTCTGGCCACCTGCCCTCGGTAGCGAGAGAACTCAGAACCATTGTCACCCGGTCATAGTTCGTCGGGTCAAGTTCCATTGCCATTTTGCAGTATATAATAGCTGTGCTTGGGCAATTGTCTTCCCAGTAAAGTAGCCCAAACATGTATAGGAGCTTAGCAAACTCGACGCGCTGAACAGGATCTTGTCGCCACTGGCTGTCGGATGCAAGACGCTCCTCAATAGGAGCATTTAGAATCTCAATACCCTCCTTCGTCCCTACCAACTTTGCTAACAGGTAGGACGCTCGCCAGTCTTGCGGATCAAGCATTAAGGCTTGACGAGCCCTGGTCTCTGCGAGCCTGGGAAGCCCGAGCACCTCCAACAGGATGCCCATTTGAACGTGCCACAACGAAGGCTTTGTCTTGACGCCCAGAATCGTTTGACACCAATTTTCAACATTGTCTATCTCTTCACTCGAATAAATATAGCTAGGGTCATTCACTTCGTGGGTAGCAATGCCTTGGCGACGCTCAATCTATGCCTTGGTTAGTATTTCGATCTTCTGCGAAGGAACGCTACGTACCTTGTTCACGAAGCTGGCAATGAAGAGGAACGCGTCCTTTGTGAATGATTCCGAATGAGGCTCTTGCAAGAAATGTACAGCCATTCTTTTTGCGGCAGGTCTCATTAGGTCTTCATCAGGCTTTGCCCCAGACGTCACCTTCGCGACCCAAGCCCGTGTCGTCGTGTCGGAAATTTCGGAAGTAACAGCAGAGTCCCCAAGCCATCGGAGGATGGTGTTAACACTGTCATCACTGTAAAGCCAATAGCGTCGTATCTTGAATCGAAGAGTAGGATCATCAACAGACTCCGCACAATGCAATAAGATATCGATTGAACTGTCCTCGGTAAACAGTTTCGCCAAGCGTATACCCACTGCGCGCTTGCAAGCAATGTCTGCTAACGCTAGATCAACAGCTGACAAATGGCTTATGAGGTATTTCCGTGCATAGGGAAGGAGTCGCATGCGTTTTCGATCAGTCTCCTCTGTCAAAACATCTAAACAAGTCAAGGCCATCTTTGTCTCACCCGTATGCGGATCATCCTTGTTGATACGGTTCCCCTTGGGCCTCAGCAGTTGCGTGAGGTAGGCGTCAAACTTCAACTTGGTATAAACCTCCGAGGGACAGACCGTGAGGAGGAAGTGTTTGACCATGGCCACTTCTGCGGCTTGTGCTGCCTCCTTGCCATGCGAATCATCCAAGTCATGGGTGGCGTTTCTCAGTGGAATGTAATGCTCAATCTCAGAGGATCGGAAATCAACCTTGTCGTTCCTATCCACTTCGAATAGTGGATATTTTATCTTAATCTTCTGCTCCAAGGGCAGTAACGACGTCTCTCCGCTCCTTATATATAGAACTGCAGACATCTGTTTTGGCGTGAGAAGCTCCTTTCCATAAACGATCCAGCGTACAATCTCATTGATTTCCAAGAGTTCTTTTTCGGAGCGGCTTTCGTTCATCTTTTCGATTTCCTCGGTTATCTGCTGCGAGCGTTCCTTGCTTGCATCGTCCAGAGCCTGCTGTATGTCCGTTTTATACTCCAGGGAGCTAATATGGTCAAGGGTCCGATCTATCTTGAAGTAGTCACCATTTGTTTCGGTACACAGTCTGTGCCGAATATTGTCTCTTAGCTCTGATATTCCCAAGCGAGCGCGATCGGTCAACGCTGGCATCCTATCCATCCGGTTCTCTATAAACTTCTCAACATCCGATCGGTTATGCGTACTGATGGATATGCAATCAAAGTGAACATTCTCAACTTTGCTTAACTGCTCAAAGCATCTGGGGTCACCGGTTACCAGAACGCGAATGTCGCGACCAGGAATGGGCATGGAGGCTCTCTGTAAGAACCTGACCATACCTTCTCCCACTGTGTCGCCCAGCCCATCAATGACAATATAAAAGGTGATGTTCATGCTGGCTAGATCCTTATTACCGAAGACCAGATGCTTTGAGATGTCGTTCGGGTCGATCTCTCCATGGCGTTCACAGATTTGGGCGACGGATTTGAGATAGATTCTCTCAGACTGACTGAATTGCCAAACGAGTGACTTTGCGACCGTCTCTAGGTTCATTGCATTTTTAAGCTCATCCCGAGAATTCCCTTCCAGAAAATAATAGCCGGTTGAAATCCTACTGTCGGAGCTCTCTGTAGTTTTCCTCTGATTGAGACGCTTGATGATAGTGGACGTGAGGAAGCTCTTTCCAGTCCCTTCACCACCAGCGATAGCCAGGATCGGCCCCCTGGATTGTCCCTTCTCCCATTCAAGGTATCTGTGTTCACTGAAAATCCATTCACCGGTACCCCATACCCGTTGCTTAAGGTAGTTGCGATAGATTGTTTGCCAGAAAGCCTCTGGCTCGCCGCTTTCTTGGTTCATCTTGGTCTCATCAAACGCCAGTGCCTTCAGGACGACCTGCTCCCTGTATTGCTTATGCTTTTCCTTCTTCTGCTCAGCTCTGTCCTCCGCAAACGATTCCACAAGACCCTGCATGAGAACGAGATTCGCCTTCGAGCTGGTTGCAGCGTCTGAGGCCAGCGCAAATGTCTGCGCAACGACCAGACGGTTCTCTTTATCGACGAGGCCCTCCATCCTGGCGAGCAGATCCGTGACCCCATTATCCTGCAGGAACAATATCTTGACCCCGGCAAGCAGCTTTCTTCTCCGTGAGCGGAGCTTAACTGTTCGATCGCAGATTTCCACGAAGAGGAGCAAGTGCTGGCATGCGACTTTACTCAACTTCGCGTCCATCCCTGCGTGGACATGGTACTCCAAACGGCCTAGATATTCGGCACATTTCTCCAGCAGCCCAGCTAATTCTTCGAAAATGCCTTGATAGCCCTGCCATGCTTGGATCACAAAATTGAGCGCATTGAAGCATAGCTCCGAGGGTCCAAAAGCCTTGCCGACCGTTAGCTTGTCTTGGGCTTGGGCACTCGAGAAAGTCATACCTGTGACGCAGCACCAGCTGCTATACCACCTACTGTTTGAATGAACAGTAAGGCTTTATTGAATGAGTCTTTGATAGCCTGGAGCTTCCAAGACGACACTTTGTCATTCCTCTGCGCTGCGTCCAGATGCGATAACACGTCGTTCACCCCAAGCGGCCTGATCTTGCGCTGGTCCCCATCGGCTAGCGCCAACACCCGACTCTGAACACGCGTCCATATCTCCGTCAGCTCCTTGTTGGTCGTGGCGTCGAGTCCTTGTGGTATAAACCGTGATGCGTCCGTGAACACTGTTGTCACCATGTTTGATTGTAGCAAATTTTCAAGCCGCAGGTGTTGGGCTGCCAGAGGTGATGCGGGGAATGTCGCAGGATCAACTAGTCGCGTACTCCTTTCATCTTTTTATGCGTGACGCCCTGTGGGATGAGGCTTAGACGTGCAGGTACTGACGTGTGAGAGCCTCGCTAGCTGGGTTTAATTGCTCGGCACCTGCAGATCGATCAGCTAAGTGGCGCCTGGGCAGTCGCCGAGGATAGTTATTGGCGAAGATAATTTGGCCAAGATGGAAGCGGCAGCCGTATGCGATTGTTCAAATTATACAAAGGCATCTGGTTGGGCTGATGCAGATGTCGATCAACAAGATATATAAGGATATTAAAGACGAAAGGGTATATTTGATTTATGGTGATGTTATATAGTGGTGTTCTATACAATGCCCAATTTCCAGAGTAGTCTTCATGAGTGTAGTGCTCTAAGGCCAGCTCGCGCAATATCTTGTTCCTAGTGTGTGTGGAGGGTGAAGATGTAAGATGTTTTTCAGGCTGCATAACGTTTATATAGAGAACCGTACACGCTGTAGTATAGATCGGGTGATTTGTACCTATTAAACTATGTTGAACTGAATGGTTGATCGGCTTCTTGCTGGTGATAGAGTGCCTTCACCATAGTACTCTCAACACAGATGGGTAGAACACATGCTCGGGGTAGTATGGCTGGAGAATGTCCTTCAGATTCTCTCCCAAGTCATTCAGCCATCTCCACACATGTAGAGCCTTCGCGAATTCCCAGTACTCAGATAGCATCAACTCATCTCCCAGTGAATGGTTCCATCGTGATGAATAACGAAAGGAATCAAAGCATGGTATGTCAAAGGGGATCAACAATACCTAACAGTGGCAGGAGATGTAAGATGCCTTCAGTTGGGTTGTATTCATGGTAGAAGAGTTCCATTTGTTGATTCGTTTCGCTAACATCAACGTATCAATGGTCCGTGCATGATAATTTCATCAGGGTGGTATTTCTACTTCTATGAGACAGCGAAATATTCACCGACAGGCGTTTGAAACCACCCGTAGTCGTGACCATGCTTCTTCAACATGCTCTGGTACCTCCACATGAGGGATGAACGCCTTTCCTCTTGGCCCATATCCACTTTCATCATCCCTCAGTCTAGGGATTTCCCCCATTACCAACTCTAAAAATCGACCCAGTGGCCACCATGTGTTTCCCAGTGGTAACTCTTGATATTTCAGCTCCCCACCTTCCGATCTCTCCATATGCGGGACAATTATTGGACAGCTCATGAAAGATGGAGGCGACAGCCTGTCTCCGTACGCCTTTTGGAATGAGGCTTTTGTTCGCAGCATCATCGTGGGATCTTGAATGATCATACACGTCTGGAGCGCTTGGAAGCCAGCTGCATCGAGCACATTCCGACTCAGCGAGGCGTTTAAGCCACAGTTTGTGGATTGATCTTCGACCAAGATCATACAACCTCCATCCGTGATGGCGGATCGGTCAAAGAACGTGTCCAGGATCCTCTCCAAGACACGAGCTTCGGGTAAGCCGTGGATTTCTTGTGCGATCTGCGAGAAGCGAGGGTGTTGTGCGACAGCCTCATACAGGAAATGGGTAGAGTGGCCCACGCCACCACATAGGACCAAACATTTGCTCAACGACGGTCGCTCTTGTAGTACCTGGAACAAATATTCGGCTTGATAGAGAATTGCCGATGCGCAGATAACGATACCGTCCACCGGGGGACATGACGATAGGTCTTGGACCTGTTGATCCCCGAGATATTCGGCCACGACATTGATATCTTGGGCCGTTGCTTCGGAAGACATTCTTTTTGTTATGTAACCAATGACTTTTTTCCCGATCTGGTTCGCTATTTTGTTTCTCGGTTTTTCTCTCTTATCAGTTTGTCAATTCCATGCTCGGAGACCTGAAATGATTTTGCCGCATTATATTCATCGCGATAAATTATATTCCGGTGGGGTTGGTTTCCATTTATAGCCGGTGCGTTTGCACTCCACCGGCACGGATTACTCGTTCGGGTAGTCACGCGTCGCGCAGGTGATTCGCTGTGCCCCATTTTTTTTTCAATCAATTACCAAGTTGCTACTGCCCTCATTCGATTAAGAGAGTGGTTAAATCACTCTTATATGTGTTATGTTTGATTTCTGGTTTCAGAGTGACCTTTGCTGCCATATAGTGACGTTTTTGGTAAGCATCTGTTGAAATATATTTAGGAACCTGCCTAGCTGTCAAATATTTCTAAATTTTGTTTCACGACCTTGATACTCATGACTTAAGCAAACCCTGTTCAGAAATAGTAGCGATAGACAAATGAGTTACTTTTGTCAAATAGATTTTAACTAAGGGTTGACAGGTCCGTTTTGACCATATTCGTACCGTGTCTCTTGATCCTATTCAAACGTTAGTAATGAGCATGATCAACGATCCATGTCCAAACATACCCAGTATCGATTAAATCCAACTCCCTCGCACACTTCCGAGTATCCCAGAATCATAGGCGGTGCCGTACCCTCAAACATGCTCTGTTTCAATCCTTCCAGCGCATCCCGAATACTCTTCAACCTCGCCGCAACCAATGTCCACGGGTATGCCACGGCCGCGAAACCCATTTGAGCCAGGTCCTTCGCAGAGAGATTCTCCGTTTTGCCCCCTTCAATAATATTAGCCAGCATGGGCATATCCAACTCCGCAACGCAGCGCTGCATCGCCTCCCTATCCGGCAAGGCTTCCACAAACACCGCATCGGCCCCTAGTCTCTTGAACTCCTTTGCCCGCGTCATCGCCTCCTCCCATCCGAGGATCAAGGCATCCGTCCTAGCCAGAATGAAAATATCCCGTCCTTCATTCCGGGCGTCGCAGGCTGCTTGGATCCGAGCGTAGGCTTCGCCGCGCGAAACAACGGATTTCCCCTTCGTATGACCACATCCTATGCACAATTCCCACAATCAGTAACTACTTCGTAAAACCTTGCCGGAGAAGTTAGGATAGATAGCTAGACTCACGCTTCGGCCATGTCTGATCTTCAATCATCACCCCCGCTGCCCCAGCAGCAGCAAACGCCTCCACCGTCCGCCGCACATTCATCGGACTCCCATACCCCGTGTCCCCATCGACCATCACAGGGAGACTAGTCACCCTCACCGTCTCCTGGACCTTCCCGCACATCTCCTCCAGAGCGATATACCCCGTATCAGGCAGCCCGTATGAACTCGACACGGCGAAGCCGGATAAGAACAACATCGGGAAGCCCGCCTCCTCGACAAGCCGCGACGACAGCCCGTCGTAGCTACACGGGAAGGCCAGGATCTTGGAGGGATCGTCACGCGCTAACAGCATCATTGTGCGAAGACGCGATGTTTGGAGGGAGGGGATCGTGCCGCGGACATTGGGGATGGTGAGGGGTAGGGCTCGGGTTGTCCCGTTTGTAGATTGGGCTGGGACTGGGTTGGTGAATGTGAAGGGGTAGGGAATGTTTGTTTGAGACATTGTGGGTTTGGCACTTGGTTTAGAGTGTTGTTTTGCTCTGTTATGGTAGCTGGTTGATGTTGTTTATTCTATGGATGAGGGGTTGAGGGGTTGTGGCGTCATTGCCTTTCTTGTTTCCTTGCCAAGAGATTGGTCCTAATGCATCTAATGCATTAGATTGGTCAATTAAGTCTATGATCTGCATTATTACACTTGCATAGAATTCTGCTATCGGCATGCATTCAAGAGGGTTTCCTTAGGGTTGTTTTGTCAGCTGTTAGGGAAGATTAGTGTTGTTGTTTCGATCACGGGAATGACCCTAGAATATATGATTTGGTTATATAGCCACATTTTCATCGAAACAGGCAGTTCATATGAAAGCTCATGGTTTTAATGATATAATTATCGCCTGTCAATATATGTGCCTCGTGTCTGGTTTGGTTCACCGATTAATGCTGGTAGGGAAAACGCGTTAAGAGTAGCATTGAAGATGATTATATGTTATGTCAGCTCAGATCCATGTGTGACACATAAGACCAGCCAAATATCTCGTTAATAGCTGTATCCAATGATGCTGTCCAGCAATTATACCGAAGATAGCCCTGTAGAATACATAATGTGCCACGGAAGGCTTCTGTTTGGAAGAGAATCGTATCCCAAAGAGGAAATACGATATAATGACCAGAACTAGCGAAAGACACATTACACTCACCCGATTATCTCCGGATGGCGATACAAAGGCCGAGTGGAGCCGGTGTTTTCTAAGTATTCTATGTTGCCTCCACCATGATGGAGGAAACGAGAATCTTACCGGTGGCAAGTAAAGCAGGAACTGTTCGGATCAATACTACGTATCCATTGGCAGCACGCCACAAAGTCGCGCAGATTATCGGAGACATTTACCTTTCAATGCGCGATTAATGACGATTACTCCGAAATGGATGCATGTACATGTCCCAGAGAGGAGTTGGACGAAGTCCGGCGTTGGATAGAATTCAATGTGAACGTTTCTTCACTGGAAGCTGATAGTCGAATCGACGAAGACACTGGTGCTTCATTATGATAAGGACATCTGTTTACAATGGACTTTGGACTTTTGTGGCGACCTGTATGATTTCCACGATAACATACCCCCCAAAATGAGGCAAGTGGGGAATTAATCCGAGTTTTGAGCTTCAGGTAGGTATCGAGAGGTCCGTCCTCCATCAGAGTAATACCTCGTGGATAACTACCATAAACAGCTTTGATAATACTTGAGGCACATTGACCTCAGCACTACTGGCTGATATGGATACTTTGACCTTCAGAGATTGCCGAAAACGTGATGTCATGAAGTCGCGCGAATACGCGGCGCCGGAGGCTAAGGGAATTCAGGCGGGTCGTTAGAACGTGGCGGCTATGGCAGACTACTAACTACCCACTAGTAGGATCCGCTCTGCCTGGCTAGAACGTCCGAAGACTTTGATTTTGACTAACTCTACGCTCGCACTGTGGGCAGGGGTCTTGTCGAGTAAGCCAAACAGGGTCTACTAGGCTGATTTACTATAGCTGCGAAGACCGAGGATCCAAAGTGGTGACGATTCGATGCTGAAAAAACGTTTATACACATGTGAATACACAGTACTGGCAGCATTTGCCCCCCGAAGAGGCATTTGCCATCGATGACAAGGGCCATTGTATGGTAGTCCAATTTCTCTGGACAAAATTTCCGGCATACCACCAGACGCTCCACCGTGGCTATGCTAGCAGATGGCAATTTTCTATCCAAGATACAGCAAACTCTTCTGTTTACAATCAGTGGTAGAAGTGCTCATAGGGCGGCTGTCACAAGCAGGGTTTGGTTCCGGCTTTCCTCCGACTAGTCTGAAGTTCTAATGCCTTGGACGGTAAAATTGAGTTTTACGGCGAAGTCGGGTTTTGGCAGGGCGTATTACCCGCGGTGAGCCTTGACCAAGAGACTTCGCTGGAAGGTTCGTAGAGGCCAAAAGAGTATGTGCGGGTGTGACTGTGTGAGAAAACCCGATGGGTGGGACATTGAGCCTAAGTGGTCCACTCTCTATGACATAGAAGTCTGATTCGACACGGATGCTGTCTTGACCTAGCTGCTGAATGTCTAGAATCATGTGGAGAGCGACTTGTAAGTTAGTGCGAGACCGGGGTGAAAGAATGGCATCTCAGTGAATCGAGCGCTTGGCACTGGCAGCCATCCTCGGGTGTCCTGAGGTTGCAATAAGAGTCATGTTTGGATTTCTTAATAGGACCAATGGATCCTTAGAAGCAATAGAATTGCTTCATCTGTAACTTTCCCCTTGCCAAGCTATTCTTTGTGGTGTGTTGTGTTGCGCCAGAAACGTGGCCCCAGCCTTGGTTGCCCACAAACCCTAAGGAGGACGTAACACACAACACTCCGGCTTTCCATTTACAGGACAAACAACCGAATTACCCATGGTTTTAGGGCCCCTAGCTTGTTACGAGTCCCTATCCAATGCTGGAATTGCAATGGATTGTAATCCCATTGGCTGTTCCGGACTACCAGTGAGCTTAGTCATTTCGAATGAGTGGCCAGCGGATGTCCTGTCCCTGGCCCAGACTTCGCCTTCCATGGGTCATTGCCAATAGTAAATTTAGGTCCTGGTAAGGGGCTGCCCTATCTCTTTGTCAAACCACACGATGAGAGAAAGTTAGAGAAACTTCCAGTACAGATGGCATCACGACACGGGGGCATACAGGTAGTAGGGCCACGATAGATTGAAATACTGAACTCTACTACTTAATGACTCAACGACTCAACGAGTACTAGCTCGATCATCACAAGATAGTGCCAACTGTGGAGTCGGCTCCACACAAGACTGTATTGAATGGTAATCAATGGGCTTGCAGAATTTCCACACTGGCGTCTCAGCTTGCCGAGCAACACCTCCTTCTGAATTTCTGTCCTTGGCCCACTTTTGCGGGCTTGGCCGAGATTTGTCAAACTTTTGCTAGTCGTTGTCTGTTTCTGCTGCATTTACCTTTGTCTATCTTGCTGATAGATGGGTGTGATAAGCTTCAGTCTGCTACCATTTACTGGCTACATAAAAGCCTAACGATAGCACTGCTACGCAGGGTCCAATGTAACCATCCCGGTCCCAGAGGTTTTGCCTGTAGGTTTGCAGCGTACTTTAGTGAAGAGATTGCAATGCCAGAATGCCGATCATTAACCTCGTCCATGAGCGGCCCGCCGAAGCAACTACCATTGATACTGAATACAATGTGGCCAATGGCTTTGACCCGCTTTTACATTCAGGAACACTACACTGTCCCATGAATCTAGAAGCCACGGTGGATATTCCAGAATCCTTCAGCCACCAATCGTGGTGCTTTTTGAGGAGGCTAAGGGATGTCTTCTTGTGAACCCAGCCTGCTGTCCATTCAGCTCTCTTTCGTCCCTTGAAACCCAAGATCCATTTGTGACATATCCATGGCAAGCTTGTCAGAGGCACCCTGCTGACGCACTACGCCTGCCCCATCTGCCGTCGTCAACCTTTGGAAGATCCTTCGAGCACCATGGATGGTCGAGACCGTGCTCAAGAAGCTGAACCAGGTGACCCCGGGGTAAAAGTTTTATTCCAGAAGGCTATATAGAGGGGCCCAATTCCCATGTCGAGGACCTGAACTTGGTCTTTGTGTCATCACCTTTTTCTGGATTTTTTCTTCCAACTACCCACATTCTTTAAAAAAGCAATCTCAGCTACACCAGTTGTAACACTTCTCACTTCGTCTTTCTTCGATCCTTACCAATCGCTTGACGCGAAGTCCATTCTTTATCAAAATGCAGTTCACCAAGTCCCTCCTGCTGCTGGCAGCCCTCACCACTGGCTCCCTTGCCCACCGCGTGCACGGCCACGCAAGACGCCAGTCGCCATCCGCCACTGCGTCTGCCGTTCCCTCTTCCTCTGGCTCTGCTTCCGGGGGATCCTGGACCGCCACCCCTGCTAGCGGGTCCTACTCTACTGCCGGATTTGGCTCTTCCACCGCCAACAGCGGCTCTGATATCACCTACCAAGGCAACGTCGGCAACCCCTGGGGTAGCAATATCATTGAGGTGTCGGAGAGCGATGCCTCGAACTACAAGCACGTGGTCGCCATCTCGGGCCAGAACACCGAGCCCTGGTCGGTTGTCTTCTGGAACAAGTATGGCCCTGACGGCAAGATGGACGGCTGGTACGGCAACGCCGCCGTGAGCTTCACCCTCAACGCCGGTGAGACCAAGTATGTTGCCTTCGACGAAGACACAAACGGTGGCTTCGCTGCTGCTCCTGGCAGCATTCCCACCGACTCCGACGGCGGATACGCCTCCACCTGGGGTGAATTCGACTTCGGCAGCGCCGGTAACTCGGGCTGGTCCGGCTTCGACGTCTCTGCTATTGTCGCCCAGAACGCTGGTCTCACTGTCCAGGGCATGAAGATGTGTGACGTCTTCAGTGGTACCTGCTCCTCTATCACTCCCGGTGCCGCATCGGTGAACAATGCTTACACCACCGCCGAGACTGACATCGGTGGTATCGGTGGCAACCTCTCTGGCGATGGCGCGGTCCGTCTCGCCGTTACTATCGACTACAGCGGTTAAGCCATGTACTTGTGGGATAAAAGTTAGATGATTGATTAAATTATATGATGAAACAATTTACGATTTTACCTTATCTTTTTCTCTATGTATTGTATCGTAGTCCCTTTGACAGCGGACTTGGTAATCTCAAGACATGATCAGAGTCTTTCTCCGGCCTCCGACTAGTTAAGCAAACTAGACTGGTATGTGTGCTGATAACCTGAGCTAGAATGAGACTTCAATCTCGCCCCGTCGTCTGTTATTCCTGAATTGACAATGATCAACAATCGCTGTATGACCTAAAACTGGAAAGCTCTGGATATGGAAATGGGGCTTGGTGGTGGCCAAAGGTTGGGAACATTGATTAGCTATTGGACCATTCATCGGTAAAAGGCTCTCTGAGAGGGCTGAAGAAACAACATTCCGTCCCATCTCCAGTAGATAATTTCACAAAGCTTACTTCATACAAGGCCCTCAGATTTGTCCAACCTACAATATCGTCACCGACAACATGATCGCTTTCGGAGAGGTGACTCATTGTTACTGTACAGTCTATCATTATATGTCCGACTTTCCTCATTCACACGAATCTTTCTCAGAGGATGTATATCTATCTCTAGTTGGTTGTAACCGGTGCTCCCAGGACCGCCAGGTCATCCGAATTCAATACTATATACAAACCGTCATTCCATGACGCACAGATAGTTCCGTATGCCACTAACGATCACGAATCACGTTTCGACCTCCTTGCCGCATTCTTCTGTTCAACCCACATGCCCATAGTCCCAAACACCCCCAAACATCCAGACGTCATAAGCACAGGCCCCCAGATGGCTGGTGTGAACTGTCCCTTGAGCAAGCTCTTGCGGACCGACAGATATCGAAAAATACCATACCCGAACGACCAGACACTAATGGCTTGACAGAGAGTCGTAGCAGAAAATCCGCCGTTGTGGTCGAAAAATAATAAACTGCCTGAATGTTCTTGGCTGTTGCTGTGGCTGGTACCGCCTGGCTGCGCAGGAGTGGCTGCGATCGTGGCTGTGCTGTTGTCCGACCCAACGACTAGGTTCAGTTTGCTGCTGGACAGGGCGGAGGACAGCATGCGGTCGACTGCATCCAGACGGCCGAGGGCGAGAGCCATAGCTGCGAAGCCCAGGCCCATGCGGGTCCAGGAGAGAAAGGTGCGCTCGTTGGCTTGGTGGTCGCGTAATTGGGAGCCGGTGTTGGCCACGCGTTGGGGGAGTATTCGGCGCCATAAGGAGGACATTATTCTTGACTTTGTATTATGAAGACAACTTTTTATTTTAATTATGCGTGTGGCTGTACTAAAGGTATTTATTTGTGGTGAATATATTTGAGATGCTTGTTTGTATGCAGATTATCACAAGGTTTAATTGTGATTTCTTCAGCCCGACACGAACCACGTGATGAGTTCAAACCTATTCGAAGCAATCTTCCAGTGCTCTTTCGCATAAACTTGGAATACACTCTCGTTTGAACTGATTTCCTATAGATTTAGTCACATTAGGTTTCCTGGGATTTATTGTATAAGATGGTCTATTTCTACGCTCTTGAATACCACATTTAGTCCGGTGACTAGTGTTGTTGAAGCTAAATATAGACAAACAAACTGACCATGTTCTGCAAAGCCAATTGATGTTGGCTTGTTTTCAATCTCTCTGGGGCGTTACCTGTTAGTTTAGAGGCTTTGAGGCAAAACTTTGGGAATCTATAATGACTGAATCTTACATCCTCTTATATCGCCTACAAGTGTTACCTGTCTCGAACGGGGGATGATCTAGAACACCAAATTTCCCAATCCGGTCTGCTTAAGCATCAAGATATAGGTTATATACGAACTAGCCAATTATAGGAGGGATAGAGTCAATGAACTAGGCAAAAAAAGGGAAATGTAAAAACTTGTTTTTCCAATTTGACCCCCAAATTGAATATGTGTCGGCCCATTAGTGCTGACAAGATACCAATTAAACTAATTTAGCCTCATATTTAGGGCCAGATTGACCAATAGAATCAAGGCCTATGTCTTAGCGTCTCCTCGAAGTACATATTAATGGAATCCCTCCGATTCCCTTTAACATTGACCGTGCATTTGGAACCAATTGTTAGATAAGCAATTATATGGCCCTTCGGGGACTTTCCAAACACGGAGCAACTTGGCTCTAAGGAAAGTGTGCGACGGTCCGATTCACGCCATACGATGATAAATCCTCCATTCTCAAAATGAACCATTCTGTGTATAAATACCGGGAGCTTCTCGACATGTTTCCCCCAGAGCATAAATTACTTGTTTGTGAATAACCTCCTGGAATACCTCATATAACACCAGTCAGCATCCTGTGACAGCTCTTAAATCAATAACAATGTCTGTCCCTTCTCACCCGAAACTCGAAGGCTTTGATATCATTCAGGCCACATACAAGCAAATTGGCGACCATGCCATTCGAGTGGACATCCTGATTCCTCAAACACCCTTTACCGGCAAACGCCCGACCCTGGTCCGCACCCACGGCGGCGCCCTGGTAACTATCCCCAGCGCAACCAGCATTGCATGGTCACTAACGAAACACGTAGGTTGCATGTGACTCCTTGTTCATGGATTTCTTCCCCCACTGGGCAGCGGACCTAGCCCTCAAGCACGGAGCCGTGATCGTGAGCCCCAACTACCGGCTCATGCCCGAGTCCACGAGCGCAGAGATCTACGACGATATCGATGACTTCTGGAAATGGCTCCACTCCCCAGCTCTGACCGAATTACTCGCAAACCACACCACGCCCACAGAGATCGATCTCACCCGCATCCTCACGACTGGTGATTCCGCAGGTGGCTTGCTAAGCCTCTATCTCGCCCTGACCTATCCATCCCAGATCCGTGCCTCTACAGCCGGTTACCCGTGGGCGAATCCCAGCTCAGCAGGCTTTCAGGCGGCACGCACAATCCTACCATTCGGCGTACATACGCCCGAATCCGTCATCGATGACACCGTGGCTGCTGCGGCTTCTGGTTCGATAGTGTCGTCGGATACCTCACCTGCCCGGCTCGGCTTCATGCTTGCGGCTGTTGAGCACGGCCGTTTGGCTGGCTTTTATGAGCGTCAGACAGAGGATTCCTCACGCCGAGAGTTGTTCTACCCTGCGAAGAAGCTGGAGGAACCGGGCTTGAGTATCCCACGGGGAGGGATTGCCATTTGGCACGGGCGTCAAGATACCGTGGTTCCTCTGGAGGACGTGGAGGAGTTTGTGGTGCGGCTGCTTGAGGCCACAAAGGGCCTGGAAAGCGGTGACAAGGTTGTACTGGCGTTACGGGATGGGGACCATGGGTTTGATATGGACTCTCGGTATGAGGACGAGTGGTTGCAGAAGGCTCTTAAGTCGGCCGTGGAGGCTTGGCTGGAGTAATCGGTTATGGGAGGGATGTATAAGTAGGTGATGTTCATGATGTACCGATTATTATAAATTAATATTTCTTTGCTCTGATAATGGTATTTCATTGGACTGAAGTCTCATATTTGTGCAAACCTGCTTGATTCGCCGTGGCAGAAATCTCCAGTTCAGTACTATGGACATGGACCTGACCCGTATGACTTGGATTGAGTATAGATCTCATTCCATCGCAAAATACCCTAGGTTGTGTAAGCTCATCTCGACCATTATCCTACAGCATCGATAGGTCTCTCACTTTGTTCTTTATCGTGCCCCTTATCCCGAATACAGCTCGGATACCTTATATAGAACAGAGCCATGACGACCAGCATAGGAACGCTATCAAAAACATACATGGGCCATTCATGCTGTAGTAAGTACCCCGACTCCCCACCCCAGTACTCGATGACTCGGAATATCGATCGGATCATGATAAGAGCACTAACCGCGAACAGCATATGCAAACTCGACTCCCACGGTAAGTTAGAATGGAAACACTCGGACGTCGGGGCCCTTAGCACACGTCGATAAAATACAGCCGCAGTTACACCAAAAAAACCGAACGATATCAGCTGAATGAAAAGACCCAGTAAGACGACTGCTTTGGCGGCCGTTCCGTGGCTGGTAACGCTTAGGCCTGTCGATGATGCCTGTACGGCGAAGGATGCTATGTCTCCGACGACAAAGACTTTTGTAAGCCATTTCATGGGGATGATGCTGTGTTGTTCTCCGCGCACGGCGCGGATTATCCGGCTTAGGGTCATGTAGATAGAGGCTGCGAATAGGACGGGGGCGAGTAGTGCGCCGTTATTGGAAAGCGCGTAGGCGAATAGGGAGGCTGTGTTCTTATATGCGCCGCAGCGACCTCCATATCCGTAGATCTCGACTTTTGGTGGCAGTAGTTGGCTAGGTTCGTGCAGTATGAAAACATGGGACGCGGGGTTATACAGATTCCTCCCATGGCGAAGGGAATGTAGAACCAGGTTCGGGTTTTGATGAGCCGATAAGTGTGCAGCACAGTCGCTCCTGCGAAAAACAATAGAAATACAACTGCTGCTCCGAGGGATGGGACATAGAGCCATAGGTAGTACCCGTGCTTGTAGGGCTTTAACTCGCCCATTCTTTCACCTTGGGACTGCTCTGCCTTTTGATATGGGGTGGTATGAGGGGATCGACTGAGGCCTTTGTGCCAGTCCAGCGATACAATTATATGCCCAGTCTTCTTTCTATTAATACTTAATCAGAGCACCATATACTCTCATCGAAGGAAGTGGGCCGAGAATAAGGCGCTGTGGCTGTTCTTAGTAGCTGGGTCGTGCATACGTGAGGAACCCGAGTTCCACTGTATCCAGAAGTGGACCAAGGACCAACTATTGGTCAGCCTTTTGGTCTATGCATACGTCTCCTCGGTATCTAGGATCTACTTCTCATGATATCTACGGAAGACTTTACGAAGTATGGGAAATTGTATACGCTGGTGGAGTTCAAAGTCTACTCCATTTACAGGCAGTGTTTCTTTCTAATCATCTCTGGCCCAAACGCCCATCAATTCTTCGGAACTCGGGCCCTGCTACAAAATGGAAACTGCTCTTCCTCGTGGATCGCTATCCCTATTGAAACCTGCCCGGTCAGGATAGGGGCCAAGTATTCTTTCATTGTTGACCCCATTGTGATCAGAAAATGTTTCTGGCAACATTTCCGGGACGTTCCCCCCTCCTACCTAGTAGACTATCACCTCACACATGATAGAAGGATAAGACCCAGACATACTCAAAGAGTGGCCCTGGCCCGGGGCTTCACATAGGCGATAAAATTTCCGTACACCGGGATCAATAGAGGAGCCTGATAGTACTTCATAGTGTTCTTATAAGTCTGTGCGTCTTTGAGGATGCAGGGAAGTTCTTGGTAGAGAGTATCACGAATCACTTGGGGCCGGACTGGGGAGGCTGGTTAGGTTGGCCAAATGAGGTTATTCATAGTGGTGAGTATATTGGAAATGCAGTACGACGCTGCGGTGAATGGTGACCTATTTGGAAATATATCGCGCCAAGAATGTATAGGCTGTGGTCTGGGTATACGTACATTTGAAGATTCTTCGGATCCCCATTTATTTTGCTCATTATACCATGACTTCACATTACCTCACCCATTCCTAGTATAAACTTGATGCAACATTCATAATCCAAATGCTGTTTTCCCCGTCGATTTATTAATGACAATGCAGAATTGATTAATAGGAGAATTCTCCGACAGGATGCCTTAGCGTCAGAGCCAAGCCATGCCCGAGACGAGGCGATATCCCTAAGTCGCCCGCCCTGTAAACAACCCTAAAATGCAAATGTAGCCAATTAAATCATCTATGTGCATATATTAAATCCGTAACAATGCACCCTTCACATTACCTCCCAGCTGGACCCTCCATAGCCGATGCTCATTCAATGCGAACATTTCACCACCCTTTCCGAAGCAGAAATTGGCGACTCCCCCGTCGATCAGAATACGTCCGAGCAGAACACCGCCAGGAGACCAGACATTGATTCCGTCACCACAGCCGCTGTACACATTCCCGTCTAGATCACATTTAATCCCGTCTGGGATACCTTTATCGGCCATTGCGAAGAGTCTCTGGTTTGTAAGAAAGGGTTCGCCGTGGTAGGTCGATACGTTGAATGCATATCTAACCGATTTATGTTAGTATAGATCATCCAAACACCAAGAACATATATAATTTAAAAAAGGCCATACATCGAAGAAACCCTCTGGTCATCTGTACTCCCATTACCATGCAACCAGTGCGTATCAGTCACATAAACGGTCTTTTCATCAGGTGAGAAACAGATCCCATTCGGTTTTCCGAATCCGTCTGCCATTGCCCGAATATTCCCACTCACTGGATTCCATCTGTATACCTGACTGGGTAATGAAGGCGTCGGCCGATACCCCTGTTCAAAGCCATAAGTTGGGTCCGTGAGCCAGATCGACCCATCCGAGTGCACCACGACATCGTTCACGGAGCTAAACGGACGGCCGTAGAAGTCCGCCTTCAGGAGCTTGCTGGTGTATGGTGGTTCCGTGGACATGAGATAGAGTCCACTGGACTGGGTCATAGACCCCTGACCGCATATGAGCACCCCGTCATCGCCGTAGTTCAGGCCGCCGTTTGCGAGCGGTATGCTGGTCAGGATTTCCTCACATTTCACTGGGGTTTCATTGAGATGCACGCGGGTGATGCGGACGGATTGCTCGCCCCGGGCGTCTGTGATGCGGCTGCTGGTTATGAACAGGTGGTTGGTGGAGGCAATGAAAACGCCGGCTTCGTGGGCGAACGGGTATGATTCGTTTTCTGCTAGTAGTTCTAGAGACGGCGATTGACCGAGAATGGAGTGGAAGCGCTTATCGTGGACTTGGAATGCGTTGGAGTGTTTGGTCATAGTGTGCTGTGTCGTTCCTCACACTGTTGTATCGGTAGTAGTTTGAGTCCGATTGAAATGGGACTCGATAAGACCGAGATGCTAATCAATGTGTTTTATGGGCAGTTGGCCGATCCTCGATTATCTGAAATATAATCCTTCTATGTGTTTAGATTTTCTGAACTAAAGTCAAACAAGTCAGCTAAATTGGCTAACGTTGTGTCAAAAACTTCCAATGACTTGAAATAAAAAGTCGCAAGTAATTAGAAGTAGAGAAGAAATTTACCCTACCACATGGTTTATAAGTAAGCTTGCATAGGTCTGATACAATGATTCTATTCCCAAATCCTGATACAGTATTCGGAGCCACTAATTCCCCTTCCAGGAAAGTCCCCTATAAAGTGGATCAACTCATCCCCGCATCGGAGATCCAGCGAAGCAGTTGAAAAGAGCAATCACAGCGTAGTCTGGGTTATCTGTAAGTTCTACCCAAGCCAGAACATTCATATCTTTGTTTGTCGTTAAAGGAATGGACTACAGAATGGGATCTGGTGTTTCCCCAAGACGGTGGACGTAGAGGACCACCTCTTTCATCGCTTGATACAGCTGGTTGCAGAACTGGTACAAATGTTTATACTGAAAATCAATATAACTTGGAAAATTTAACGCTAATTTAAGCACGAGTATTTGAGTGTGGACCTCACAAATGTAACCACTCAAAGAACCTCAAAATCTGCGCTTCTGGGCTCGCCCCCGTTACAAGCACTTAAATCCATCGGACAGGCACTCATAATTACAACACATTCTTGCTCCGCTTTCAATACAATATAGTCCCCCGCCTTGCTGTCCGGGTTCATGCATTGTAGCTTGGTGCCATTGATATCGACCTTCATGAATAGATTCAGTGGATCGGGTACCCAGCCGCTCTCTAGAAACCCAGTAATATAGCTGAATGATGGTTCAGCACATTGCTGTACAGCACTGCGAAGATTATCGGCGCAGTTATCGTGGTCTTTATCGCTGCCAAGTTGGAGGTAACGTTCTGGAGAGCAAGCAGCGTAGAGAACGTCGTGCACGCCAGGAGATGTGTCCTCGACAATTGTCAAAATAGGATCCCGTCTGTTGTCCAGGAATGATTCGTTAACGGATGGAAGAAGTTTATGCAAGGTGGACCGAGTGTGAGTCATCGACATATATCTGGGAAAGGTGGGTGTTGAGGTAATAGTAAAAGCCCAGGTGTCGATGACCTGACCTCCCGAGGAGTCTATGACCTTGATCGACTGGCCAACATGCAGTCGTTGCGTCGCAAACCGACGGGCAGGAATAGTGGGCATTTTGTAAAAATTGCTTTTCAAAGTCTTACTATCTGTAGGATTAACAAGTTGGGGAAAAGTCAGCTTGGAGGCCCTGGGGTCTGGTTGTTATAAGCATAAAGCTATAGTATATACTAACCGAAAAAGGAATGTTGAAGCAGCTCTCTGACTCCCTGGAGAAAAAGTACTTTTTGTCTCCAAAACCCCAATAGCCCGAGGCCTGCAACGCACTGACAATTTCTGTGTCTCCAAAAGTAAATGACAATGACGTCATTTGTCTGTGGGCTCTAATATGGGGCTGTCTGGTAGTCGTCAGAGCATGTTGATAGTATTTTCTCTTCTGAGACCTGGATAATACCTTGCCTCTTTTCGAGACTTCTTTTTCGTTTTCTATTAGATAAAATACAGCTAGCTAGTTGATCTTGATTGAACCTGTGCGATAGAGGTGGATTGGAGTAAGTGATCAGCTGTTTGGAGGTTTAGAGTACTACTAGACCAAAGCTAGAAATACCCCGCTGATACGAGCATCTTATGAAATGAAAGAGGGTTCAAAGTCCGCTTACCAAGACATCTCCCATTCCCCCAGTTCTGCCAGTTCTGTAAAGTTCTTTGGGGAATTGATTTTGATAATATCGTGCGGCTACAGTCATGGCCGAAACACGTTTTGAGCTATAAACACACATCATATCGATTTTCCAGTCCCACTGCTATCGCTTTAATAATGAGATCTTTATTACTGAAAGTCTCAACTATATAGTATCGAAAGCGACCGGTATACAAGTTTAAAACGCGAGAACTGGCCTCAACTCTATAGATAGCGCCCAAAGACTACTATTAAGTTAAAAAAATTAAGATTGTCAAAACCAGATTTAGAGATACTAGCCTAATATATCAAAATATTATAGATATATTTCAAATCCTCGGCAGATTTCTTAGAAATCAAATCTTTAACCGGCCGGAAAATTATCCAGAATCAGATGCACCAGAGCTTCTTTATCATACATTTAAAAATAGATGCCACAGCTATCATAACCAAGACTTAAACTTTTATTTTTCTAATTAGTCTATAACTTCTTATTATAATAACACTCTTCTCAACAGTTCACTTATAGATAAGTATACTTTAAAAAATTAATATAAAAGAGGTCAGTGGAACCTGTGTCACAGACCCTGATCTAGCACAAAAGCAACAAGGCAATATACTGCGAAGCTGTTAAGAAAGCGAGACACAGGAGTCTTATAAGAAGATCACATAATATCTACCCCAGAGTCTACTGCAGTATCTTGGCAGAAATATATTGAGGGTATATTATACTATATAGGATAATTGGATATACTCTATAATCTACTTCAGTATTCCAATAGAAGTATATCAAGAAATAGGTGTAATAGCAGGATACATACAGATACTTATTTCTATAAGATTAGTTCAGCTTTCTGAGATCAATCCAAATCACTACTTGGAACCTATCTTTAATAGTAACCAGTCCCAGTTAGTTTGTACTTCCTCAACTACTACGTATATATCTTCAGTAGGCCTGGCCTTTTAGACTCAAGTCCAGTTCTTCTTAATAATAAGCTCTTATATTACTTAATGTTTTGACACCAACAACAACTGCAACAATTACATCCTTGATACATAGTTCTGTGTGAGCTGTATCTGTATTATTATTGCCCTACAATGTAGGCTCTTGATTTAATCGCATCGGCACAGAGAGATCAACAAGCACATACCGAAAAAATGCCCTTCTGTTTCGTAATAATATTCATTTCAACACATCGTAACTCTTCCTGATGCACATTCGTCGTGGGCAGGAAGGAGCAGCTGTATGTCTAAAAGCTACTGAGTTCAAGGAAAACGACAGGCAAAAGTCTACGAATATATAAGAAACCAAACAGAAATCAAAAACAAAACTGACATCTCCACATATTATGATACAAGTTGCCTCTGCATTGTGAAAAAAATGCCTCGTCTCGGTGCGCGCTCTTGGCAGACCCCCACAAGTGTCTCGTCTCGAGGACTGGAGGGCCCTAGAAGATGATCTTGTTTTGTATGCGGAGAATCAACGCGGGGTTTCGATCCTTGTGGGGCATTGAATGACATATGATTCTTTGTATGTATATTCACATTGCCTCCGTCGAGAGGAAGGCTAGCTTGTTATAAGTATCTGGACTAGGACTGCCACTGGGTCAATCATTTCTGTACCGCTGTTATCTCATTGCCAGATCTTACCACCATGTCCTCTACAGAAGCTACCAGCGCCTCTCAGGCCTCCACCGCACCCCAGACACAGGTTACCCTGGGATCTAAAGTGATCGCAAGTAGGAACCCCACACTGGAATCCCTCGTGATCTCTCTCATTGACTGGTTGCTATTTGTTTAGTTACTGGTGCAAACCGGGGTATCGGTCTTGGAATCGCAGAATGTTGTCTGTCCAACGGCGCAGAAAGAGTCTACTCGATCGACATCGGCGAGACGGGCGAAGAGTTTGTCGCACTCTCGCAGCGTTATCCGGGCAGGCTTCACGCATTGAACGCAAACGTGACCGAGGAGGAGACGATCACGGCGGCTGTCGAGAAGATTATTGCAGAAGCAGGTGCACTGCACGGCATGGTAGTAAATGCAGGACGTACACACCATAAGGCAGCTCTGGACTTTACCAAGGAAGAAATTGAGAACTTGTTTAATGTTAATCTTTTCGGTGCATTTTACACGGCGCGGGCGGCTGCGCGTGCCTTCATTAAATTGGGAATTAAGGGCTCCATCGTCTTTACGGCTTCGATGGCTTCGTACCGTCCCAATAAGGTGAGTAATTCCCTGCATGAGCACGATCTGTGTTATGGCACCGATCACTAATGTACAAAATAGAGAGTACCCTCTACCCCGTACGGTGCCTCAAAAGCGGGTATTCGCAACATGACCCATACCCTGGCCATGGAATGGGCCCAGTACGGTATTCGTGTGAACAGTGTTTCTCCGGGTCTAGTAAAGACTGCGATGACGTATTGGGTGCCTCAGCAGCCGGACTGGGAGCAGCAGCTGAAGTACTATGGTGGATTCCCTAGACTGGCGGAGGTACAGGAGCTCGGTGGTGCATATGTGTACCTCTTGAGCGATGCGGCTAGTTATACGACCTCCATTGATATCCCTGTAAATGGTGTTATTGGCAGTGAGTGTCCATAGCTCCAATTGTTCTTTCATATAATCCGGTTTGCTGACCATAACAGTTTGTTGATCTGGTCTCATATGAGTATCCTCGCGGGATACGCTGTGGGTTGATATATATAGGAGTTTAGTCGGAGGCAATGTCGGCACAGACCTGGACTGGCCGGGTTAATATATAAGCACGTTGTTCAACTCTGAAATATACAGTGCCTTACATGTACTTTAGTCTTCGTGGCACTAGATCAGACAGCTAGCACCTGAATCTTCCGTCGATCGAGAATCTGCAACCACCCCTCAGATGGGTGAGTGTCCAATTCAGACCATATTTCCTGCACAATACTATACTGCCTTCGAATACTCCCTATGCCGTACTTTTGCACATCCAACCACCATGTTTCCCAAGGCTCTCGATCAAATGCACAGCATGATGCTATAAAGGCCGGCCAAGTGACTGGAGCCATCTGGTTGGCAACACGCCTCGATTTGATTTCTTCAACAGCGAGCATATGAGAGGCAACCGTGGCAACCTCATCTACCAAGTCTGGAGCTTTGGCACCTTGGATACAATTTAGGTAGAATATCATGGCGGCGCCATGCCATGCGTGGGAATGGTGTTTGAAGATATCGAATTCCTTCGCACGCTTGTCGTTGAAAGCGGGAATCTTATCGGAGCCCAAGGTCCAAGAAAGCAGCCGATTGCCAAGATCTTCACATGCTTGGAGAAGATCATCCGGGGCGGATTCTTGGGCCTGGCGATAAAATTCTAAGCACTCGTACAGACTAGTGGTTTCCTGGATCGCAGCTGCAATATCAGCTGTGACCCCGTATGTGAACTCATAGCAGTAGGAGCGGCTATTGGTTGTGGTCAGACTACTGTGTCCCTGGTGCCGCGATGGTCTGCTTCCATCCCAGGGTGATGGAGTACAAGGAGAGGTAGTGCGGGCAAGAAGATTCAAAAATGCACTTTGAGTGTTTAGCTGACGAGTGCCTGCGGTGATTTGTTGCCATTTGCGGCGAGGACCTTGAATATTAGATATTCCTTGAAGATGAATACGGAAATCGATGATACTTCCTTCCATCACCTGGTTGAATGTAATTAATGACTGATATTCCTTAGACCGATGGGTAGGTAACGCACTCCAATTGTGACCATAGAAAGAAGTGCGACCAAAAGAGTCTTATAGTCAAGCACAGGTATCTCTTTCATCAAGACCATTTGGAGCGACTGTAGTGCAACTTGTCGGTGCATGATACCAAGACGATGATACTCGGAGTTAAAACCATGGCACCGATGTAGGTGGAAGGCGGATGCGGAAATGAGTGAATGGAATATGCAGAGCCCAATATTCGGCGCTGCATTGAAAGGGCCAGACTGGAAGTACAAAGAGCCCTCGAGTGCTGCGGGGGCATACAATGATCGGTAGGGATTTTCTGGGTGCGAAACTGGCAGCAATATCTCAGCAACATTTGTGACATAATGGTGAAAGAGCTCGTTAGCCTTGTAGTTGCTCGACAGAAACAGTTGCGGTTGCTGTAATAACGGAACTGTGGCATTTAATACAATGTCCGTATCCACGTTGTTCTCATCCTCTGACGAAACAGCCTTCAATGCTTCATTATCGTCAATAAAGTGCAAGTGGCAACATGACTCGCTATGCTCATCATCTTCAGTAGGTGTGTTCCTTGAGGGTGATGATAAAGTATCACGCGGAAGAACGCTGAGATTCGAGGGTGACGATGAAGTCTGATAGTTCGACCCATCCGAGTTTAATTCACAACCTTCCGTCCCTTTCGAGTAGCTCACTAAGGGAGCTGCACCATTTGAATCCCGCGGTAGTGCCTGCTCAGATGAGAAAACGAGAGATGTCCCATGGTTGCTACAGTTGCGATCTACAGGGAACACTGAAAAAGGGCCATGTGTTGTCGATACCCCTCGCTCAGCCTCCTCATTGACTCTGTAAAGAAATTCATCGATTTCGTCTGTTTTGAATTGAAGGATACCAGTCCAGCCTTACTTAACATCTAAGCCTGTGACGCATATACCAGGCGAGGCACGAATTCAAGAGTTGATAACTCACCTGCACCAATGCGCCTCCTCCCTATCCGTGCAGAAAGATTTCTGTGGGGTCGACGACCTGCGTCTGAGGAGATCCACTGCAGTTTAATATCATATCCACCACAGGTTAGTCCGAGTCGTGCGCAGGTCGCGCAGCCTAGTGGGTTCTCGTCACATTTAACCTTTCGGGCCTTGCAGGTCCAACACCTGATCACTGTCAGTAGATGCCGTACCACGCACAGTGTACTACTGACCCTGAGAAGGTGATATGTCTGTGCTTTCCCTTGGCCATGTTACTTCTGGTTTCTGTATGGCTACGACGAGGTGATTTACGTCGAGAGAGCCGGAACCTAGGGAATCCTTCACCGAGATCAGGTGATGTCCGTCACCGATCGGGAAATGGCGGGGTTTCTTATCACGCCCATGATATAGCCCTAGTATTACGGAGTAAAAGATTATAGCTTCTAGTCCATCATCTCCCTAGGAGCAGCTATGTGCAGTGTTTTCTATAGGATCTTTTCACTTGCATTGTTAGGGCTGCTGGCGACAAGTATATTTTGCTCCGTCTCCGGTTTCGCGGAGACTATTCTCGTATAGTCTACTGCTCTGGTGGCAGCTCAAAGGGTTTGTAAAATACTGACGAGCATAATGTAGAGGGGGCTACAAGAGAAGGATGAACGAAAGCTTTTTGGAAATGCAACAATAGTCTCGAGGAATGGAGAACGTTTGCGATAAGTCAGAACTGTAGATGTTTCTTGCCTGTATTAACATTCAAACTTAAGATCAACGGGGTCATGGTGGGCCACTTTCAAACCAATCATCGCGGCCCGTCGGAGATTCTTGCCATTGTGTCAGAAAGCTGGGCAAGCTGGCGATACGGGGTCCATTACAGTCTGACCGTCCTCGGCGCCATCAGTGCTGCAATGGCCTCTATTCCATATTTGTTATATTTTTACGGGGCGCGCATTCGTCAGTTCAGCAAGCATGCCGTTACCAAAGAATAAATTTGGCGTATAGGAAAAAGTGGATATGGGGCTTCGAGACAAGATATCGTTTCTCATTCTTTTTTAACGTGACAAAAAGTTGGCTTTCTACACTGAGAATGTGGGTTATAGATGCTGTTCAATTATTTCGTTATTTATTTAGTTTGGAGGCAGAGGAAGAGAGTGATGCACGCAATCAGGTTGTATATATAGAAACATAGAGCTAGATTAGAAGCCATTGATGAAGACCTACCAAGAGAATAGGCTTATCGCAGGCCCTGACAAGTTTTTCGGAGGCTTTACATTCGCTTTTAGGAAGAGGAACATTGCTCATAATACATCTTGTTCTGGTAATTTGCATGTCATTCTTGCGAGCAAGTAGGGTAGATGAATACATATGTGACGACCGTATCATGCTGGTCTAAGTACGTCTACTCCAAACAGAAACCCTGTCATGAATTACACCATTCTCACCCTGGCCAACTTTGTGCGTTCGCTCCGGCTGCCAATACGCCACTCTCTCTAGTCCGGCTTCGCTCGGGCCCTGTTGAGGGTCGTACTGGACACGACCCTTGTCATCGTAGGGGATCTCTTCCCCTGGATGAGTTAGGTGCGCCATGTACATTTCCGAAGACAAGCCGTATGGCGGCCCCGCAGCCTGGGGGTCTTTATGAAGAGGAAACTCCAGGCAAATCAATTTTCCTGCTGGCGACGGGGCCAGCAATTGGGTGTGTCGGAGAGCCCACTTGGGGCGAAGCACCGGCCTTAAAGCGCAGAAGAACGTGTAGTCATAGACAAGGTCGAACCCATTTGCAGAGCCCTCAATTTTCTGCAGCCAGGCATCATCGAAGAAATCACCCTGAACAAAGCTGACTTTGCCGCGACCAAGTGCCTGGTCTTGCACCGGATACCGACTGTGATGCTCCTTCGCCTCCTTCTTGCACACCTCGACAGCACTGGCGCTATATTCAAGCCCGTAGGCATCGTACCCAAAGCTAGCTAACAGCAGGACATCGACTCCCCTGCCACAGCCTGGCACCAGGGCCTTCCGTCTGTAAAGCCGACCCTGTGCATCCTGGGCAATGGGCCCGCCGATGATTGCACGTCGCTGGACTAGGACATCTTCCAACGCGGGATTGGGAAACCCCCGGTCCCAGGGCAGGCTGTCACCTTTATCCCATAGTGCAGCCCAGCCTTCGACGTACTTGTCACCCTCGTAACTGGAAAGATGGGCTTGGATGTCTTTCGGATCGATGTTGACCTGGCCAGTCATTTTCGGCGGTTGTCTGGTTGATGCGTAGCGAAGAGGCAACTGTCGCACTTGACTTGAGGCTTTGAAGAGCCCTGGACAGATATAATGTAGGGGGGGTGTCACAACTTTGGAAGTGAAATACGGGGAAGTGCAGTGTCGGAGGTGGGAAGCTGGTGACTTAACTCGCCACAAATAGTTCTTGTTACGTACCCTTCCCGTGGGAGGTCCACAACTCCATACTCCACCGACAGCTTCGGAGCTTGAAATCATTGGTCGGTATGTTCTTCAGGGAAACTCGGTTCGTATCGCATGAGGCGGTTAAGCTTAGCAATAAATTCTTCAATTATGTTGAACTCTGGAGAGTATGGAGGCACATAGAGCAAGCATTGTGTATGAGTCATGACTACGACTGACCGGCTTTTCGGCAGCCGAGGAATTTGCTCGATGAAGTCTTGGAATCGAAAGAATAAGAAACTGTAGATGATGATACCGAACGACTCTATCATGTCATTAGGGTTTAAAGAAGCATCTCTATATTTCCGGTATGGAAGGCGATGTCGGGTGCTACTGTATGGCTGTTTTTACCGCACATCACTAACGTGAGCCATCTATCATCTTTCTGCTTTGCTTACTCTTGATTTTGTGATACAGAGCATACTTCAGCTTTTAGATGAAAAATAATACACAATGCTAATCTGAATTAATATGCATATAGAGTAGTTAACTACGACAGACACATGAACCCCATGTTTTGGAGTGTTCCACCCACGTTCCATCGGTGGATTGCTGCCCGGGCTGGTTGTAATGATCTCCTTCGCGAGACCTTATTAGCAGGATTATTTGGGCAGAATGGCCCCTGAGTATTCTGGTGAAGAACCTCATTGATGCCTAGTAGAAAGGCTGCGTGAGGCGTCAAGTAATGATAGATTTGTTAGTAAAAGGCCTTCCTGTGTCACACCCGGCAAACACCGAAGAAGGTTAAGTCAAAGGCAACCTGGTCACCTCCAAGGGTCATATGTAGCGTGTCAATTATGAGTACTTCAATGCTGGAAGATGAACTGGGGTCACTAAAGCTGCAAGTACGAGCAGATGTAGATTCGTACCCATCCCTCGCGGTTGATAGCCTACCTAGTGACGGGGGTATATCATATAATCGATTTCTGAACGACTACGGGGAGCTCCTATCGCAAGCAGAGTATAGGCACAGCAATGTACAAACTCAATTAGTGTATAACTATAATACATTGACCCTTCACAGCCGCAGCCGTGCAGTATCCATCTTGTATCGACCCACAAGGAGTGCAAGTAGAGTGGCCAGACCCGAGAGTGCTACTACCAGCACAAACACGTATTTCAACCCCTCAACATATGCAGCTCCAATTGCAAGACGTGACTCTGAATCTAGATTTTGACCTGTCAAAAGACCCCCTGCAAGTAACTGGTTCGGATTCACATCGGCAACGGATGTCATTTCCAAGTTCCGCTTGACCTTGTCGAGAAATATGGTCTGTCCGGTTTGCATAAAGATCGAGGCCCCCAGACACTTAAAGAACAAGGTCATGGACGTCATGGTTGACATGTCCAGGGCATCCACGCTGGCCTGATTCATGATAATCGGCACCTGAAGTGAAATTCCAATCCCGAGCCCGGCCAGAATCTGGTACAGGATCCAGAGTCTCGGCGGTGACTGGAGATCCAGCGTGTATAGCAAGCCGGCTCCCACGCTGATAAGTATCCCACCTGCTAATAGAAACGGTGTAGGATAACCTGTAATCCCGAGCCCTATTGCTCCAATTACTGCCATGACGCCGGCCGATACGATCAGTGGTAGGGTGCGTATCCCCGACTCCTCAGCTGAGTTGCCCTTGACTGCCTGGAAATAAATGGGCATATAGTACAGAAGAGTGAAAAATGCGCCCGCCACAAGGAAAATGAAGGCGAGATTAATAGTCACTTCTCGTTTTAAAAGTAATCTACGGGGAATCATAGCTCGATCATTCCAGAAGAACTCATTCGCGATGAACAGACCCATGAGAAGAGGAAACCCAAGCAGACACCCAATAGCATCTGGGTTATGCCAGGTCTTGCTGATCCCCCATTCAAGACCGAGAAGAAAACAAAGTAATGCACCTGTTAATGTAACCATGCCAAGTATATCGAGTTGGAAGATGATTTCTTTCCATGACGCTTTCTTGTTCATGGGGACAGAGGGTGTGCGGAAAAAGCAGAGGATGACGGCAAACGTGGCCCCCCCAATAGGTAGGTTAATCCAAAAGCACCATCTCCAGGATACGTGACTAGCAAACTCCCCACCGATAACGGGACCAGCAAAGCTAGCGAGTAAGAATGCCAAACCGGTTATGCCAATCAGCATGGGACGCCTCCTTGGTGGGACGCAAACCCCGATGATAGTATAGATCCCTGAACCAATACCTGATCCGCCTACCCCTGCGATGGCCCTGCCGATAATAAGTGTTGGCGAGTTGTGGGAGAGGGCACATAACAGAGAACCGAGCTCGAATGTGAGCAGGCTGAGGAGGTAGGTCCATTTGATATTGAAATATCCATATAATTTCCCCCATGGCGCCTGAGTTACGGCACTGCCGAGAAGAAATGCAGCCCCATACCACCCAACATCAGCAGTAGAGTTGAACTCGTCAGTTATAAGAGGAATGGCGGTTGAGATAATAGTCGTGTCTAGAGAAACGAGGAACATGGCCAAGGCTAGGCAAAGCACAATCACATGCAGCAGCAGCCCATCTATGTATTGCTCCACTGGTCCAGAAGATGAGTCAGGATTTGTATGGTTGAGCTCTTTGTTTTCGTGTAGTGGACAGTCGCTTTCACCTCGCGACGTTGCTGTAGTAGGTGGTCTTGACACCTTCGGATCGTTTGGACTCGAAAACATCTCGTAGTCACGCCCTGAAGTTGCAAGGTTGAGCAGTCGCAGCAGGGAAGCGATATATAAAAGAAAGACTGAAGCGTAGAGTATGAGCTGGGGTGGTCTTTAACATCACTCTGTGTTTAATGAGAGGATTTGTAGCCCTATCAGCCGAGTATTCTAGTGTAGTGCGCTCCGCGATATATTATGCTACGCGATACTCCGTCTGGGACACCGTTTCTTCGAGCAAGTAATTCCTCTGGGTCAACAAGCTACGCCAAAAAGGACTTTGTAAAACAAACAATTGAAATATTAATACCGATAACACTAGTAAATGGGATCTACATCTCATGTGGCTAATTAGACCCACTGAATGCACAGGTGATCCTTTCCTATAACTACGACTCGTCGCCTTATTTGGGAATATTTGTTTCTTTCTTGGTCGGTATGAGGAATATATCCATGATCACCGTTGGCTCTTCCCTACTAGATATTTCGGTAAGCAGCTCCTTTAAGGTTTTTCCAGCGATGTTAAAAGGGGTTTACGTACTGTTGTCTTCAGCAGAATCAATTTGCTCAAGCATTCTGGATCCACCTGCCCCTGGAAGTTGGGTTTTCTGGTATGTGAGACTAATGGTCGACACTTCCCGAGAAGGCCAAAGTTTGATCTTCTCAAAGGGCTGAGGTACATAAAACAAAAAAAAAAAAAAAAAAGAAAAACTCGGCCTTGGCTTATTGTATGTACCAACTAGCAGCTACCGGTACTGATCTCGATAATTGAGTGATTGTTTCCAGAAGCGCAGACCTACACGAGCAGGAATACCTGCATGCCTAGAGATTTGCCGATATGTGGGCTAGAGGAATTCTTCAGCCCCAAGTAGACTTGCATCGAGCGCTATTGGTATGCAGTGTCACAGGACCTGAACCAACTCAAGTGGTGTGATATCACAAAGATTGCTCAGAATCAGTGTCGGAGAAAGGTCGGATTCCGGTGTCGGAAAATGTTTCCTATGCTGCATGACGAATCACATATTACGACCCACACATAGACCATAGACATATTCTAGTTTTATAGGATCACTGACTACCCATCACTTGAGGAAAGGATACTTTGCAGGGTGCTGATTCATTCTGCACGACAGGTGCTTGCCTGTCTCGGTGTCTGGGGGTATTCCAGTTCATGATTATCCAAGGTTTACCTAAATTCAACGTAAATAACGTCGCCTTTCAGAGACCTTCCTTAAAGGTTAAAATGCAATGAGCGCGAGTGGATGGTCTTGATGAGTGGAGAACCAATAATGACTGTTTCCTGCAAGAGTTTTACTGTCTTCAGTGTACCTTATGTTGATCTCATTAAAACATTTTTCATTCCTTACCTACATGCGTCATGTCTCTAGCACCGAGTATGGAAAAGGGTATATTTCCCCTGCATTACAAAGCTTTTATTACGCACGTTAGACTTTCATCGACTGCAAGGGTCCGATCTCATTTGATGATAGTGTTCCTGTCATTGAGGCATGGAAGGTGGTCAGATCAGAATATTATTCCCGGTGGATTCTCTATTAGCCACGACTGCCATCCCGGGAGGCTGGGCTAAGGAAATACCAGAAGCTAAATACCGTCTTGATGTCAACCTATTTTATCAGTCGCCCACATAATTGTCCTAATCCATCTTCTACCTTTCCTGAATACCATGGAATCCTTGCCTGGGGCCACCACATCTACACACTTACACATGGAGGCTTGCCATGCCACCAAGCGTGCTGGTGCTTATGCCTTGCGCCAGATGCGGGAGGATGGCCACTGGTATGGTGAAATGAAGTCCAATGCCACTATTACTGCAGAATATGTTTTCCTCGCACAAGCCCTAGGCTTCAGCATCGAGTCAGACCGGGATGATCTCGTCAAGTATTTCCTTTCCGAGCAAAACAAGGACGGTTCGTGGAGCCTTGCATATGATTACCCAGGAGATGTTTCCACCACCTCAGAAGCATACTTCGCGTTGTGTCTGTTGGGTCTTGACCGAAATCACGAATCGATGCGTCCCGCACGGGAGTTCATCCTCTCGAAGGGTGGCATAGCGAAGGTGCGCGTCTTTACTCGGATGTTCTTCGCTTGCTTTGGGCTTTTCCCTTGGTCTGCAGTGCCCGAGTTGCCAGCCGAGCTGATCTTGCTTCCTGATGCCGCCCCCTTCGGCATCTATCGGCTGGCAAGCTGGGCGAGAGCGACCGTCATACCAATGCTCGTTATTCGACATCATTGTCCAATATACGCTTTGCCAAATGGAAAGTCCTCGTCGAATGATTACTTGGATGAACTCTGGATCAACCCGGCAGACAAGATGGTCCCATATGCCCCTTCTATATGGTCATTGTGGCATGATCTTACGGCGCTTGGATTTACACTGGTCGACAATGTTCTGCAAGCTTTAGGCGGTTTGCGGTGGTTCCCTCTAAGAAAGGTTGCACTTCGACAATGTGTGGCTTGGATACTGGAGCGTCAGGAGCCTGAAGGCGATATCGGAGGCATCTTTCCTCCTTTGCATGCTGCATTGTTTGCACTTACGCTTGAGGGACATGGTCTCGAGACTAGTCCTGTACGCCGAGGCATTGATGCTCTCCAAAACACCTACGCCTGGAGAGACAGCACTGGCTTGAGAATACAAGGCTGTATCTCGCCGATCTGGGATACCATTCTCATGACCATTGGTCTTATTGACTCCAGTCTACTGGCTACAAGCTCAATCGTTACAAGGTCATCACAGTACCTTAAGGCCCGTCAACAGCTAGGACCTGAAGGCGACTGGAGAGTGTATAATCGAAATGTTTCAGCCGGGGGATTCAGCTTCGAGTACTTCAACTCGTGGTATCCGGATGTCGATGACACTGCCGCGGCGATCTTAGCACTGGTGAAGCAGGATCCAAACCTGTTGGACCTAGATCCCATACTATGCGCAGTCAAGTGGGTCGAGGACTACAAAACAAGGATGGTGGATGGGCAGCATTCGATCGTGAGAACAACTATTTATTCCTGAACAAAATCCCCTTCAGTGACATGGAGAGTTTCTGCGACCCATCCACAGCGGACGTGACCGGACGTGTCCTGGAATGCTTTGGTCTGTTAGTAAAACGGGGCACCGCACTATCCAAAACTGCGAAAAACCCGATTCCCAATGAATTCATCGATAGAATGGCCTTTGCCACTGACCGGGCAATCGACTTCTTGTCCAGGGAACAAGAGTCTAACGGGCCATGGTTCGGTCGCTGGGGCTCGAACTACATTTATGGAACTAGTACGGTACTTTGCGGTTTGGTTTACCACCTAGACGGTTGGGATGATACGTATCCCATCATGGAGAAGAGGCACAAAGCTGATACTCACGCTGCCTTGGACTGGCTCAAAAGAGTGCAAAATTCCGATGGTGGATGGGGCGAGCGCCTCGAAACATACTATGACCCTAGCCTGGGTGCCAATGGGCCATCCACAGCATTGCAGACGGCCTGGGCATTGATGGGCCTACTTGCGTATCTACCCCCTACAGATCCATCAATCACTCGAGGCATTCAATACCTTTCACGGACACAGATCAAAGAGGGAGAGCTCTCTGGGTCATGGAAGGAGGACCACTACACAGGTACCGGCTTTCCGAACCATTTCTTCCTTTGCTATACCCTCTACTCTCAATACTTTCCCATGATGGCCCTGGGCCGATACACGAGTCTCTCCGGGTATCGACCATTGGAAGATCTGGATAGTACAGTGGAAGATCCTACATCTAAATAACTTGGGATGGATATTTGAAAGAGAAGCGAGGATAGAAATTCTGCGAGATTTGCTAAATAGTAAAGACCTTAGGACCTCTCATAGAAAACCGTAACAGTGACCTCCTGGACACAATTCCACCATTCGCAGTGAGAAGCCATAGGATTAATATGGAGAATGTCCCCTCCCTCAACACTGCGAAGCCATTCTTTGAGTCCTGGAGTTGGATCTCGAACATCCCAGATCACTGTGTGTTGCCTAGGCTGAGAACTGTTGTAGATATTGCGTTGGACCTCCCGGCTTGAGATTACCTGATCGGCCTGGGACGATTTACTAATACAAACTTCAAACCATGTCCTGGAGCCACAGTAGTTGCCCTCAAGTCTTTCAAATACGGGATTCCGATCGCTTAATCCTACGGACATGTTAGCCATATATTGGCGTGTCTGAAACATGGAGACATTACCTTGATCATAGGATACCATAGTGAAGACGAGCCGCCGAACAGGAGAAGGATGACCTGGGGGGATTGGGACAGAAAGGTATGGCGGCACATCTACGAACTTTCTCCACTCGAACATTTGTGGATCTTTCCTGGAGATAGTCAAAGGCGGGCCGCCGCATTGATCAACCAGCAGCTGCGTTTGGGCTGCAAGGTCGAATCTTGCTGCGCCAATGATGCGGAGTAGATCTGAGTACCAGGGCTGATCGGACCATTTCTGGATCCAAATAGACTCTGAATCCCATTCGAGTCCAGCTGTGGAATTCCATCTGGGTTGCACAAGAATTTCAATGCTGTCTTCTCTTCCTCTCTCAAGTGCTAAATCCAGAGCAGTTTTACCGCTATTGTTAGGGATGCGGGCGAGAGTGAATATTTTATCAGCTTGTAAAAGCACTTGGATGATTTCCTCTGTTTTTGCATGAGTTCCATTCTGTACAGCGGTATGCAATGCGGTATCTCCAAGCTCGTTTTGGTTGCGCAAGTTGATATCAGGAGACACCAAGAGATTGGTAACTCTCTGAATTGAATGTCCGCGAACTGCATTATGGAGAAGAGTGTTTCCTTGGTGGTCAAGGGAAACAAGGTCCCTGTCCATCAGAAGCTCATAGAATTTAATCTCCTTCGTCTCCTGTGTGGCCCAACGAAGAGGATCCTGGCCAAAGTTGTCTGCAATGCTGATGTCGGCATTATTTTTCAATAAATACTCACAGTTCTCCAGTTGACGAGCCCGAAAAGCCTCTAACAGGGGTGTTCTGCCATCCTCGTCAACGGCATTCAACAAAGCCGGATTCAGTCTCAGCAGGCTCGATATCTCGATTGGCGTGCACCTCTGGGCAGCCATATGAAGTACTGTTTGCCCATCGTATTGCCGGCAATTCAGATCGATATCTGGCAAGCTCAGAAGACTCTCAATCACTTTTGTGTTGTTCTTACGCAGTGCCACGAGCAGAGGGGTGTTGCCAAAAGCGTCCGGTTGATTTAAACCAGAGCGTCCTTGGTGTTCCAGAAGCCAGATCATTATCCTGGGGTCTGGCCGTTCGGCAGCCAGGTGCAGTGAGGTCTTCTCGTATCGGTCTGTCGGGGTTAAAATCACAGCAGCATCCTTAGACAGTAGCCTAACTTTCTCGAACAGTTCATCTTCATCTTCAGTCACGGGGGGAGGAACATCGTTGCGCAAGGCCCTCGTCAATGGACTTGTCCCTCTGGAATCGAAAACACATGGCTGAACTCCCTCAGCCAGCAAATGCCTCACGAAGCTGACGTTACAGCTCGCTCCGCAAATCTCATGCAGAAGTGTGGCCCCATAGTCCTCGTCACGACTAGTAAGTATTTCCTGACAGTCGTGGAACGAGCAATGCTCTAGCAAAATGGAGAGAGCTTCCTCGTTGCGTCGGCTCGCTGCAATATGAAGCGGGGTTTGGCCGTTTGATATCCTGGTCATAGCTTGCGCGCCATTCTCCAATAACTTCTTTACCAGCATCACATTCCCGTTGTGCGCCGCGAAGCACAAGGGAGTCATTCCACCCCGATCTCTTGATTCTATATCGGCACCCCTGTCTAGTAGAAGGTCTACTATGTCAGCATGGCCATAGAGAACAGCCCACGCCAAAGGGGTCATGCGAATCAATTGGTCTTTTTGTTCCGGTTGGACTCCCTTATCCAGCAGCATTCGCACAACTCGTTGGTGACCGTTTTTTGCTGCAAGCCCCAGGGGTGTTCCCTCAACGTCACCGATTGCATTCACATCCTCAACCTCGTTGAGCATCATCAGGACCAATGGTTCAATTCCCCTTGATGCTGCCCATATCAGCGGCAGGCCGTAGTAATTGGCGTCGTCGTTTCTCAGCGCTTCTACTAATTCTTCATAATCCTCTTCGAATGGTTCAAAAGTGCTCTCTGCTTGTTGTAGGGCTTTCAGGCTTTGCCATCTCAAGACTGCATCATGAATATTTTGGTTATGATTCGGGATTTGCTTCGCTATAGCCTCAATAGCATCCACGGTCGAAAACCAAGTGGCATCGAGATTGTTCTTTTATTGGTCAGCCAGCAAATAATACCCTGACGCCCAGTGGGATGTGCATAAACGCAAATGCCTACCAGGATTGCCGCTAAAATGGTACTGCGATATTCCTGTACATTGACTATTTCGTGCATGCGACGACAGCATCTTCTCAGGCGTAAGACATCGTCAAAATCATTCATGGCCTGACATATTTTAAGAAGTAATTCCGTGGGGAGATCCACTAAACTCGCCATAGGTAAATGTGAACAAACTCGCTTTCAAGAGAGATATTGTCTAGCTTAGGACAAACGTGCGGGAATGAAGGAATATTAAGGCTGCTTACGGCTAACTATCTGCATGATACACCGTCACCAACAAGAATAGCGGGGATGATCTCCGTGGCCCCACTTCATTTTGGGCGCAGCCTGCATATGGGTCCCGGCGACTGCTACTAGGAGTCACCTACTCATGCCGAAGTATATACATCCATGCCAACGTCACCCGGGCAGCATTGAATCTGCAGCTGAGAGATCAGCTCCACTTACCTGTAAAACTCTATCGATCCGTATCTTACAGGCGGTGCGGCACAGCCGACAGTCAGAACATTCCCTCGGCCTCTCTTTGTCGAGCAATATGAAACTGGGTATAATATGTTATTTCCGCACGACGTCCCCGGCAAGTGAGTTACGTGTATTGTCATTTCATTCACGATCTGCGTGTCTATATTACCTTGTATTCTTTAACAACTATTGCATAGGGTACTGTGTCGGGGAAGGAAGATAAACCAAATCCAGGGCTATATTACATTTGTGATTTCGGGTGCACCACTTCGCCGGGCACTTCATCGTGTACACAGGTGGGTTAGGGACGGTTTAGCGGACGTGAAGTCCTGTTCTCCACACCCTATGGCCATACATACCAGTCGAAGGGGTAGTAAGGAGTCATATAGTAAGGATCAGGAGCTAATGTGGGTAAAAAAACACGCTAGCTACAACAGAGTAGCGTGCAGGCTGAACATGACCGAACGGGTATATTTACAACTCTCCATGGCACGGGACTCTATACGGTACATTGGTGGATCAACTGTTCGTAATCATTGCGATTTCCTCCAGCACAGGATCTGCCCATCTATCAGCGTTGTCCTGATCCCATCTCCCAGTGTAACATCTATGCCGCGACTTCCTTGATTCTAGCCTCCAGGGCCTTCATGTCACCGCCCACAATGGGGTCTCCGTATGGCTGGCCGTCCTTGAACACAATGAACGTCGGCATGGCTCGCACGTTCATATCTTGCGCGACCTGGCGGTTCTTATCGACGTCCACTTGGATGAAGCGCACGTTGGCGTAGGTTTCGCTGAGCTTTCCAACGACGGGGGCAACGGCCTTGCAGGGACCGCACCAGGTTGCGAAGAAGTCGACGACGACGGGACCGGAGGAGGTGAGGGCTTTGAAGATGACAGGGCTAAAGAGGATGGGGGTTAGTAGTTGTATAGTTGACATCGCATGAGGGGTGTCGCGTACTTGTCAACCTCGACGACTTTTCCGTGGGGCATGGTGGCAGCGGGGTCAGAGGCACGGCTCTTGAGAACGCGGAAAACTAAACTGGTCAGCAAGATCTAGTTCGGGATAGCATATCAGGTGAGGTCTTACCGATATAGATGGCTGTGAAGAGAAGGATGTATTTCAGCTCCATTTTTGTGAACGGCTGACCCAACTGTATTGGTGGAGGATGAAGTGACGTTCCTTTCCATCACTTCTGATTGGCGTTTCAGCAGTCAGGATCCATGTGCGACGCTAGGTCCAATTAGGAAGTTGTCGCCTCAGGTTTTGATCATGTTTAATCAACGCCCTACGTCTCCTTGATTGGGGTAATGAAGTCCTAGAATGCTTTAAGATTTCTTTGGGAGGATTTGTAGGAACAATCAAGTCCGGGGTATTGTTGTGCTGATATCCGCTTTCAATTGAAAAATGGTGTAGCTGATAATACAATGTATCCGATCCGCTTCTCTCCTACCTCCCATGAGATGCACAAATCACCAAGCATTAGCAACCCCCCAATGCTCGTCAAACCTACTTCCTGTGACTTAATATCGTACCATTTACGAGCTACCCTCTCAGTCCGTTATATGGCGTTGCCCCGGTTAAAAAGAAGTCGCAATAGTTGGAAACTCAGTCAAGAAAGCATTCCGAGGATTCACTGGTACCTTGTTCGCCCAGCTGAACCACCCCAGACATCCTTCATCGCGCAGAAAAACACCAAACACTCCCAATCTTATCATTAATACCTTCATTGTACAGGTTACTGCTTCCACCGCTCGACATCCCCGCGAAAATCCGGCCCTGACACTGTAAATCCCCTCACAAATCTCAGTAAAATCTTTTACAAAATATTCTGTACCAACAGTTCGACTTACCCAAACAGATCACACTTGAGCCCTTCGCTAGGTTGGATGCTAGAAATGCCGTACTTCCTACCAGGGTGTCAACAGCGTCATCTCGCCTTGCTATAGAAGAGTTGCGGGAGTCATATATCATCTTAGTTATTGGGTTTCTGCCTTGACAAAGTAGGTTCGGTCCGAGGTTGGGGGAAATTCATGACAGGGGCAAAGTTATTAGAGCGTGGATAATAAGCATGCCTTCCGCTCGTCCTGCTCGAAGCGTGTAGGGAGGAATATTGATACATCCGTGATGAATACTATTTAGTAGATATACGAGGCTGGAATATATGAAGGCACAGTTTCTAAGCACAGAGAAGTTGAATTGGCGCTCCAAAACCCAAAGTATGACTCGCTTATTCCCCATAAATGCATATAGAATACAATCCGTCTGTCTATCAATCCCAAAACTCAGAACAATAATGCTAGCCCTGCTGGATCGCTAGATGCTCCCGGCATTACCCCCAAATAAACTCATCCCAGTAGGCAATCCAGTTGCCCAAGAGTCAAAGATTGCATATATATCGCGGTTCGCCAAGTAAGGGGCTTGTTCTGACGTATCCGTTCCCAAAAGGCCCTGCAAGCAATCAGGCTCGAAGATCGACATCGGACCCGCATCATCCGTGAACTGTAGACTGTTCTCAAACTCGTTGTAGGTCCCAGCACATGACTGTTTTGTTCTAACCAGTCCCTTAGCTATCTGCAAGAAGGTGGAACAAATTTGATACAGACGCTCCGAGCTAGATGATACAGATCGGATGTGCTGCAGACTGTCAACTACCTCCGTAAGAAGTTGGATATCGTCAGAGCTGGTTGCTGCGATAGCGTGCAGGAATATGACGATGAAAGGCGTGAAGGACGAGAATAGGAGAACCCTGCATATGTCAGTTACAGCACTCATGATAAGGGACGTTGTGAGAACAGACCAATTGGCGTAATCGGCATTAGAATGGAAGCCAGAGGTTTGGAATTTTCCAAAACAGCGTAAGTGGCTCTGTAGGCTAAGGCGCGCGACCCGAAAGCAATGTGTGTTGAGCTCGGCGTCTACCTCACCTGATGTGATTGGTGCGCGCAACAGTGACGTGTATGTCGAATAGTATAGCATGTCCCAGCTATCTCTGGTTATTTTGAATATGTGTTGGTTGTTCACGTTACTTGCGTCGATCTAGAAGATTGTAAAAGTTACTGTCACTAAGGATCTTCATGGTCGAGTATGATGTACTTGCTCACCTCCTTGAACGCAGTGTACCAGTGGTGAATGTCAAAGTGTATACCATGTATTCGTCGCGTTCGTTCCGAGTAGGAACTCTTGGAACCCTCTGCGGAATAAAGCTTGTCATATATTTCTCCCTGAATCTTGGCTAGTCGAATACCCATAACAAACGATTCGTCCCACGGCCTAACCGCAGGGTCCGTGGTGATGGCTGGGTACTGTGCATCAATATCGAAATCCTGCATGCTGGAAGCTCGCCCAAAGTACAAAGACATATGCTTTTCAAAGAGATACGTAGTCCAGAATAGTCGTCGCATATTTTCCGAATTTCCCGTTTTATCGCTGCGATACGTTATCTCGCGATGGCACCCGAGCATCTGGCAATGGGTGGCAGCTGCTGAGATGAAAGTGCAACATAGCAATGGCTTGGCTTCGTCCTGCGCTTTTATGAACTGGTTACAGTGGCAACGGGGCCAACACATCAGTCGGAGGTCCCTTCTCATTGTTTTACACAACTTACCCCCATAATCAGCGCGAATATACTTTCAAAACTAGGAACAGCCAAAACATCGTACGACTCGACCAAGGTATTGAAGTTCTGCTCGCACGTAGACATATGCGCCTTGAGATCAAATCTTTGACACAAAGAGTTTCCCAAAATCGTGAATTCTTTTAGGAGAGTAAGAAGGATCCCGTGCATGCTGGCTAGATCAGCCGTGGAAATTGGCTCTGTCGGGAAATAGACTCTCTGGCACAAGCGCTCCACCAGGGCTGGATCGTTTATCACATATGAACAAAGGAATATAGGGCGATTAGCTGCAAAGATTAGTCCAAGTACTATATCCAGTGACCAGCCTCTCTATCTTCCATCTCATATACTCACTCTTTATTTCTTTTAGAATAGCAATAATTAGATCGATGGGTAACAAGTTGTCCATCGTGGGCAACAACTGTGCTGCAGGAACTCGAGACATTCGATACTCTGTTGCAAAAGACGACCTTGTCGCTGTCTGGAGCAATGTCTTCAGATGATCTAACGAGGACTTAAGATCCAAGTGTTCTCCGGCGCCTTCTGAATTGGCTGTCTTTTGAGCTACATCGCTTGCTAGCATAGACTGGCTGGTAAACGAAGAGATACCTTCATACACAGGAGCAACACGAGTCGGTTGCGGTACAGCTTGCTCACTCCCAGTAGAGACTTCATCGGGCACAGTATCTCTGTGATGCTCCGATATTCCACGCTGAGTAGTCAACTGCTTCTTCTCAAGCGAAGCGAGGCGCTCTTCTAGACGTCTGATCTGACCCTGCCTGGCACAGAATTATTATCTAGCTCCAAACTGACTTTAACTAATCCCTACAGATCTCGTTCCGGTCTAGGCCGAGTTTCCGACCTCGATGCAGGATTGGCCTCTTCGCAGGTGATGCCAGACGCTTGGCAGTTCGAACAAGGGACAGAGCGATCACAGCGGATCTGAATTCCTTCTTGTTAGCTTTGGGGCCTCGGGATATATTCGAATGCCGATACCTTGCGTATCTTACACCCCTCACACTGCAAACCGATTAGCTACATTGCGTTATTCGGGACTATTTTCGGGGTCCATAAACCATACTGCACGGGGGATCACGGAAAGCCGGTGCCTTCTGGCTTGGATCGTTTCTCTCCTTTCTGGGCCAGCCATTGGTATGATGTCAAGCAATTCTGTGACGAAAAATGGAGACAATGGGGGAAATGAGGACAAAGAGAAGGACAAGGAGAAGCATCCGGTACCCCTCGGATGCCCGGGCCCGCGGCTTCCGGCTTTCCCCTGGTTTCCCGTGTTGTCGATTGGTTGGAACTTGGCACATCCAGGGACCAGCTCTCCACTTCTATTAATATTTTAAAAATGGCCCAAAAATATACAATATGAGTAATTTTTTTTTATAGTTTTGATACATAGAGTATCTAATTATTATGCAGTTTGAAGTCTTTACTAATTGTCAAGGACTCAAGTGTATATTTTCTGACTATGTCAGGGACAAGGGTTTAAGGAGCCACGTGAGTTTTCTGTGACTCCTGAGGCAGTCCACCCCAATCCAGAGCATCCCCAATTCGATATGACATGACTACTTATACGGATCCCAGTTGTCAGACCCTAGGTTGTGGAGACGATGGATTTGTTTGTCTTTTTCCCGGTCTGGGCTGTATCTGTAATCAATGTGGTGTCTGAGAACGAACATCACTTTGCCAAGACTGCCTCTGCCTTCACGAGGCAAATCCAATCGTTTGTACAGAATATCGTACATTTATTCTTTTCTACTGCTCTTATGCATGATGGGACCCCCTGTTTTGCACCATATGAACGAAAACATCACATTAACCTATCCGTTACCCTAATACAAGTCTCCGTTCCCTCAAACTTCCCATACCACTGTAACCACCACATACCCACCTAGAAACACTTCCGGTGCACAATAGAAGGACCACTCTCGTCATACTCCTGTTTCGAGATCCACATTTGCTGGAACGTCGAGAGCGAAGTGAGAATGGAGCCACCGATCCAGACCGAGTATTTCCGCTCCGGTGGCGCGATGGTCTTGATTTTCATCGACGAAGGAGCTAGATTCACAAGCTCTTTATGCAGTCGGTCTGCAATGCCCGGATAAAGAGTTGTACCGCCGGACTTGATGGTAAGGGAGAGTAGTCAGTTGTATGTATTCCATTGTGTCATGATGCGGACTCCGAAGGACAAAAGAGAAGGGGAAGGAGACGCATACCATGACGATATTACCATACAAGTCCTTGCGAACGTCGACATCGCATTTCTGAATCGAGTTGAACGTGGTCTCATGAATACCACCTTGCTCGATACCGAGCAGGCTCGGCTGAAACAAAGCTTCGGGTGCCCGGAAGCGCTCATTGCCGATCGTGATCACCTGTCCGTCAGGGAGCTCGTAGGATTTCTCGATACTGGAACTCTGAGCGGCGGTTTCGATCTCCTGGTCGAAGTCTAGCGCAACGTAACAGAGTTTCTCTTTGATGTCGCGCACGATCTCATGTTCGGCCGATGTAGTGAAGCTATGGCCGCGCTCTGCTAGGATTCGCACCAGGTAGTCTGTCAAGTCGCGGCCCGCTATGTCCATACGAGCGATGGCGTGTGGCATAGAGAATCCTTCATAGATCGGGACCACGTGTGTCACCCCATCGCCGGAGTCAAGGACAATACCAGTGGTGCGACCAGATGCATACAAAGACAACACGGCCTGGATAGAGACGTAGAAGGCCGGCACATTGAAGGTTTCAAACATGATCTGAGTCATCTTCTCCCGGTTAGATTTCGGATTGATGGGAGCCTCTGTCAGCAGAACGGGATGTTCCTCAGGGGCCACGCGGAGCTCGTTAAAATATGTGTGATGCCAGATTTTCTCCATATCATCCCAGTTGGTAACGACGCCGTGCTCAATTGGGTAGTGGAGGGACAGGACGCCACGTTTAGACTGCGCTTCATCCCCGACGTAGGAGTCTTTTTGGCCCATACCAATAATGACCCTATGAAAAGCATTAGCAGCGTAATCATACCTGAAGTGGTAGGCGATCTTGGATAATTCGTGTGACGCTAGTTGTGCTTGAATGGGTTTGCTGGTTTGGACAAAGAAAGGGAATGGCTTACCCATGGTGGCGGGGACGGCCAGTAAGGGAAGCTGCGTAAATTGTCAGTCTTTATAAAGTCTTCGCTCCTGGAGATGAGAGATGATTGACTTACGAAAAACAGCGCGGGGAGCATCATCGCCAGCAAAGCCAGCTTTGCACATTCCGGAACTGCAAGGATTGCATTAGTATTTTTAATCGATTGCTGGTTGTGGCCGTCGTACCCATTATCAATAACAACGGCAGCAACTTCGTCTGGAAGTCATACGGCACATCAGCAATCTCTACCTTCTATAGAAGTGCAATAGGAGTAAGGTAGTCCCTTAGGCCATGGAAAGGGAAATACAAAATACTTACCGTCCATAATGGCTATGGCGTGATGGTCCAAATTGACTAGTGAACTTCGACTACAGATAGAGTCTTTTGACACTGCACTATAACAGCAGTAGATAAAATTATTGAATCAGAGGTAGCGCACGATACGATGTTATTGGCAAACGAGGGCGAGAACGTGCAGCGTACTTATAGATAAAATAACATCATTACCTAAGGGGTGTATTTTAGGCAGCTTAAATATGCAGGATAGCATCATGAATTCTCCATGTAGATAAATGTGAATACGCAACAATATTTCCAGGCAACAGAATCTTGGTAGGGTTGATTGCGTGTCGCTCTCAGGATGAGTTAGGGTTCATGTTCGTGATACCTGCTCGGCGTCCCGGATTGCGCGGCCCCGGGTATCCGCCGAGCAAATCAGGGCGATCATCCTTAGGCATTCATTTTCTATTGAATTAAGCCGCCTAATGGAACCATCATATAAAGTGAAAATCAATGTCGACTTCAGTAGATTACGTTCAGGTTCTTTAGCAGTAATTTCTCCATCTCAGTCTTTAGCCATCAACATGTCGGTATGTATCGTCTTCCTCCTCTTTGAAGAGTTACGCTCACCAAAGTCTGGCTGTAGATGCCATCAGGGTATGCTCCTATATTCACCAACACTCATTAAGACGTTCCACATTCCTCTCATCCTAACTATACTGCCACTAGCGTTTCTATAGCGGATGAATGCATCACCGCCTACAGCCAACTCCGTTCCGGAAGAGGGACAAAAAAGCCAACATTTGTGATCTACCGGATCTCAGACGATCAAACAGCGGTTGTAGTAGAAGAATTATCTGCAGAAAAGGATTTCGAGGCCTTCCGCCAGAAACTCAGCTCCGCTGTGGATAGCCGTGGCAACCCTGCCCCACGCTATGCGGTGTATGATGTTGAATATGACCTTGGAGAAGATGGCAAGCGGTGCAAGACAGTATTTATAAGTTGGGTGCCTGCTAGCACGCCGCTGAAAGTAAGTTCACTTCCCCTTCATTGATTTGCACATTCGGGCCAAGTCTGAGCAGAAAATATAGCTGTGTATGCTTTACGCGAGCACCAAGGAGCAGCTGCGGAGCGCTCTTGATGTCAAATTATCCATCCACGCCGATACACCGGATGAGATTGAATGGAGGACCGTGCTAAGCGTGGCCAGTGGAGGGAAGGTTTGAGATATCAAGTTAGAAGTTGTTGTCCTACATCAAAATTCGATGGATTGGCTTGTTAGTTAGATAAATTGACTTTTGGATTAATGGGAAACTTTTGTATGAACAACGCTTTTGATGCATAAGTTTTTAAGCCAAGTCTGGATGATACCCGAGACTCCATTGTGCGAGCAAGGGACTGTTACCATATATTTAGTGGGCATACTTTGTGGACGTGATAGATGTCATAGAAATCTCTTCCCTAATACCGAAATTTGCTTTTCCTTTCCTGTTGTCTATTCTGTCAACGGTGGGAGTGAATACCGGTTCTATCTTCCGGGCTTCATGCAATGGCAGGCACATCACTGATACTCCACATTGCGAAGTATCTCTGAGCATGAGACGAATGCTGACAGATCAGGGCGTCCCGTAGACCGCATGAAGCCCGGCGCCGGACTTATCAATTGTGAGCTTAGATCAGTTTTAAGGGTCTTCCCAGGATACTTAATCCACCAAACAGCGCGGTGATACCCGTAAAGATAATGAGGGTGCCATACGAGGTGCCATAGGCAAAGGCTGAAGGATCATAACTCCATGAGCCTTTGATCAGGGCGTCGCTCAACGGCCCACTAACAACGTTTCCGATTCCTCTGCCAGTTGCCAAGAAACTGAAGACCATCGACGGATCCGCCAACTGACTCTTCTTCACTACCTCGTTCATGATGGCCGGCCAGGTTGAGGTGAACGATCCCGCAAAAAGGCCATAGACAACGCAGAATATGTAGAGGGGCGCCAACGAGACGGAAAATCCCCAGAGGAGAAACACAGCAAGTGTGCTACCTATGGTTGACACTAGGATACAGGTAGTCGCATGGTACCTATCAACCAGATGGCCCATGGCGATGCACCCAAAAACCGATGCAAGGTTGCATAAGATGACGGTCAAAGACGCCAGGATAGTACTGGCACCCAGAGTACGTGCGATGGTGGGCAAGTAAATTGTCGGCAAGAAATATCCTAGGGCTTCGACGATATTACCCATTTGGAAGATGAGGAAAGTATGCGACCAGAGGAAGCTCAAGTCAAACGCTCGGGCGCTGGACGCACGCGAAATGGGCAGGCGAGGCTTCACATAATAGAGCAGCGGAGCAGCTAACAAAAATAGAGCTACGGCCCAGATTCGAAGAGTAGTTTTGTGACCGTAAGCATTCAGAAGCCATTGAAGCACTAGCGGAAGGACCACACCAGACACACCCGTTCCGGCCTATACGTGGAATAGTTAGCGTCATAACGATCATTGGCAATTTGAGGGTACTGAAGGAGTGCCTACCCACATGGTTCCAAAGGCAAGGCCTCTTTTGTGCACAAACCATTCATTCATGAAGATAATCATGGGTGAATAGGCAAGGTTGCCTCCGATCCCGCAGGCGATGCCCTGAGTTAGAATGAGGTGAGTGGTGTTAGTCGCGAAAGAACTCAGAACGAGAGCCAGGCACATAATGAGAAGTCCGACAGAAGAGCACCACCGCTTAAGAACGGGGAATCCCTGTAGCAGGGCAAAAGTCAAAGGAGAGATCATGTAGTTTACGCCCTAGGATATAGTTAGGCTAGAGCAACCTCAACAGTCTTTCCGCGAAGAAAACCATTAGCGCACCATCATGCATGTTCCAATCACGGCGGGGTTCCCCGAGCTTTTGAAAGGCTCATGCGTGGTATAAAAGTCCTGGAAGATGCCGTAGGCAAATGAGAAACCTGGGCGAGCCGTGAGATAGTGATCATACAAATGGATATGGTTGAACGACATACCCCAAACAAGGGCCTCCATCATGAAGCCTGCCGCCAAGAACAACCATGCATCTTTTCCACCATCTACCGGGGGTAGTTGAACTTCATTGTGCGGTTCGTCAGTTAAGAGACTCGACCTGGTGGGGTCTTCCTGTCTCGCTGAATGCCAGGTCTCTAGTTCCATTTTCAGTCAGTAGGCTGGGTAGAATGATAACACTCGCTGTGTAGAGAGAATTCACGAGCGTACGGAGATGAGATGAGCACGAGTACTCGGCGGAGTTTGCAAAAAGCAGTCTCCAAATGGTTAATGGGAACCAGATTGAAGACCCTGGGGTCATGTGCACAGACCAGCCGTGAACAACACAACAAGTGATCGGGACGAGAATCCGATGGTCGTGATAAGGGCGTGAAAAGTGGGGTTTGTTACCGACCATCCGACTGGTTTTCATTGGCGGGGCAAGCTCGGTGAAATGACTTACTGTCTTCAATCTCCATCCTGATTGACCCTGGTAAGTATTTTAAGTACTGCGCGTATTACCCACGTTATTGATCTGCAGTCATCATCTATAGTTTCAGTTTCATAGACCCGGATTACTCAACCGAGCAAGCAAAATGGCATCTCCTTCGTACGAACTAACTCCATATGGAGCACCTATGTTGAAGCACTTTCTGTTGGATCCCAAATATAAGAATCTCAACCATGGTATGTGCATCATATAACGCCAGAACCCTGAGTTATATATATCGGAGTACCTGCACACGTCCCGAAATATTTTGTCTCATTTTGTGCTTCTTTCCTTCTTGCTTTGCGGATTAGTGTCTAATGCTTGCACTGTTCGCCAGGATCTTTCGGTACATATCCAGCCCAGGTAAAACATGCGCTTCGGAAGTACCAGGACGAACTCGAAGCGAGGCCAGATTCTTTCATCCGCTACACCCAGGGTGAACTGCTGGATGAGTCACGTCTGGCAACTGCCAAGATTCTCAACGTCCCTGTACAAGAAGTGGTGTTCGTCAAGAATGCCACAACCGGAGTGAACACCATCCTCCGAAATCTCAGCTATGAAGAGGGAGATGTGATTATATACTTCGCGACCATTTACGGGGCCATTGAGAAGATGATCACCTCGTTGACCGAAACCACCCCGCTCCAGGCAAGAAAAGTGGACTATACTTGCCCTATCAGCCATCAGGCTCTTGTGCAGAAGTTCAGAGATGTTGTGGAACAAGCTCGATCGGAAGGATTAAACGTGAAAGTAGCGGTCTATGACACTGTGACTAGTCTTCCGGGTATGAGGTTTCCTTTTGAGGAATTGACCAGAGTTTGCAAGGACGAAGGCATATTCAGTGTCATTGATGGCGCTCATGGAATCGGACACATTCCATTGGACCTGAAGGAGTTACAACCGGATTTTTTTACAAGTAATCTGCACAAGTACAGCTCAACTGGCCCTCGGGATCATTCGCAAGGAAACTAATGATGTGGTGTAGATGGCTCTACGTCCCCCGTGGTTGTGCGGCTCTTTACGTTCCTCTGCGTCATCAACATCTGATCCGCACAACACTTCCAACCTCCTGGGGCTTTATTGCGGATCCCACGTCATCCACGGCGGACAAGCCGAATATCCTGACGCCGGTAGGGAGCAAACGGTCCGCGTTCGAAGAGCTTTTCCAGTTTGTAGCTACGAGCGATGATGCAGCTTATCTGACAGTCCCCGAGGCCGTACGCTTCCGCACTGACGTATGCGGCGGACATGACGCTATCTTCAAATACCTGGAGGAGCTCGCGACCCAAGGCGGTGACATTGTTGCAGCTGCACTCGGCACGGACGTCCTGCAGGAGCCCGATCTCCGGCCCGGGGAAAGGAGCCAGCTCCGTCGGTGCGGAATGTCCACAGTCCGATTACCGATCGCGGTTGGTGGACAGGAGAATGGAACGTTGTCGTCACCTTATCCTTTGGTGGCTGCTGCCGATGTCAGCAAGGTGGTGCATTTCCTCCAGGTGACTTTAAAAGATGAGTTTGACACCTTTGTTCCGGTTTTCCAACACGGTGATTGGTTGTGGACGCGTCTGAGTGCTCAAGTCTATCTGGAGGCCAAGGACTTTGAGTGGTTAGGCGGAGTGTTGAGGGGTTTGGTGGAGAGGGTCAGGCAGGGAGAATACCGGGCATAATCCCCCTAGACTGTATTGGGTAATGCTTGAGAGCTGTGGCGCCCGCCAATGACGGTCAGACCGAGAGGCGGTGCACCTCCAACCTTCCGGCCTGAGGCAAAAGGCTTCAACCTTCGCAGTCTAACGCGAAACTGCTTAGAATACGACCGATCCGCGTCTTCGTCGGACTCACATGTACTCCATGAGTAATGATTATTCAACATTTTCTCTCCTAAAAACGTCAGTGATCTATCGCCTTCTCTATGTATATTGCTCCTAGTTTGATTGAGATCGAACTGGTATTATAGAATTTTTGGGGTCATGCCACATGACACTACGGTGTTATACCTCGTAACTAATAAAAGGGCCGCGGGCGAATTGTTAATTGTTTCAGTTCGGTTCATCCGTGATTATTCACAAAACTAGGTCGAAGTTAACTAAGGCTATTCCCATTTGGTAAACCTTGCGAAAGGACCAGATCTGCCGTTCGTAAGCCTCGGCCTTGTCGGTTTTCCTCATCGCGTGCGGGTCCCCCAGACGTGTCCACCGAGCTAATTTCTAAAGCTGAAGCCCTCTATGGTTGAGGTTCGGCAAAATAGTCCTGTGAAGGTTACACTCATTGTCAGGTGCGGGTCCTTGCCCTTTGTTCCTTTGTCGGCATCGAACGTATATATAAAAGCTTCCCCCACCACCCTGGTCGACACTCGCCTTCTTTTCCTCGCGGCGACTCAACCACCATGATCTTGAATTCGTCTCACTACCCGGTAGCCCTGCTTGCAGGCGCCGTGGTTTTCCTCCTCTATACAGTGACCGCCCTCCAGCGGAAATACCACCAATATCGCATGGCCCGCGCGAACAACTGTCAACCGGTCCGTTGTCAAGTCAACAAAGACCCATTCCTGGGACTCGACAGCATTCGCAACAACCTGGATGCCGCCAAGAAACACGTCATCCTCGAACGCTCGCGGTCTCGCTTCCAAGAGTTTGGTAACACCTTTCGCGCCAGACGTCTGCGGACCCCCATCATCGTCACGTGTGAACCCCAGAACATCAAAACGGTTTTGTCCCTCAAATTCAAGGACTACGGACTCGGCAATCGGATCCACGCATTCGGTCCCTTGCTCGGCCATGGCATCTTCACGACGGACGGCGACCACTGGGCCCAGTCGCGCGCGATGATCCGTCCGAACTTCGTCAAGGATCAAGTCGCGCATTTGGATATCTTCGAGGAGCTCATGGCCGATCTGCTCACTTTGATCCCGACCGACGGCACCACAGTCGACCTGCAGGACTTGTTCTTCTGTTACACGATCGATTCGGCTACGGAATTCCTATTCGGCCACAGCGTCCAGTCCCTCAAGAAACGCATCTCGGGTGTGCAACTGGACGAGAACGATTTCGCCAGTTCATTCAATTATGCACAGGATGCAATTGCCAAGAATACACGTTTGGGCCCCCTGCGACACTTCTTCCGAGACTCCAAAGCGGAACACTGCAATCAGGTGTGCCACGAGTTGGTCGAACAGTTTGTGGAAAAGGCGTTGAAGTACCGTGCCAATTACGACGAGGAAAAAGCCGCAGCCGATGATGACAAGAAGCAGCGGTATCTGTTTCTGCAAGGGTTGGCGCACCAAACCGGCGATCGTAAGCGCATCCGGGACGAGTTGATGAATGTGCTTCTCGCAGGTCGGGATACTACGGCATCGCTGTTGAGCAACATGTTTTTCATGCTGGCGAAGCACCCCCACGTCTGGAACAAGCTGCGCGAGGAGGTCGCCTCCTTGGAAGGTCGCGCCCCGACGTATGAACAATTGCGCAATCTGACGTATCTTAAATACTGCATGAACGAATGTAAGTGTCCTGACAGACCACCCTTTTCATATTCTTTCATCAGCTAACCAATCAGCCCTACGTCTCCACCCCGTCGTCCCCTCCAACGCCCGCTTTGCTGTCAACGATACGGTCCTTCCTGTTGGCGGCGGCCCGGACGGCACAGCGCCCGTGTTCGTCCCCAAGGGCTCCATCGTTGCCTACAGCGTGTACTCTATGCACCGCCGCGAAGACTTCTATGGCCCCGATGCGAACGAGTACCGCCCCGAGCGCTGGGCCGATCTGCGACCGTCATGGGAGTACCTGCCCTTCAACGGCGGGCCCCGTATCTGCGTCGGCCAACAGTATGCACTGACTGAGGCCGGCTACGTCACCGTGCGTCTTGCGCAGCAGTTCTCTGTTCTCGAAAGTCGCGATCCGGGCCCGTGGGAGGAGAACCTGACCTTGACATTGTGTTCGAGAAATGGAACCAAGGTCGCCTTGAGACATTAGGCGGGCCATGAGCGTTCAGTTTCTTTTTACCTCTCTTTTTCTTTTCTTTAGCGATGACATAATGGACCCTTTGGAGCTGTTTTCTCTTCGGTATTCAGGGTTTGCTATGAACGACATATGACGACTAGATTGATTATTCATTGGATCAATACTATACAATCAGAAATAAATACATAATTTAGTTGACACGAACTCCCTCCTGCAAGTTCAGAGCATGCCCACTGCCAACTCAAACTCCATGACAGAGAACTAACATTCCAAATCCCGCCATCAATTAAGCAATGATCACCTCGTGTGACTTGTTTTGCCCTTCCGGATGAAGTTCAGGCAACATTTTTTTTCCCGCTTACGGGCCCAATAAAAGACGCGGCAATTTGACGCATTGGTAATTCATCGTGAAGATCCCTTACCGCCTACGATGTGTGTGGATGTTATGAGAAAATTAGGTAAAAAGATACCGGTGTCGGAGTAGGTGATCATCCGAACCATGTACGAAAACATGATATACAGTAAAGCAAGGTAGGCATAGAAGAGATACTAGAGTGTTGAAATAATATATGGAGAAAGAACTAAGAGGTACGTAATACGATTGTGCGACTTGCATTGTAATGAGTAAATAGTAACTTGCTTTTTCTAAATTCATTGTATGCAAATCTCTAACTCTATATATATACGCATGATGCACCATATGCTAATCTTCACCCTGGGATAAAAATACTATACATCCATACAAACATCACTCGTAGACATCAACCCGACCGCTTCACAGCGCCGAATCAGTGATATTCACCGCAACATCCCTGAACGTGCATCCCCTAGTCTGGTACACACTAGCATAGGACCCATCCAAGACGGCGGCAACGAACTGCAGCGCCCTCGCATGGCCATTGATACCCTCCGCAGAATGCCCGCCGATGGTATTGCGCTCATAGAGGATATTCACGCCGACACCGCAGTACCTTTCCAACAAGGCATCCGTATCACCGACAGGACTGACCTCATCGTGGACCGCCTTGTACGCATAGATAGGGGTCTGCGGCACGCCATGGTAGCCCATGTACCCGTCCCTGTTCAGCGCATACTGCACAACGGGGGCCCTGAAGGTGTCACTGCCGTTAACGAAATACTCGTAGACATCCTGTCCGGCGAAGAACGCCTCCGCCTGCGCGAGAGTCATGTTCTGCGATAAGAGGAAGGTCGTGCGGTTATGCTTTCCCTCTGGGTTGAGCTGGCTGACCAGGTACTCGTAGGTGGCGGGGTATTGACTGGCCAGGCCGAGGACGGCTTCTGGGATGAGTCCCGCGTTGAGGTTCCCTGTCACGGTGTTCATCACGTTCGTGATGTTGGGGGTGAGTCCGCCGAGAGCTGCACCGGCGAGAGAGAGCTCGGGCGCGTATTGTCCCTGTAACTCGGTGGCCCATTCGCTGGCGAGGGCGCCGCCAGAATATCCCCATAGAGCTGTGCGGGAGGACGAAGCTTTAATGTTGAAGGCGGTGGTGTTGGAGTGGATGATGCTGCGGATGGAGTCGAGTGTCGCGTGGCCCGATTGGACACCTGCGGTGAAGGAAGCGAGGGGACCTTCGTAGTCCGGGACATTGACGTACCAGCCCTGGCTCAGCGCGAGAGAGATGTCGATGGGAGGCGAGGTGTACATGGCATAGCTGGGGCTGGCGTTAATGCTGTGGGAGTCATATGCGATTTGGTAGGAGAGAAGAGAAGAGTTGCCGGGGCGAGGGTTGGAGGGAACGAAGACGGTAGTCACGGCCCACGAAGGGCGATATTGGCTGTCTGTGGTACGGTAGACGATGTTGTATGCTGCAGAAGCATTACCGACCAACGCAGTCAGATTGCCCGGAGCGGCGCGTAGGCGCAGGATGGCGCCGGGACGGGTGCTCTCGTAGCCATGGGGGGCGCTGTAGAAAGGGTCTACACTGGGAGGAAGAACTACAGGCGATGGGCTGGTGGTAGGCAGCCCAGAGACTATAGGGAGGAGACTCCCAATAAGAGGGAGCAGACGGACTGGGGAGAGCATGGCGTGCCGGGTGGGATGGGAAGACGGTAAAAGGGTGTACAAAAACTATGGGGAAAGCGCTGCTTAAGTACTGATATTTGTTTACTAGGTACTGTTGTGTTCACTACCACGAAAAACGATTAGAACAGCTAGTTGCGCCAATGGGAGGGCAGCGGAGTGAGATTGTGTACAAGCCTTCCAGAATATGTGGAGAAATTCCGTCGGGAGGCCCGGATCAGTCGGCGTCGTTCGGTCAGACTAGCCCCAAGCGAAGATAGCTCCTGGCCTGCAGATGCTTGTCACAGTAAGCCATTCCCTTCGGGTGGGTCTCGAAAGCAATCGAAGCTGATGGTGTCATTGATCTTGAGTTGAGGTAATAACGTTGTACTTGACCAGGGTTCTGGGCCTCTCGTGACTCAGGCCACAGGCACCAGTCTAGTCGACTCGCAGGCAGCAGAAGTGATATTCTATCTGAATCTTACTCATACCTGCCCGGAATATTGAAGACACTCAATTCTGCTATCGATAACTACTCCTACACCAAGTAATTCCCATAAGCAGCGAGTCAGCCCTCAGCCCGATGAGTGTTTGAACTGGGACACTGTGTGAAACCGCCCGATATATTAAGGCGTCCACAAGCTCGTATTTAAACATTCATGTCCATCATCTTTGCAAGCCGCAAACTCGCCCAAGCTGAAGTATTCCTTCGAGAAGCGCAACTAGGCGGCCGTACGCAAAGATAGCTTAACCCCGAGTTACAACTTACGGCCGGTTGTGGGATACTTGTGGGGAACTGTGGTGGGTCTGCAAGTGATCGCTTATTTATTTCCCTCGCACAGGTTCACGAATTGTTTCTATCAGGTGCTTGCGCTAGTCATAGGAATACCCTGGCACTTGAATTTTTTATTGACGTCTAAACAGTCCTTCCGCATATCAGTGGTTACAGTTGCTGTTTGGTGAAGGTGGTGCCGTTGTAGAGTGGGCAAGGAGACGAAAACAGAATCATAACTAAAGTGTTCCTTTCGCACAAATATGGACATCTAAGCTAATTTCTCTGCATATATTATTGACATAACCATTTCTACAGTACCTAATCACATATAAGCTCTGGCTATTTGCATTCTGGTACCAGGAGTCGGCCAATATCATAAGTACAACTTATTATCGAATTTTCATTGTAGATATCTTCGGGGAACCACCTCGTTTTCCGTGACTACTGCCTCGGTTCACCGACATCAACAGGGAGACATGTCTACTATTGAAGGTGATCTGCAGAATGGTATTGTGTAGGGTTACATCTGAAGTGTCCACTTCTTGATGTCTGTCAGCTTACCAATCTACACCGTATCCCAGCATCTGTACACAGTATCGAGGCACCGGCCCATGTCGACTAGGAAACACCCACTTTGTAGCCTAAGATAGGCACTTCTTGAACCTCTCAGCTTTCCAGCCCTTACCAGAATACTTGATATAGAACTGAAACAGAATTCTGCGTTAATAAGAATGGATAGCTAGTTACCCAGGCCCATATTCCTCACGGAGGCTATAGCCAAGCCATTTCTCTTATGGTCGAAACGAGACCTTGTGGACTAGCTTCTCGGAGATCATGTTGGCTAGGGGATTCCGCCTGGTGGTCGATTGGCCCGGAAAGTGGGTTCTTCCGGCCGCTAAGCGGTCCTACAAAGGATGGCTTTCTAGGCTTAGATAGTTTTAGATAGCCAGAGGCAAGTAATCAATGAAGGCCTGAAGATGATCCCCAATTAGAGCCTTGACAGATCATACAATGTCTAGCATGTCTCTAAACATGACGCACCGTTGTAAGCAATACTTTCATCTTATAAGCGTCCCATGTTGTATGGATTGATGCTAGCAAGCCCAAATTTCCCTTGTCTCAGAATTGACTAAGCATGTTTTTACGTACCCAGTACTTGTATTCAAGTTTCTTCAGGCCTAGTGTACTGATACCTTCTTGATTCATTAAGAGAATCCTGATCTTGATAAAGCCCCTGGAGCCCAAGATAGGTTCCTTGAATCTTGGATCGGCACGCTGGTTCCAGATGCTGCGCTGTGGGTCTGTGCCTGGACGATCCCGCCAGCAATGACCCGCGTGCTGTGGGTGAGGCTTGTGTGAGCCTTGAGGTGGGTTCAGCCTTGAACAAGGCGCTTGATTAGTGCGCCCAAACCTGTTCAGCTTCTAACTCAAGAAATGGGTGGATAAAGCGACTGCTTGAGTAAAACCTTGGTCTCGGGCGTCTTGTCCACCGTCCTCCTTGATAGAGTTTATGGGGATAGCTCTCCTAATGTCACAACTTGGCTGATTGTCAGTGATAGCCCTGGTGGCGACAGCCTCACTCGGACAGATTACTTTGCGGGCTGCTAATTTGCCTTCCAAAAGAGATACGCAGGTAATTTTACCCTCTTCCACTGACTCCAAGCCTTTTCCTATAATTGGGACGCTTGGCTATACTGAGTTATTTGCCCGAATGCGCCTCCACTTGCCGAGAACAGCCACCAGGCTCTGGGCTGTTGCCCGACCACATTGAACAAAGACAACACAAAGAAAGGGCGTACATTAGAGTAATTAAAGAATGCAGGCGCACCTGTCACAGAGCACACAACCCGAAGGGGTTAACCGCGAGCAAGCATAGTGGATCCCGGTGGAAGAGATATTTACTTGCACAGAACCACCTCCTCGGCCAGCGTTCTACGAGAACAGACCTATCTTCCCATAGAGCTGAGATGCATCGACTTTGGATCGTCATTATCGCGATATATCTATGTGGCTGGGCGTCTAGTCAGGGCGGAAGCCTTTCCGTGGAACAAGGACCACCGGAAAGGCTAACTCGACCTAACAACAGACCTGGGCGGCGTCCTCAAAAGCAATCGAGACCCGCTGAGAACAGGCAGCCTGTACAGCAGGTATCACCTCAACGTGACCCCAGGCCGTTAACTTGGGACGGCAGGCATGTCGATTACGTGGAAAAATGCACCAACGCCTATCTTAAAGAGTATTCGATGGCAAATCACCATCCATCGGCACCAGTGTTTTGCGCCGACTGCGTCAAATTCAACGGTAGAATCAGCAGAAACTCATGTATAGATCTCAACTATTGCCTTGGTTACGACAAGGCAAAGGGGGCCTTGTTTCGCCAATGGGAGTATGCTATCTTGATTCAACATTATACGGTATAAGGACTAATGATCGCAGCGGGGGAGCTTTCCGACGTGGTGATTGCTACGGGTGCACCTTGATACCAGAACCTCACGACATCGCCGTGAGAAGACACGATGTCCGATGCACATGTCGAACGAACACCCAAAACCCTGTGACGGGGGCATATGTAACCCAAACCACATTCCCTATAGGTATACTACCTACCGACAGTATACAGGACTGCTTGCTGACAGGAGTACTACAGGATATCTCGTTAATGAAGATGGTGATATAACTTGCTTCCCAGCACGAAAAAAGTCTTGGGATTAGTTGGGACTTCGTCAGTCAATAATTTAACTGGAGATATTATGTCTACAATTCATACGTTATAACGACTCTATCTTCTAACCGCTATAGTGCGCTGATTCTAACAGTTCAGGCGTATTTGATAAGGCCATTGCTCCACTAGAGGATATGCTGCGGATAAAAGAACCAAACTTGGCAACCGTTGCGATTCACACGTCGGTAATGCTAAGCTCTATACTGTGTAGAGTCATAGACCGATGATCATTACCAGATCCCACTATCTGTCGCCTCGTTCTGGCTGATTAAGGCTGGTATGGGGACTTTCTAGTGCTTCCACCAGGCACCTTGCCGGCCTTAGTACCGAGTCATAAACAATATCACACTCGTACGAATATTGCTCAATGATGATCAGGAGGAAATACTACAAGAAACTCTCTTACGACGCGCTAAGATATCGCGCGACGCCGATCTCAGCAGGAAGATTCTCCACATCAACCTGAGTCTCGGGATACACCTGCCATGACCGTGCTTCTCGCCCCACTCTCCCAGGTAATGTCGACACAATTGAAACGCGTTGCCTAAGGTTAACTAGTGCGTACACAATAAATGACAGGGATTGACTCGGGAAATAGTTATTGTAGTCCGAGCAGCTCATTTAATGGCTAAAATGAGTCTGCTATCGCCTCTGCATAGCGTGAAATAATGTTGGATCTAGTGAAAGATAGGCAAGAACACGGCACATTGAAGACCCGAGAAACCCCCTATATATCCACAGCATACTACTTTATTTGGAATGCTTCGTCCAACAGGTATGCTATATCGTGCATGTTAACGCTCGTGGCTCGTGGCAAGGATCATGGGAGAATCCTTCACGACGTTCTCCAGAGATCTCGCCATTGAAACATGGATTCTATATGTCATTGGTAGTTCAACGCCTTTCATTTATTCTAGCCGTCTTCTAACGTCTGTCGTTATAGGAATATTGATTATTGCGTGTCGCCTGTTCGTTACCCCGTGAGATTTAAATTCGAATACTCATGAAGCTAGAATGTCGCAACGGACCGCAAAGGGATCATGGAAGAGATTGCACATCGATGACTACATAATGTGCTTCACTGCGGTATGGCCCAGGATAAGCAACACGAGACGTCGGATTAATTACTGAATAGATTACATATACTGGGGCAATGGTCAGCATCAATGAAGTCGGATGGGTCAATAGCCAGCCAGAGGTTCATGCTGAGAATCTAACCCCACATGCGCAAGAGCTACTGATATGGGGGAATAAGATGTGTTTTGCCATGGAGCAATTCTGCACTGCGACAACCTGGCTAGTCAAGTGCTGCCTCTTGATAATTTACAGCCGATTAACGTACGTCGGTCTGAAAACAGTGCCAATGAGGAGCTGACAGTCTCCATCCAGGAGATTATTGAACGAGCATATCGTGGTCCAGATACTTGCAGTATACGTTGGAGTCTCCTATATATTGATCGAAATTCTCCTCTGCGCGGTCTGGTGTCGACCGATTGAGCGGTATTGTACGTCGTTAGATCGCTATGAAGGAGTTAAGTATACTAACTAGGACAGGGTCTCCGGCTGTGATCGACGATTGTACGCCCAGCTAATACCGACGCCTTTGAATTTCACTGATTTTTCGGCTAGTCCAATGTTCCACTTACTTCAACCACATGATTGTGTCCGCAGTTTTCAATATTTCTTCTGACTTGATAATGCTGTGCATCCCATTACCCCTGTTCATTCGATCCCGGCTCCGCCTGGGCAAGTGAGTAGCCCCAAGCTCATTTATGTTCCGAGCTGACTGCCATAGGAAAATTGCTGTGTGTGGCGTGTTCGGTCTTGGGTTTATTGTTGTACGTACCGTCACCTCCCATGTTACTTTCTTTCTGACATCTTCAGGTTTTAATGGCCGTTCTAAATCGATACTACAGCCTGAGCACTCTCGGTTCAATGGTCTTCATGGTCAGTCCCCACACTTCCTATTAGACTGTATACTGACTGTTGACCGTAGAGATGGTATGCGGCTGAGTTATCCACCGCAGTCTACGTCGCCAATCTCCCCTTAATGTGGCCACTCATCCGTGTGATCTTCCATTTAAAAACCCCAGAATACTCCAACTACCCGGAGCCACTACGTACTGCACCTCTGCGCGGGCGAACAGCAATCCGAAACGTTACGACATTTACTACATTTACGACACACCAGGGCAGCTCTGGCGAGTCCATCATGCGCGTTTCAGAAGGCCAGTTGCACAGCCCGACAGATGCAAATGAGTTATCCTGGGCCACTCTGGAAGATAGGGGCTATCGGCCCGCACTCAACGCCGATGTGGAATCGAATCAACGGCAGCAGCGGTTAGAGGATATTACAGTGCGAAGAACGGTGGAGGTCACGTATCAATAACTTCATTAACGTTTTAATCGGCCACATGTTTAGCCTATAAGAGGCTTATAGTGTATACACTTTGCACAGAGTGAAATGAGCTTATATTGACCGTCTTTTATCTAATCATGAAAGTGCATGTGGCCAGCTTTTCGAAGATTCACATGTATTTATTGCTCTGGGTTTGCAGTCATATCACTAATATTAATCACATTTACTAGATCAGAATGATCTAGAGCCCTCAATATCTTCACTGTCCACCTACCACATTGTTGGATTCACAACCAAGTCAGTGAGTGAGTAAAAGTGAGCACAGCGGCGTGTGGTGGACATTCAATGGTCGGTTCTAGGTAGCAACCCTGGACCAGGATAAATAAATGTCTACCTGCTCTTCTTCTTTCTATTTCGTGTCCACATCTCCAAGCTCAGTGTCCAACATGGCAAATGCTCAGTCAGCCAAAGGATGCGCCTGGTCTTCAATTAAAGGAGCCACGTTTCACAAATGTAGCGCTCTATCTACAGTGTCTATGCTGACTTGGCAGAACCACGGTCAACCTAAATTCATCCGGCAGCCCGTCCAGCCTAAACCAATGTATGGTGTCATTTTTGCGAACGAATCCTTGTGCAGCTCACAAGGCCTGAGGGATATCGAAGACACCATTACCAAGGTATTGTGTTACAATGCACGTATACAGGGCCAGATGCGAGACTTATAAATTGGTGATAAGATATCCTATATACAGACGATCCTGTCAATAATCCACTCCCAAGTTCGGAGCTCCTGGTCTTAGCATTCATGCTATCCATAACTGTCAGTCTGGGTGGAGCAGAAAGTATCCGGGGTCTGTTGGAGTATATTTCACAGATCCAACAGATCCCACTAGACTGGTCGATTCGGTCTTCAATACAATGTGCATTTCACAAGATATTCGTCGCATGCGGTCGGCTGGAATTTCTGCCTTCAGTCATCTAAATTGCAACGGTGACAAGACGGCAATCGAGGTAGAGTGGCACTGGCAGCCGGTGAGAACATCGGAAGATCGAATAGCTGTGAAAATGGTCCCAGCAATATCCATAAACGTCGACCAGATTATGACGTGGGATAGATTGTTGTCTGAGCTATCTCTCAGATATGGGGACTCCGTACGAATGGTACAGACCCATGATCGGTTTAGTTCTTCCATTACAGACCCTGAAACGATGCTTCTATGTTCCAAGGAACTGTTAGATCTGGCTTGTATAGTAGCCAGAATTGTGAGACTGTCTGGGGCAGGGGAGTCAATTAGACTAAGTTCGGTGTGATTCTTCGGATTGAGACGCGTCTATGCTGGCTTGACAGAGCAATGTTTAACCTGGAATTCACCCTGCAGTCTATCCCACCCAAATACTAGATAATATCGTTTTTCGTCAACGAACCATTTTACAGCTCACGAGCTCTAGGAGATATCCAAGATTCTATTATTCAGAGATTACATTATATTGATATATACATTCAGAGCAAGATATAAGACCTATAAGCTAGTGGTAAGATTGTCCTATATATTGACAATCGTGATAGTCTTTTCGTCCCTGGTGGTGATACAGCATATCCAAGCTATCATTTGATTATAGAGCAACGCGGTCAGAAGGGTCGACGGCTGGATCCAGGTTCAATATTGACACCATCTCTCCTTCTTTTCACTTCCACTGCCGCCGAAGTAGTCAATATTGTAGCTTTACCATTAGCTGAGGATCAACATGGAACGGCAAACTGTTCACATATTTGGCAGATGATGATAGAGATGGGGATCCTCCGAACCACATAACCCCTTGCATGTGATGGGTGTGCCAGACATATCACTTCCGCGAGAGCCCCTGAATAGAACCAAAAGTACTGCAACAGTCGATAGATTACCATCGGGCATAAGTAGTAGAGGTGGGGGCAATGGAAATATGCATAGAACGATTGTTGATGCACCGGCCGTAACTGATTTAACACATCATCCCGTTATAAGCAAACCAAGTGGGGCGTATCTTCATTGCACTAGGGAGCTCCGATTCGGATCTTTTCTTTTGCCAGACTAGTGATCAATAGTTTCTGTTGAAAGATGCAATATTGCTCACATGACCATGCAAGACTTCCTTCAGTTGAAATCCTGAATCTGGTGTGAATCCTTCCAATATGTACTCAGTGACTCTACAATAGGCTATCCTGAGGTATTCTTGAATGCAAATCGAAGCATAGGGTGTAGTGAATGCATCAAAGCATTGAGCGCTCGCTTACCGGGTCTATTAGAGGTTTGATAGAGACTAACCATCCCGATCTCGTCATATCGGAAGAAGAAGAACATTTGGTTCTAGATGTTAATCCATTTTAATTGCATATGGAGTAGAACACACAAAGAGAGAGATATTTAATTGCTCACAAAGATACTATAGAGTGGCTGAGATGCACAGATATACTCATTTGGTCAAGAGTGGCGAAGATCACCTGACTATTGTCTTAGGGTTCTTTAGTCGATTGAACCACACTTAGGGTTATTAACTGAATCGGCTCAGTTCCTCCACATGAGATAGTGAACTTATTAGTGTCTAAATTGGGTCTAAACCCCTGGACTTCTGTCCCTTGGTTCCTTTTATAACTGATGATTGGCCGTGCTAAGCGCTGAATATGGTAGTGCCGCTAAACGAGCCATTCAGTTCACCCCAAGTGGGCCACAAGCTGCAAGCCTTTTTCTTTTTCCTTTAGCACGAAAATGAAAAGTTAGGTCCCAGTTGTTTCCCCGCTTTTAGACGAAATGTGCTTCCCCAGCGGCTAAGATGGAGCTTGTTATGGGTACAGTATTCCGATTTATGTGGGTGCAGCGCCTCGCTTTGCGACTAGCCAGCGTATCCACAATGCTTAAAAATACCTCGTGCGATATGATTATCACGTCTTCGAGCATGTAAGCAGCTGACCTTGGTTATACCATATCGCGCATTGTCCTTAGAAACACCTAGTCTTGTCCTGAGACCTGTGAGCGCCCTTACTTCTTTGTTTGCACCTCTAGCGCGTAGGTGCCTGGCATAGGGAGATTGTTCGAGCAGCATGTGGTTATAGCTGCAGTAATATTGCAAGGGAATAATGGTCAGCGAGGTCGGTGCGTTTAGTGCGGATTATAGTGGACAGGAATCCTATCGTACGACACCACAGAACTTACACTCTCTATCACTTCGTCTTCTGTCTTCCTTTTTAGCGCGATGTGTTATAGAGGTTGGTTGTCAATCGACATCCATGCAGTTGCCCTTCCGAATCCGTCATCCATGACCATTTCTCTCAGCATGATAACCCTAGTTTTGACGCCCTTCTTAAGCGCCGCGGCACCGTAGCAGCCATTAAAAGGACAAAGCAAACGCCTCTCGTTTACCCCACTGGGCTTACCCCTCACTTGACAGTTCGATCTCTTTTGTCACGACCGACAAATAGCTTAATGCCGTTGATATAATGCTTCCAACATAGACCAGGGACCACCGCATCCGAAAGCTATAAGTAAGAAACAACCACCCGGTCCAAACCACAGAAGAAAAAAGGACATTCCACCAAACAAAAGCTCACCGCCCCTTGTCCTACTGCAGCCATCAATCTCTCAGAAGTCTCTCAGCAGTCCACCTGCATCAGCAACCATGCTGAACTTCGAACAAGAGCTCCGACTACGCCTGGACAATTTCTTCCGACAGCACACCGGGTTCTCCTCCTACGCTCATTTCCTATCCATCCCGCCCATCTTTCGCGAGGAAATCTTCGACCAGCTCCTGACAACCGATACCTTCCTCATCATGCCGGATACAGATGTCCGGGACGCCGTCCTCGGCGATGCCATCCTCCTCTGCCAGAAATATATCACACGCGACAGCGCCGTCACCAAGGAAGCGCTGGAAACCTACTATGAGAAGAACCACTTCCAGGTGTGGAATGCCCCATACCTGGCTGAGCTGCTGGTGTACATGAATGATCGGCACTGCGATCCAGACGAGGGCTTCGACCCCAAGTTACACATCCATCATTTGACTCTCGGGTTCGAGTGGGATGTGCTCGAGGAGTTTGGGCTCGGGGAGGACGACCCGGAAGCTACCATCGAGGGTGTTTTGGGGATGTTGTCTGAGTGTCCGAACTTGAAGGAGGTTGCGTTTGAGATCAAAGGCACGCCCGAGGGGATATCGCGACTGAAGAATATTTTCGATTCATATGCCTCGCAGCTGCAGAATCTCGACGAACGCCTGCGGCTAAATACTGACGAGGGCGATATTCCCGCTGGACTTTTACTCTTGGAGATTCCGTCCGACAGGCAGTTACCCAGGAGGATGATCCCTCATCCGTGGTGGGATATCGAGAGGACAGAGGAGATGGAGCTTTTTGAAGAGGATTGGTGGGAGCGTTTGGAGCATACGGAGAAAATTCCTATGGAGTTGTTGGTTTGAGGTTGTATTAGGGATTTTTGTGTCTCTTACCCTTTTTTCTTTTCTTTCCTTGTTTTTCAGGTTACTGGGATGGAGCTATGGGGTGTTCCTTTTCCTAATATGGTTCGTAATGGTCAATATGTGATTAGTCTGACTGATATTTCCATCCTCCTCTTATCCAGATGACGTGCCTATACGTCTTTTAATATAATTTAGTTACCACACAATAATAGTATCCGGGAAATAGTCGTTTCCACCATTGTGTTATTGCCATCTGTACCGTCATGTGCACCTAGTAGAACAAGGGGCTATCACTTCTATCCTAGAGGTCAGTACTGAGCCCTCAAGGTCACATTGGCCATACTTACCTGAATGACATCAATCATCCAACAGCACCACCCAAGTCCCCACACGACCTATGGCCAATCGCAAAGCGTGGATGCAACGACATATGCATTTCCTCCTCTCCATCATCTACTTCTCCCGGAGGATATTCCTCCGAGCCCAATGCGTTGTGTCTCGGGGGAACGGGAGGGATCATCGACTGTTGACGAGCGTATCGAGTCAGTCCCGAATCCAATCGGCTATCTAAATTGTACGCTAAA